GCTTTTGTTCAACTTCAAATATTTTTGTGGATTATTTCGATAAGAATTTAATCTAAGATCGATCGTTAAATTCACGACAGTTCAACATTCTTTTTTATTTAATAATGTATTTAAAGTGTCATAATAGCAGCAATCATGATGGATATGATTATTGTTTGCTTAATAAATATAATTTAAAATTCATAAAAAATTAAGTCGTTCATTCTGATCACTTCAAAATTGTTTCACTAACAATCATATTTTTTTAATTAAAGAAATTTATTTAAGTATGTTTATATTAATTTACTTAATATGTTTAAGTATATAAATACTTTGATCTTTACAAGCTCAACCATCAAAGTTTAGTAAACCGTGGAACTTTAAAATGAAACTTTTGTTCGCTTTTGTCTTCATCGCTTTTGTGATTTTCGCTGTTCATACAGCGGTTGTTCCATATGGAGAAAGAATTGGATCTGGTGAAGATATGATCCACAACATTGAAAGTATGAATATTGTGTTAATGGAATTTTGATTCAATTTTTAATTTATATTGTGATGATGTTTAGAGCGAGGTGCATGCAGAAACCTCACTAGTTTTGATGAAATCGATGACAATCCTATTGGTTCTGCGATTTAAAACTGTACTCACAAATTTGGTTTGAAAATTCTGGCATAAAATTCCTAATGGCAAATTCTTATGTATAAAGCACGTTATAACAACTCTGCATGTATTAAATATATTTAATCCCCCTGCATATTAAAAACTCGTTTTATTTTGATATTTTTATTCTCTACTTTTATTCAGTTATGCTCCTCAAAAGTATCAACAATCAGGAAGCATTAAATCTTGATAATAGAAATCGTCATAATTCTTATCGAAACATTTGTTGTGAGATAAGAAAAATGTCGAGAGTTGCTTCAGTTTCGCGAACTCTTCTATGTCTGTTATAATTTCAATTTTATTTGAAGACAAATCCAAATAATTTAAGTTGAGAACATTTGCAAAATATTTCGGTGTGAAGTAAACAAGTTCGTTATGTTCCAAGTTCACATACTCCAATTTTATACAAGATGAGAAAAGTTCGATTGGAAGTTCTGAAAGCTTGTTGTCTTGCATTTGCAGTTCTCTCAAATTATGCAGACTTTGAAATGACTTTCCTGATATTCTTTCAATGTTGTTCCCAGCAAGTCTCAAAGTTCTAAGTTTAGCTAAAACTTCAAAAGAGTCATCAACTAGAGCAGCAATAAAATTAGCATTCAAATACAAAGAACGCAAATTTGAAAGAGATTTCAATGCTTGATGTGGAACAGAAGTCAAATTGTTGTACGACAAATCAAGAAAGTTTAAATCAACAAGACCAGAGAATGAATTTTCTTCGATTTCCCCAATTTCATTTCTGATCAAAATCAAATGTTTCAGTGGCACGAAGTTCTGAAACCACTCATCGATAACTTTTGTAATATGGTTGAGTCTTAAATCTAAAGTAGTTAAATATTTAAAATCTTCAAATTCATTTAGCACCAAGCGCTGCAATTGAACATTCCACAAGTTTAATTTCTTAACATTTGGAAATTTCTCTGAAATTCCTTCAGGGAATAAATCTAAACGTGAATTGACCGTCTGAATTACTTGCACATTCTCATCATTATTACTGTTCAGATGACTTCCACTTATGGCGAACTCCTTTTGCTGATCTTCCAAGTAAATCGCAGTTAATTTGCACGAATATAAATTTTCATTGTCATAGAAATATTCACAAAAAGAATTTTCAAAGTTGGAAAAACATGATTGAAGCGCTACATTTAATTCTGTTCTATTAGTTTTAACAAAATTGCTAGTAGTACAAATGTTACTTCTTAGGTCAATAGTTGCAAAAATCATCATTTCAGAGAACAAACCAGCTTCAATGGCATAAATTGATGCATTTCTTGCTATGACGTTAGTTAATAACTTCAACATTTTAAAATCTTTAGCAATTAAACGATTTAACCGATTTGAACTGATATCCAAACTCCTTAAGTTCGTCAATGTCTCTAGAAATCCCAACTGGAAAGTTGTTAACTGATTATCATTTAACTTGAGCTCCCCTAAAACGTCACAACATCTGAACAAATCACGATTTATATAACTGATTTTATTTCTGGATAAATCCAAATATGTTAAGCTTTCAAGCCCATTGAAAGAATTTGCAGGAAGAGCTTTCAATTTATTATCAATGAGAGAGATCCACGTAAGATTGTTGCCGTTTTTAAATGAATCGTTTGTAATATATTTAATTCCAGTATTTCTGAGTTCAAGTCTACGAAGGTTTGGAAATTTTTCTTGAATTTCTGTTGGAATAACTTCGAAATCTAGTCCGTCATTCCTTGTGTCTCGTCCAAAGAATCGAACGTTTTCATCTCCAAAACTTCCTTCATGAACGCACGAAATAACGAGTGAATCTCCTTCACGAAATGTTCCACTTGATTCTCCGTAACATGAATACTCGTATAGAGAATATGTAAGTAATGGGACGTTTAAACAGAAACAATCCACGGTGACTTCTTTTGTACTTGTCGAAATGAATAAAGAGATAAGACACAAAAAAATTTCCTTTAGTTTCATTCCGAGCTCATTGAAAAGTAAACGATTACTGAAATAATACGCGACTTATGATTCGATAAGCTGATATATAATAACAAAACTTTTATTACACTTGTCAATATAATCGAAATGATTTGCTTATCATGAATGATAACATAATTAGTAATAAGTCGAAATAAATTTAGATTCATTTGCTACATTAATTTGAAAGCTACCTTTATTTATCTCAACACTTATCAGAGATATTCTCACAAGAAAGGTTTTCTAAGATGAATTGAAAATAACTTTCATCGCATTCCCATTTTTGTCATTCTTTCTTTAAAATAGACAAAACAATCGTTAATTTTGAATTTCATGTTCAGCTGCCTTGAGTACCCCGAAATTGAAGCAAAAATTCTAGTAAAATAATACTGAAAAGCTCAAAATTAAAATTAAAAATTGTATCTTATGTAATAAATAAAGAAACAATGATAGTTATCTCTTTAAATAATTGCTCTTCTTACGTAATCATTTGAATGAGAAACCTTCTTATAATTATTTTTAAATAAACTCTTAAAAGTAAATCGACAATGAATAAAAATTATGTAAGAAAAGCCAGAAAATTTGCTGCCATATAAATATGTAAATATAACTTAAGTTGTTTCTCTTGTCACACAAAAACCCGATACGCAGCATAAAACTGCATTTATCTTATTCACTTTTACACACTAGCAGTTTCTAAGAGACTTAAATTACAAGTTTTAAGTGAGAGTTTGCTTTATAGATACTTTAGAGAAAAAAAGCGAAATGAAAACCAGGTCAGCAGAAAAAATTCACTTTCAATACTTTTTAAAATTCTAAATTTAATGTCTGCTGATCTAGTTAAGATAATACGAAAAAAATGCTTCTTGTCGCATAAAGTATGACATATTTGGATTTACGAAAATTTATGATTTCTTGGGAAATTCTTGAAATCACCGCCCCAAATTGCTGGCGAGTTTTCATCAAACTGAATTTCACTTTCGACATTAAAATCAGCAACATTGTCATCATTTTTTCTCTGGAAACCAAAGTCAACATCATTTGGATTCTTTTCTAATGACTTTTGAATTGACAGAATTTGGAAATCATCACCAAGTGCAGAACGTAACGCATTGTTCTGATGACGAGTGGACTTCAATGTTGAATGAAATTCATTAATAAGTTTTGTGTTTGGATTTCTTTTATTTTGACGTTGCGAATCAAAATTGATGAAATCTTCCGAGTTTAAGGCAACTTCATGGAAGTCAGTCGACTCTGTGAATGCATCGCGTAGTTCATCAGTGTCAAGATTGTGATTCTGTGAAACTTTCAAAGGTCGCTTGCGTTTTCCGAAAGGCCCTTTCTTTGGTCTTTTTGATGTAAAGAACGGAAGTTCCGTCGTTGTTGTTGTTGTCGTTGTTGTGAAAGGTCGTCGAGTGCTTACCACATAATCGAAATCTTCGTCTTCTTCATCATCGTCAGGCGTTACATTTTTCAAACCTTTTCCAAAATCATAATCATAATTATTAAATTTATTGAAGTTTTTAAATCGATTTCGATTCTTTGTCGTTCCCCTTTGAATGTTGTATCTTTCATTATCATTACTCTCATCATTATTAATATTTGAATAATCTGCAAATGCATTAGAATTCGAATTCAAAGGATTTGTTCTTGTGGGTGTTGAGAAATCACTTTGTTCATATCGATTTGGAAGCTTTGGGAAGTTTGAATTTGAATTGTAATTTCCATTGAAATTGTTGTTTGAATGTTGATTTGAATCTGTATGGAAATTTGAATTGTCATTGTAATTGGAATGACTATTCGATCCATAAACTGTGTTCAGTTGATAACTGTTGACTGGTGTTGAAGCACGAACCGGATTTCCATACGAAGTCTTGTGAGAGTTGTAGGTTGCTGCAGTTTCAAGTGGAAAACTTCCAATAGGCTGTGGGAATCTTTCGACGTTGTTGCTGCTCGCATAAATATTTGTATTTGAAGGTTCTACTGTGTCAATCGAAAACGAAGGGAACGATGCTTGTTGTTGTTGAAGAGTTTGAAGTGTTTTGCTATCAAATGGTGATGAACTTAATTGCTTATTAAATGTCGATTCGAATTGATCGATAGTTGGTGGTGGTCCATAGATTTGTTGTGGTCGTCTAGTTCTTTTACTAGATTGTGATTTGAAGTTTTGATTTTCACTTGCCTTCGTCGGTGGACCGAATCTGTACTTGTTTGAAGCTTTGACTGGTTCGCCGAAATTCTTATTCGGAAACGGGGGATAGCGGAAATCATTGGAACCGAAATCTTTAAAACCACCAACGTTTGACGAACTTCCGGATGGCGGATTTCTTATCTTCGATCGGAATTGATTTGATGGTCTTCGTTTGCGAGATGATGGCTTGCGTTTCGATCGATTCGTGTGAATAACTACGACATCATCACTCCGATCGATGACCTTAAGAGGTCGAATCTTTGCTGAAGGTGGCATCGATCGTATGAGAAGTGTTAGGGCTTCCGCCTTGGGATTACTTGCACTTTCACTCGTTGTTGTTTCAACTTTTGTGCTTACACTTACACCATCAGTATGGATTATCGTTATAATAACGACCATCTATAGTTGACCAAAGAGAGAATGTGTGATAATTATTAGTTAATTAAAATAGTAAAGATTCACTTTTCTTTTGTCTTTTATTTTCAGACATATCAATGAAGATACTTGAAACATGTTTCATTAATCAAGTTAAGAGTTTTTCACTTCTTACGGATCCATGCATTCCGCATCTAAACATGTTTTTCTGTCCTCCTTTTTTTCTTTTCTAATACGCAATACTTTTCTATTAGCACAAGATCACTTTCATTCGAGGCAGATGATAGCATTCGGTTAGCAATGAAAAAGAAAAAGTCTCAAATGTGTTCTCGGAACTTCTATTTCTAAGAGATTTGACGAGTTTTGGAAGCGTTTACAATGTAAATATGATTGAAAATTCATTCTGAATTTCAATGTGAATTAATTATTAACTTCAAATCGATTAAGTTAATCGTTTATTTAATTTTTCTACTGACTCTGAACTTAACAAATCAATCATTTGAAATCAACTACAATTACCACTTAATTAATAATTCGAAATGAGATCAACATGACAGATTCTGAATTTTTTATCTTGTCAAACATTTCAATCTTGTGGCTTTACTCGGAGACTTTTACTTTTTTCTATGTCGATTTGCAATTTATGTTTAACAATTTCCATGCATAATTTTAATGCAACTGCTGTAGAAATTTCTTCACTTCCCACAAGTTAAAGTGAATGCAAGTAAAATTGCTTCTATCAACTGTAATGTCGTGACATGTCTCGAAAGAATTCCCTTTCATTTTTATTTCTTTATCAATGCCATTTACCAATAATAACTTCCTATGATGCATTTTTAAGTAACAAATCGAATCTTCACTTTCTAATCAGAAATTAAATTCAATTCACTGTGTTTTTCTTGCTTAAGTTGATTATTCTCTTTGCTTATAATGTTTCTTTTTATTTTATATTTCCTTTCAATTTCATCCGATCACCTTGAGAGTTTTGCTAAAACTAAGACGCTTCACCTTGTAGAATCATCTTTTATTAAACAATTTTCTTTTCTTTCTCTCTGCTATGTTCATGTTAAACTCGCTTTTCCAACAATTCCGTAACTATTGCAGAGGAAAAGAGTCTCGATATGTTTTTTTTTTGCAATAAAACACTCGCATCGTACAATAAACTGAAAGAAAGTAAAATTTTTAAGACAAAAGCTTTAGTTGCTGTTTTTTCTCTTTTTTCTTTGAAAAATGTTTTGCTTCTCTTCGTCGCATGACTTGAGTTGGTTAGTGACCGTCAAACCACATCTTTATGCTTTTATGAAACAAGAAATTTTCCTTATGTACTCGTTCTTTCGAGACTTGTCTCAACTCTCCAAGATTGATCGCCATAAAATATAAAAAATGTTTATCGGTTCTTTTGTTTGGCATGAAATTTTAATTTCCTTTCATTAATGCACATTTATCTCACTTCATATCATTAGACGATGAAATTAAACAATAAAACGTTTGCATTTTCCGTTCATTCTCACTTAACTTTTATGACAAAAGTTGTAAAATGATAAAAGATTCGATTAGTCACAATTTAAATATAGAAAAATTCGAGTTGAACAAACTTCGTCGATAAATATAAAATTTTGCATTTCAAATAATAAAAAATATTAAAAATTACTTGCTTAATTAAGTGTTTTAATCGATTCAATTGTCTTGAGATAAAAACTTTGACTTAAAGCTCATCGCCTTGACGCTCCACAAACCACAAAATTGTTTCAATGCGCATTACCACATTCATTGTCTTCAACATTTATGTTGGAAGTTATTAAAACTTCTTCTTCTCTTTTTCATTATCGTGCCGATGTTGTAATCGATTAGAAGTTTTACAACAGTGTCAAATTATCAATTAACTCAAAAGCTTATATTGAAGTCATTTCGTTACGCAATCAATGTTTTAAATACCGTCATATAAAATGAATGAACCTTCCTGTCATCAGCTCATCCAACTGTGAACGTTAATAAACATTTCATTCCTTATATTTAGTTACATAAACGTTTCTCAATTAACATTATTAAGATTAATCTACATCAAACAGTTATCGAGAGCTTTTTACCGTGACCTTGAAAACAATAACTTGAGCATTTCAAATAAAGCTTTTCTACCATTGAAAGCTTTTCTTTTCTCCCCCTTCGAATCGTTTAATAACTTTATTATTTTTCTCTTTCACTCTTAAATGTCAAATCCACAAAACGATTTTTTTTCACTGCTCCACTTTGTCACACGCAAAAATGCGAACTCATTTAAAGTCAGTGATCGACTTTAACCTACAGACTTGTTGCATTGAAATTGCATTGCATAAAATGCGCAAAATCAAAGGCATTAAAAGTTGGAAAATTATTCAATAGTGCGATTACGTATTGAACCTTTTATCACTCGCAAGGCATTTTTTCTGCATTCTAATTTCTATCGTTTAGCATTTATTCGCTTATGCATTGAACGTTTAAATAAATATCTCGAATATATTTTTTAATTTTTGTAGAAATTCTCATTTTTATTGCGTTTCATTTGCTACGAGTATCTTTAATCTCATTAAATAATAAATCACACAAGATATCTAACGAATCTTTGGATTTTTTGTCCGTTTTTATGAAGCAGGAATATTTAACCATAGTATGGATATGCTGGGCCGACGGCGGCTTTAGCGACGATTGGTGCGCCATAGGCAGCATGGCCATAGGCAGCATGACCATAAGCAGCATGACCATAAGCTGCTGGGTATCCATAGCCAGCACCAATTACTTTAGCGACTGGGGCAGCAACGACTGCTTTAGCGACAACAGCAGCTTCTTTTCGGACAACAGCGTTGAATCCATTGACTGGATCAGCTGTGTAGTCAACGATACGTCTGGTTCCGTCAGCTTCGATGAGTGAGTATTGTCCAGTCACAACATCTCCTTGTCTTGATTCTGATTGTGATTTGCTGTCTCCGGTAAGGGCATCGTTGACTGAGTATGTGTATTGATAATGTGGGTTGGCATCATATTCAACAGATTTAACGATAGCTGGGGCACCGAGAACCTTAGCTCCACCATAGTAAGGGGCAGCAGGGCCAGCTAATCCATAAGGTGTAGCAACAATTGGTGATCCTGATGCATAAGCGATCAAAGCAAAGATTGTGACGAACTGGAAATATGATTGAAAGTAAGAAAGAAAACTTTTTATTCTCCACGGTTCTAACTCACTCTGAACATTTTGATAATATTTTTATGGTTTAGCTTGAAATATTCGAAGTGATTGATATTGATACAAGAACTGAATGATTTTACCAAGAGTTCGCTTGTTTTTATACAATTTTTCTAACACGTTAGGCTTAATCAGCTTAAGTTTTTGTTTTTGTTCAGCGAGAGAACTGTGTGCGTATTTTCTATAATCTTGCATGTTGCAATTTTTTTCTTCTCCCTCACACGCGCCTTAATTTTAGGTTTTTATTTTTGCAAGCGTTGCACTTTTAAATGCACAATATTATATCAGTGGTGATATTAAGAGTAGTTCACTTTATGAAAACATGATTATTAATTAAGTTTATGAGTCGTTTTTTACTATCATTTAATATTAATTTAAACAGCAGTGAACCAGACTTTAAATTCCTTTGCATCAAAATGATAACATTCCTATCAAGGTGAGTTATGAGAGAGCAAAGACTAGGAACATTACTAAAAGCAATCAGTTGAAAGTATAATTAACAACAGTATGCAGTCTGCAAGAGCCTCAATATGTCATGCATCGAACAAATTGATTAAGTCAATTATCGGTGATTCATATTAAGACTTAATGTTGCCAACCTTGATGAAAAATGTGCGTTAAAAATTGAAAGCTCTATTTTGTTGAAATCATACCTACCTAATTAATTTTTAAGTGGCAAAGATTGAAATAACTTTATGATTAAATTTACGTGATTAAATTCAGCATGTTTCATTTGTACAGATAAATATTTATTTAATATTCAAAGATATGCAAATATTCAATTAGATTAAAAGAATTATGAATTCAAATTACAAATAAATAAGAACATCTTTTAATTTTATATTCTCGCACTAGTTGAATTACGTTTATTCAATACTTTTTTTTAAATCCACAAAACATTAACAATCAGGAAGCATTAAATCTTGATAATAGAAATCGTCATAATTTTTATCGAAACATTTGTTGTCTGATAAGAAAACTGACGAGAGTTGCTTCAGTTTCGCGAACTCTTCTATGTCTGTTATAATTTCAATTTTATTTGAAGACAAATCCAAATAATTTAAGTTGAGAACATTTGCAAAATATTTCGGTGTGAAGTAAACAAGTTCGTTATGTTCCAAGTTCACATACTCCAATTTTATACAAGATGAGAAAAGTTCGATTGGAAGTTCTGAAAGCTTGTTGTCTTGCATTTGCAGTTCTCTCAAATTATGTAGACTTTGAAATGACTTTCCTGATATTCTTTCAATGTTGTTCCCAGCAAGTCTCAAAGTTCTAAGTTTAGCTAAAACTTCAAAAGAGTCATCAGCTAGAGCAGCAATAAAATTAGCATTCAAATGCAAAGAACGCAAATTTGAAAGAGATTTCAATGCTTGATGTGGAACAGAAGTCAAATTGTTGTACGACAAATCAAGAAAGTTTAAATCAACAAGACCAGAGAATGAATTTTCTTCGATTTCCCCAATTTCATTTCTGATCAAAATCAAATGTTTCAGTGGCACGAAGTTCTGAAACCACTCATCGATAACTTTTGTAATGTGATTGAGTCTTAAATCTAAAGAAGTTAAATGTTTAAAATTTTCAAATTCATTTTTCACTAAGCGCTGCAATTGAACATTCCACAAGTTTAATTTCTTAACATTTGGAAATTTCTCTGAAATTCCTTCAGGGAATAAATCTAAACGTGAGTTGACCATCTGAATTACTTGCACATTCTCATCATTATTACTGTTTAAATGACTTCCACTTATGGCGAACTCTTTTTGCTGATCTTCCGAATAAATCGCAGTTAATTTGCACGAATATAAATTTTCATTGTCATAGAAATATTCACAAAAAGAATTTTCAAAGTTGGAAAAACATGATTGAAGCGCTACATTTAATTCCGTTCTATTAGTTTTAACAAAATTTCTATTAATACAAATGTTACTTAATAGGTCAAGACTTGCTAAATTCATCATCTCAGAGAACAAACCAGCTTCAACGGCATAAATTGATGCATTTCTTGCTACAAAATTAGTTAATAACTTCAACATTTTAAAATCTTTAGCAATTAAACGATTTAACCGATTTGAACTGATATCCAAACTCCTTAAGTTCGTCAATGTCTCTAGAAATCCCAACTGGAAAGTTGTTAACTGATTATTATTTAACTTGAGCTCCTCTAAAGAGTCACAATTTCTGAACAAATCACGACTTATAAAACTGATTTTATTTCTGGATAAATCCAAATATGTTAAGCTTTCAAGTCCATTGAAAGAATTTGCTGGAAGATCTTTCAATTTATTATCAATGAGAGAGATCCACGTAAGATTGTTGCCGTTTTTAAATGAATCGTTTGTAATATATTTAATTCCAGTATCTCCGAGTTCAAGTCTACGAAGGTTTGGGAAATTTTCTTGGATTTCTGTTGGAATAACTTCGAAGTCCAGTCCGCCTTTCCTTGTGTCTCGTCCAAAATATCGAGCGTTTTCATCTCCAAAGCTACCTTGATGAATGCACGTAAAAACGAGTGAATCTCCTTCACGAAATATACCACGTGATTCACCGTAGCATGAATACTCGTATGGGACGTTTAAACAGTCACAATCTATGGTGACTTCTTTTGTACTTGTCGCACCGAACAAAGAAATTAAAAATAAAACAGTTTCCTTAAATTTCATTCCGATCTCATCGAAAAATAAACGATTACTAAAATAATACGCGAATTATGATTTGATAAGCTTATATTCAATATAAATTGTTTTATTACACCTTGTCAATATAATCGAAATCATTTTCTTATCATGAATGATAACATAATTATGTTAAAAATAATTTTCATCGCATTCCTATTTTTGTCATTCATTCTTTTAATAAGACAAACATTCGTTAATTTTGAATTTCAAATTCCAGATGTCTTGGGTACCCCCAAATGAAGATTTGTTTGGCCGGGTGTAAACAAACATTTTCAAAAATACTGAAAAACTTTTAAACGTCTGATCATTTGAGGACTGATTTTCTAGTTAATTATTAATAACAATAAGTAAAATGAATTGTTGTCGACTCTGTGGTGAAGAAAAGCCATTTTTCGAATTCAATGTGGAGCTTAGCGATGAATCAAATTCAAAGTGTACATTCAAAGAATTGATAGAATATCACACTCGTGTAATAATTGATGAGAATAAACTTTTACCACAAACAGTATGTGATGGATGTCAACGCAAAATTGAAGATTTTGTACAATTTTCATCAAATGTTCAGTTAACACAGACACAGTTAGCTGAAAGAAACATCGAAAATCCAATTGATATTCCACCAATAGAATTCATGGAATGTTTTGTGAAACTTGAACGATATGAATGTGATAATATAGTTCAAGATTTCGAAGTAGTTGATATTCCTATGGCAGATGAATTTGAGTACAAAGAAAGTCCAAGAAGAAAATCTCAAAAGAAAATAAGACAAAAAATCAAAAAAACTTCTATTAAAAAGGAATCCGAATCTTCTAACACCCGAATCTCCACCAGATCTTCAACAAACTTAGGTTTTAAAGAAGCCATCGAGATTAAAATAAAAAAGAGCAGTTCTGTTCAAATAGAACCCAAACAGAATTTATTTGGCAGTGAAATTGATTCATACGAAAAACTTTTCAAAGATGAAATCGAACGTAACTCAAGATACAATGTTTACTTGCATTTGAATATTGATGAAATTTATAAACTTCCTAATGGAGAAATTCAAGGAGAGATTGCAGAGAAATATTTTCCTATAAGATGGAAAGATATTTTGATGTGCTCGATATGCAAGAAAAGGTTTGAAAATATGGAAGAGCTTGAAGTTCACGGAAACAACGATCATGGAAAAGCGAACTGGAAAATTGTGAGTGCAAAAGATGAAAGTTTCAGTGGCAAGATTGATTGTGTTACGTTCTTAAATCAAATGATAATTTCTTTCTTCTACGAGGATCTGAGATTCTGTTGCGTTATCTGTTCTAAAATGTTTTTTGATTGTTTGTCACTTGTCAACCATTATAAACGACATGAAAATGAATACTCGAATTTAATAATGTGCTATATTTGTGGACTTTATACGAAGAATTTAGAGCAAATGAAAAATCACAAAGCTCTTCACGCTGTCAAAGAATGGTCATCAAATGGAGAAATTTGTGAAAAGGTTCATCAAAGATATCTCGGAGATCCGACTAAAAATATGATAAATCCACAAGTGGCTGAACATGAAAGACTTCCTGGAGGAACTGTCACTGATGAGTGTCAGCAAAGACTTGCAGTAGATTGGAGTTATGGAAATTTCCAATGTAAGTTATGTTGCATTGAGTTTCAGAATCCTCCTGAACTTTTTCTTCACTCTCGGAAACAACATGGAGAAGGATTTACAGGTGGTAGTTATGGATGCAAGATATGCGCAGAACAAAAGAAATATATAATTAAAAATACGTTCAATTATATTTTCACCTTTATTTCTCATTCTTTTGAGGAAAATCATCACGAAAGCATAAAATTTTCATGTATTCGTTGCATGAAAGTTTTTTGGAACACTTTTGCTCTCTCAAATCATTACCGAAATGTTCATCCTATGTTCACTGCTATTTACTGTAACCATTGCGGTATTGTCGTCAGGGACTCTTCCCAAGCCATGAAACATTACAAGAATAAAGAAGTTCTAAATGAGGACGAAAAGATTGAAAAGAAAAAGAAAAAGAGTGTTTACGTTTGTCACGTTTGTGCCAAAAAATGTGAATACGAATCAATACTTCTCAACCATCTTCAAATACATGAACCAAAGAAAATCAAAGAAGACAACTCAAGCGAAATATTTGCATGTAACGTTTGCACCATGACGTAAGTACAGATCATAAGAGAAAATTTAACATACAATTATTAACTATTTACATGTAGATTTCCAGACAAGTATAGATTACATTGTCACAAGCGAGTTCACCTGAAATACGAGGAAAAACTTCTCCATAAATGTGATAAGTGTGATAAAAAATATGTTTCAAAAAGTATGCTGAAAGATCACATTGCGGTAAGATAACTTGAAATAATTTCTAATTTGATGATAATTTCTTCAGTTTTTCATTCTTTCAGGGAGTTCATGAAAATCGTAAAGAACATCAATGCTCTCAGTGTGAAGACCGCTTCATTTTCAGAACTACATTGAAAGTAATATTTTTGCTTGTTGACATTCATTTAATATTAATTAATCTTTTTTTTTTTCTTAATTGTCAAGGCGCACATAGAAAGACGACACATTACGCATCGGCGTTATAATTGCACAGTAGAATCATGTGAAGGATCATCTTATAAAAAATGGAGTACTTTGTATTTTCATTGTAAAAACAAACACAATCTAGACATCCGTTCAGAGGCTTACAAAAAGAGACACAATATAAAGGTTCAAGAACAATAAGAATTCAACAACTTCAGAATAAAATAGGGAAAAATTTCTTTGCTCGAAATAATTAGAAAAAGTTTGGCTTAAGCATGAAAGGAAAAAATAAAAAAAACTTTCTTTGTTTATGTTTATTTCAGGGGTTGGAAGCTTAACGATTTTTCGCAAAAAGCTTCTAAGCTTCCGCTTCGGCTTCTCAAAATTCTGAAAAAGCTTCCAAGCTTCCGCTTCGGCTTCCCAAAATTTTGAAAAAGCTTCCAAGCTTCCGCTTCAGCTTCTCAAAATTCTGAAAAAGCTTCCAAGCTTCCGCTTCGGCTTCTCAAAAAAATGAGCTTCTTTAAGCTTCCGCTTCCGAAGCTCAAAAAGATGAGCTTCTTTAAGCTTCCGGCTTAAAGTCGGTTCATTTTCCGAACCGGTTCATTATGTTTAAATTTCCGTTAAACCAAATAAAAATTCAAAGCATGCTGCAATATAAAAATTTTAAGCTTCCTTCGGCTTCTCAACATTGAAAAAGCTTCTAAGCTTCCGCTTCGGCTTCTCAAAATTCTGAAAAAGCTTCCAAGCTTCCGCTTCGGCTTCCCAAAATTCTGAAAAAGCTTCCAAGCTTCCGCTTCGGCTTCTCAAAAAGTTGAGCTTCTTTAAGCTTCCAGCTTCCGCTACCGCTTCGGCTTCCGACCCCTGGTTTAAATAACGAATGTCGAATGACGAAGTCGACGACCAAATGAACAGTCGTTTATATCAATAAATTGGAAAACTGAGAATCAACTTGAAAGTGTTTTGTATATTTTTATGATAATTTCTATTATTCTTAATGCATTCNAGAGTGTTTACGTTTGTCACGTTTGTGCCAAAAAATGTGAATACGAATCAATACTTCTCAACCATCTTCAAATACATGAACCAAAGAAAATCAAAGAAGACAACTCAAGCGAAATATTTGCATGTAACGTTTGCACCATGACGTAAGTACAGATCATAAGAGAAAATTTAACATACAATTATTAACTATTTACATGTAGATTTCCAGACAAGTATAGATTACATTGTCACAAGCGAGTTCACCTGAAATACGAGGAAAAACTTCTCCATAAATGTGATAAGTGTGATAAAAAATATGTTTCAAAAAGTATGCTGAAAGATCACATTGCGGTAAGATAACTTGAAATAATTTCTAATTTGATGATAATTTCTTCAGTTTTTCATTCTTTCAGGGAGTTCATGAAAATCGTAAAGAACATCAATGCTCTCAATGCAAAGAACGTTTCATTTTCAAAACTTCACTAGAAGTAATATTTTTGCTTGCTGACATTCATTTATTATTTATTTATTAAACTTTTATTTCTTAATTTTCAAGTCGCACGTAGAAAGACGACACATTACGCATCGCCGTTATAAATGTACAGTAGAATCATGTGAAGGATCATCTTATAAAAAGTGGAGCAATTTGTATAATCATTGTAAAAACAAACACAATCTAGACATCCGTTCAGAGGCTTATAAAAAGAGACACAATATAAAGGTTCAGGAACAATAAGAATTCAACAACTTCAGATTAAAATAGGGAAAATTTTCTTTGCTCGAAATAATTAGAAAAAATTTGGCTTAAGAATGAAAGGAAAAAATAAGAAAAAACTTTCTTCGTTTTTGTTTATTTTTATGTGAGAATAAATAAATCACAATTCCAGGAAAACTGTTTTTCCTTCAATCATTTATCTTCAGCAAGATTAGCTTAATCTAACCCAAATTCTATTTATTCGAGATTAAAGTGAAAGATGCGAAACTTTCTGCATCATTCTAATCAAAATAAATTTCGTGGCATTGGAAATCTTCGAAATGAACGATCTTTTTAAAAGTAATTCATCGGAAGTAGAACTATGCTTTGATCAGAACGAGTTCCTGAAGGTTCAAACATTTTATGATATTAAGAAACTTAGTTTATCCTTTAAATTTATCTTTTTTCAGAGTAATTTCTCAACTGATGAATTCTTGCACAATTATCGAAATTCGGCGACTTTAGAAACCTTCAGAGATGATCTCGGAATTTATTTGAAGATTCTTCGTTCATCTATGATCGAACTTATCAATGAAGACTATGCCGATTTCGTGAATCTATCAGCAAATTTAGTGAATCTGGATAAACACATAAACAAGATCAGCGATCCTCTTAAAGAGTTAAAAGATGAAATTGTCAGCGTTCGTACATGTCTTGAAGACTGTATGAGTGAAATCAATGAATGTCTGAACGACAAACGACGTTTTCAACAAATCAAGAAAANATTCCTGCTACAGCAAAAGTAAAAATTTCTAAAGAAACTTCAAAAGAAGGAGAAATGCTTCCATTTTCTGTCAAATTAAAATTTTGTTTTAAAACCTACAAGGTAATTGGGACGGTTCATTTTTTGTTATACAAAATCAAACGTGATCAAGTATAAAATTTGCAACAGTGGTTACTGAAACGGACATATCGATGCAAGCAAATTTAATAGTGTACTGAAATAGGGAATGGACACTCAAAATTGGTTTTTGGGTTGAGCTGTAATAATTTTTTTAAGAACAAGGTATTTTGAAAAGGCATTTAGAATAAGTACATAGAAGTTAAAAAAAGGTGGAAAATCTAAAGCCAAACGTATTCCCAGTGTGTTGTGAAGTGTTTTGTATAAAACTGTTGATCCAGTTTATTTCTGTTTTCTAAAGATCCCATCATCGATAAACAATATTAAGCCGATAAGACAATTAGATATTATTCGTGCTTCATGTCAATGCCATAATATTTTGTTTAAATCAGGGGTCGGAAGCTTAACGATTTTTCGCAAAAAGCTTCTAAGCTTCCGCTTCGGCTTCTCAAAATTCTGAAAAAGCTTCCAAGCTTCCGCTTCGGCTTCCCAAAATTTTGAAAAAGCTTCCAAGCTTCCGCTTCAGCTTCTCAAAATTCTGAAAAAGCTTCCAAGCTTCCGCTTCGGCTTCTCAAAAAAATGAGCTTCTTTAAGCTTCCGCTTCCGAAGCTCAAAAAGATGAGCTTCTTTAAGCTTCCGGCTTAAAATCAGTTCATTTTCCGAACCGGTTCATTATGTTTAAGTTTCCGTTAAACCAAATAAAAATTCAAAGCATGCTGCAATATAAAAATTTTAAGCTTCCTTCGGCTTCTCAACATTGAAAAAGCTTCTAAGCTTCCGCTTCGGCTTCTCAAAATTCTGAAAAAGCTTCCAAGCTTCCGCTTCGGCTTCCCAAAATTCTGAAAAAGCTTCCAAGCTTCCGCTTCGGCTTCTCAAAAAGTTGAGCTTCTTTAAGTTTCCAGCTTCCGCTACCGCTTCGGCTTCCGACCCCTGGTTTATTTTTATGTGAGAATAAATAAATCACAATTCCAGGAAAATTGTTTTTCGTTCAAACATTTATCTTCAGTAAGATTAGCTTAATCTAACCCAAAATCCATTTAATCGAGATTAAAGTGAAAGATGCGAAACTTTCTGCATCATTAAAATCAAAATAAATTTCGTGGCATTGGAAATCTTCGAAATGAACGATCTTTTTAAAAGTAATTCATCGGAAGTAGAACTATGCTTTGATCAGAACGAGTTCCTGAAGGTTCAAACATTTTATGATATTAAGAAACTTAGTTTATCCTTTAAATTTATCTTTTTTCAGAGTAATTTCTCAACTGATGAATTCTTGCACAATTATCGAAATTCGGCGACTTTAGAAACCTTCAGAGATGATCTCGGAATTTATTTGAAGATTCTTCGTTCATCTATGATCGAACTTATCAATGAAGACTATGCCGATTTCGTGAATCTATCAGCAAATTTAGTGAATCTGGATAAACACATAAACAAGATCAGCGATCCTCTTAAAGAGTTAAAAGATGAAATTGTCAGCGTTCGTACATGTCTTGAAGACTGTATGAGTGAAATCAATGAATGTCTGAACGACAAACGACGTTTTCAACAAATCAAGAAAAGCCTCAAAACATTGAAAGTCGTCAGATCGTCACTAGAAAAACTCACGAAACTTTTAGAGACTATTGAATCAAGTGACACATCAAGTCGATCAATTCTACTTGAAAGAGCTGCTCTTGAACACATTCAACTCCAATTTAATGTTAAATATTGTAAACAGTTTCTAGAAAGTGACGAGAAGAAGTTGATTGATGAGTTGGAAGTGAAATTGTTAAAAGTTTTGGAAGAATTCTTTCTGTCAACTTTATCAACGACAACATCAACAAAGACGAGCAATTTGGAAGATCTTGAAAGATGTTTGAGGATTTATTACACATTGGATAAATGTTCATTAGCTGAAAGTATTTTCCGAAAAGAAGTTTTGAGTTTCATGGAGAATGTAATCAGTGAAAAAAGTCTTCAAAACAATCCAAATAATCTCGCTGGCGTTTACAATCAAATTCTCGACTTTATTTCAATAAAAATGAAGAATTTGTTGAGTTTAACAAGGGGAAAATCGATTAAGATTAAAGGTTACAATTTTCTTTTCAATAGTTTTTGGAGTGCGATTGAAGAAAAAATTGAAACAAATTTGTCGTCAATTTTTGCTCCTGGTGATCCACAAAACTTCTTCCAAAAATACAAATGTACGATTGAGTTCCTAAAACGAATAGAAATGATCATCGATGATCCACGATTAATAGAAGAATTCCATCAACATGACCAGTACATAAAGTTTCAAGGACGATGGAATTTGCCAGTTTACTTTCAGATTCGTTTCCAAGAAATTGCAACAAGTCTGGAAAAAGTCTGCGAAATTGATTGGAAGACTCTTCAACAAATGTCAAGTGAATCGAATCAAATGCAAGTGAAACCATTTTTGGAAGCGATCAATTGTGTCGCTAAATGTTGGATGGATGGCGTTTATCTTGATGAAATCTTTCCAAAATTCTTTAAATTAACACTTCAAATTATCGCTCGCGTAATTCATTGGGCAGATGACGTTTTGAAAGATACTTCGAATCAAACTGAAGATCTTCAAGATTTTTACACAATTCTTCATCGCGACATTTCAACATTCACTTTAAAACTTCTTCAAATCGAAGAACTCGTCATACAAAAGTGGTCAGAAAATCAAAAAATGAAGGAAATCATCGATGAGAATTCAATTAAAAGCTGCTTCAATGAACCAAGAGAATCATTAAAAGAACACCAAAAAAAGATTGAAAAGCAAATTGTTGAAAAGTTGATGATCACTTCTTTCAAATCTATTAAGAATGTCCAAGACATTCCAAGATTATTCCGTAAAACAAATCGCGATGTTCCTACAAAACACTTGCCATATGTCGATCAGATTGTTCGTCCAATTGGAGATTTCGTCGATAAAAGTTCGAAGAATTATCACGGCGATGTTGTAAGAAGTATTCTTAAAGAAACATTTAGTCAATTAACAATTCAGTGAGTCAAAATCACAAATTTACTTTGCAAGATGATTTAAAAAATTCAAATTTTAATTTTTCAGATATTACAAATCAGTTGATGAAGTATTAACATCAGTTCAGAAGACTGAAGAATCTTTGAGACGTTTAAAGAATCTTCGTGAGAAATCATTACAAACGTCAACATCCGGAGACAAGCCAATCATGACAGATGATGATAAAATTCGATTGCAACTTCAAATCGACATTATGTATTACGTCAGTTACATTGAATCACAACAACTTAAACGAGAAGATATCGACAGTCTTCTAGCACTTGTCAATCTCATCGATGACATTACAAAAATTAAATTTTCTGCTACATAAAAATGGAAAATTTTATAAAATAAATTTATTCGTCATCTTCTTTAATCATTTGTTCAATTATTCGCTTCCGCTCTTCTGCTTGTCTCATTTGTCGTAGAACTAAACTTTCGTAGTCGGTTGAAGTTACAGTTGTGCCTGATTTTCGATTTTTTGGTGCATCGCCGATCCATGAAAGTTTCAATGGATTCTCAAGGATTCCTTTTTCATAAGCAATCGCCATTTCACCAGCATCTTGTGTTTTAAACTCAACAACTCCACTTCCCTTTTTCTTACTCGATACAAGAAGAACGACAATGTCGCCGTATTTGTTAAGGAATTTCGTGAGGTTCTCGTGATTGTAACCGCCATTTAACGAATCGTTTTTATCAGTAGACCATTTAATTTTAATTCTATGTTTTGAAGAATCCCATGTTGTCGAAGAGGAACTGAACACATGACGTTCTTTGTAGATTTGTTGTCTTAGCAATTCATTCTCTTCTTCTAGGAATTTTTTATTTTCTCTCATGATTCGTTCAAGTTCAGTTTTGAAAATTTCTTCAGGTGTTTGAGATTTTCCACTATATCCGGTCTTTTTTCCAGCTGCCTCACGTTCCCTTGCTTCGAGATCAGATTTCAATTTTTGACGTTTACTGTCAAGTTGTTGATTTCGCAATTCATTCGCTTTTTTAGCTCGAAGCATCCGATCGTAAGCTGATCTGGCAGATACATCAATTAAAACAGCTAAAGCATCCTGAAGTTGATGAAAAAGTTCTGCAGCTTTTGGATTATCAGGATTTTTATCAGGATGACATTCAAGTGCTTTCTTTCGATATGATTTTCTGATCTAAAAACATAAAATAAATGATTACGAAATTGATTTAATTTATCTTTAGAAATGTTAACTTACTTCTGCTTCTGTGGCTGTAAACTCAACTCCAATGAGCTTGTAGAGATCAATATCACTGAATTTCTTAAAATCAGCCATTCTGTCGTTATTAAATTAATGTTGTGAAACTTAAAGATTTTAAATCGTTCAAAATTGAACAAACAAAACACAATTGAAGCAAAAAAAGAAGCAGAAATGGAATTGCGATTAAGTTAAATCCGTTTTAGAGTTTGATTTAAGATTAACTTTAGGATTAAGTTAATCTCGATGGAATATTTAACATTAAAGTTGAAATCATTCCTCTAACATAATCTCCTTACATGATCATATGAATGATGGTGAATTAACAGGATTCATTCGTTTTTAAGGAAAAATTCTTTTTTACTAAATTTTTGTCTGTATTTTGATATATTTTAACTATCATCTACAACACAACACGGATTTTTTATATTCTATTTTTATTAAGTCATAAACTGGCTTTCTTCGCTTATAACTTGATTGTTTTCGGTGGTTGGACCACTTTTGTAAGAGTGGTCAACATCAAATACAAAAATACTTCAAATGTATTAAATATCTCTACTTTGGATTACTTTTGTTATTTAAAAAAAGTTGATCTTGCGTGTAATAGTTGATTATGGCTGGTGCTAAATTTAAAAATAAATTTTTTTGTTCAAGTCATCGTGATTCATTGATAAAAAACATTTAATGATATTTCTAAAAGATTCTAAGAGATTTCTTTTAAGTTATATTTTGTAAAATACATGTGGTGGATGTTAGATGTGTGTATAAATTTCGGCTTTTTTAAAACTAATGTACGATCAATAAATTATGCAAATCTAACAAATTTCGTTCGCGTATTGTTTAGATTTTCTCCATTTCAACAATTTCCTCAGTTTTCGATCTGTCACTGATGAGTAAACAAGATTTTTGATAGCGTCCGACTTATTTTTTGTTTTAAATTTATTCATCAGTGAAAGTTAATTTTAGAAACTTTAAAATGGATAATTGGATGGTCGCTATCATCTGCATAATAGCAGTGGGAGTGCTGATAATAGTGACAATGGAAACTATTTATTTTACAAGAATGATATTCTGTTATTTTATGGCAAGATTTATAAAGAAAAGAGTTCACATTTTAGAGAAATGTACATTGAGTGGTAAGATGAATGAAATTAATTTATTCAACATTCATAAAATAAATTAAAATTTTAAAGGAATCTGCACGACAAGAGACGTCGATATGATTTTAACACATATGAATAATGCACGATATTTGCGTGAAGTCGATATGGGAAGAATTGATTTTTACATACGTTCTCGTCTTTGGGAAGTTGTGAAAAGTCAAAACGGTCAAATTCTTCTTGGAACTGCATTTGTAAGATTCCGAAAGTATGTTGGACTCTTTCAAAGATTTAAATTGACAACAAAAATCGTTTACTGGAATGAAGACAGCATTTTCATTGAACATAAGTTTGTGGGACGTGATGGTTTTGTTCATTGTACTTTACTTTGTCAACAAAGATTAGTGAACTGTTCTGGTGAGATTGTCATGGATATTTTACTTAAAAAAGGTAGCTCAATTCTCCCGAAACCCGACATGCCAATGGAGGTAAAGCAAAATTTAATTTCATGAGGTCGACCAGGCGAATTATTCTATGCGACATTATGAGCTTTATTTAGCTGGTAGTTTGATTGATAATTGACCTGGTCAGCCTTCTCTGAATTATAATCTCTAAACACGTAAAAACTGATTTCACAATTCATATTTCGCTCACAGATCGCAAAATTCCTCGAACTTCAAGATATCTCCAGAAAGACTTTAAGCAATAACAACATCGTTTAACAGCTTTGGCACGTGCATAAGCTTGTAGTGCGAAAATAATGTAAACAACGCAAAAGCGCAAACTCATAAAACAGCTGATTTCGAAGTGGAATCAACGTCTAGATAACTTTTTTTCGTCCTTTCAGTAATGATTTAAGTTTCATCGAATTAAAAGCTTTCAATCCGTATTACATTTTTTTTCTGTGAAAGTTAAGACGTTTGAGAATATAATTGAAAAGATCTTTAAGATCTTAAAAAATTTATTGTTTTAAAAAGTTTCCTTAGCGAAAGTTCAATTGAAAGTTGTTTAAGTTTATCAGAGATTTAATAAAAAGCTACTTATTTTGTAATAAAAGCTTCAACATTTTTATTGAAACATAAATAGATGATTTTGATTCTTCAGTCAACATAAATTTGGTAGAAGATTTTAAATAATTCTTTAAGGTCATTAGCTGGTAAATTTTCATTGATTTTCCATGACCTCGACCGAGACGACGACGAATAAATATTTTTTTCATTGACTGCCGCAGAAATGCATCAAATATAAATCAATGATGTAACAGAAGGTTAAACTTCAGCTGCTCTGGGAATTCTACATAGTAATCAAAGAAAAAATTGATTCAGCTTATTTTGTGAATATTAATCAATATTCAGTAAAAATCTTTGAAAGAAATCAATCTAATCAAGATCATGTCAATGGGCACTTTCCTGTGCGTTGTAATCTTCATAATCTTCATTCTTCATTGCTTTTTTGAAGTTCATTATTTCTTGAGAATGACACTTTGTGTCATTTTGGCGAGATTCACGAAGAAGAAAGCTCATATTTTGGATCAAACATCATTTGGTGGTGAGTTGATATGATGAAAATTTCTACGACTTCATTCAATAAATTAATTTTTTATGGTCTCTTTTAAGGCATCTGTTTATCTAACGATATCGACACATTAATTACACACATGAATAATGTAAGTCAATGGAAAACACCAAAGGTTTCATTTATCAACACATTTTTTTAATTATTCATTTTTCAGAGTCGATATTTGCGAGAACTTGACTTTGCAAGGGTTGATTTCTATGAACGAACTGGTCTTTATAAAACGGTCAGAAACTTAAAGGGTGGAATTGTACAAGGTGCTGCAACAATTCGATATCGAAGGTTCATTAAACCTTTCTCTGTCTTTGATATCACAACGAAAATTATTTACTGGGATCCTCAAAGTATTTACATGGAAAGTCGATTTGTTGGCAAAGATGGTTTCATTCATGCTATTGCGATTTGTAAGCAGCGGCTTATCGACTGCTCCGCAGATGATGTCATGGATCTTTTACTTAAGGAAACGCCAACAGTTGAGTCATCAACAGAAAAATTGGAAAATGGAGATTTAGTTAGATTGAAGCCTGAAATGCCTTTGGAGGTGAAATCGATTTTTTGCAATAAACTATTCGAATATTTAAAAAGTTTTTCAATTTTAGGTCCAGAAATGGAATGAATGTAATGAAATTTCAAGCGCAAATTTAAGACGAATTTAATTCTTTTTCACAACTACAACCTGAAGCTTTTAAAAAGCTCAATAGAAGCTCAAAGCTAAAAGTTTTCAAGCACGCTGATGTCAAAATATTTTCAATTTATTTTTGTAAGATGAGCGTGATGACAATTTGTTTGAACAGAACTAAAACTTATTTGCTTCTTTAAGTTCTTCCCTTTTAATAATCTTAAACTTCTTTGCTTTCCATAAATTGTAACTTGATAAATGAACGTTGTAACAAATAAAATGAGAAGAAAGATATATAAAAATAAAACTTACATTATGTTGAAGAAATAATCGAAGAACTTTTAGCTCCACGATTATCTCAATGGAAAGAGAAAATGAATGAGAATTAAATGATCTTAAATTGATGTGGTCATTGATGTTTTTCATCATAGCTTCAAGTTGGGAGATAATTTGATTTCATCAAAGTGATATTCACACCAATTTGTTTATCTCGACTGCCGCTGTGAACAATCGAATTGAAAGAGTGCGAACATATCATCAAAGCCAGACAATGTACATGAACTAAATGAATAGAAACTAAAAAATCACTTTTGATCTATATAAAGTCATAACAGAAGTTCATTATCGTGCTGTTATACCTTTCACATATGCGGATAAGACCATAAATAAAAGAAAAGTCAGAATGAGAAGAAAAAGAATGCCTTTGTTATGATTGTTCATCATTTTTTTTTCTTGTCTGTCAGCGGAAGAAATGAAATGTTTAATGAAACTCATGGAAATCGTGTTTATAATTTTAACCCTTTAATAACGGCTGAGAATCTAGAGAGTGAATGTTGCTTGTTTATTTGCAAGACTTTTTTAGTTTCACGTTGAAATGTGAGTGGATTACGCTGATATGTGATTGGATTACACTGAAGTTTGAAACATTGAAACATTAGAAAACATTTCAAAACATCAGGAAAACATTGAAAATGGAGAGAGAAGTGTGGGAATATCTCGAGTTAAGTTTTTTTAAGTCGATTTTAAAATTTAAAAAAGTGGCTCATTCATTCAGTAAGAAGTTCTCGTTCGTTGCTGTTACTAATTCCGGTTAGTCGCTCGTGCTCACCGAATATATTTTGTTTTGTTTATTTATTGAGTTGGAGTATTTGAAGAGTGTTGGCTAAAATTTGAAATTTCGTTTGGCATTCCCATTGGATTATCGTCATAAGAAGTTTATTCGTGTCATCACCGTTAATTGATGAATTTTTGAGAATCGTTAGAAAAAGAAGAAGCGCTGAGAGCGTCAAAAGAAACATATTTTTTTGTATTTTGTTTACAAAGTGAAGAAATATTTAGCTGAACAAATTCAGTGATTTTCTCAAGTGATTTGATGAATCTCGTGGACAATGCGCTACAGGAAATGAGTTTAGTTCTCGGTTAAATGAAAAGAAAGATTTATTGAAAACAAAAGAAAACAAAAGACGAAAATACAAAAGACTTTTCTTTACATCGGCATTGCTACCAAGTGAAAACGTTTCACTCTAATCAGGTACGAATGTTGAAACATAAGACGATGAAAATGTTTGTGTAAATATTTGAAACCCGTTATGTTATGATACTTAAAGCATGCTGCATTGGACTTTTACGAGTTTCGAAGAATATTTACACATTCTTAAAAATCTTTCGGCTGAGATGTAACGATGAAACATTAGCTTTAAGTTTTATTTATATTCTTCGATGAAAATCATTGAAACTTCATAAGCAAGCAATTAAAAGCATCTGATGATGATTCAAGTGATTATTTTTGGATTCGCTTTGTCGTAACTTATATCAACGATAGCATCTTGGTAATCTCACTTAACATTCTTAAAAGTCTGGAAAAAGTTCTTTGCTTTGTTTACGCGGGAAATAATGTAAATAAGTTACAAGTGTTTAAATAACGCCCACGCGGTGAAAGTGACAGTCGATCAGGTTATTTATACTTCGACCGGTTAATCAAGAATTTCTTTTCCGATAAAACATCGTATGAATGAAATGGAAAGAAAAAAAAAATCAATTTCACCTGTTTACGATGTCCCCATTTAAATCACGTAGATAGTTTGTAAGTTTTTTACCTTTTCTGCTGTTTCTCTTTTATGTCCCAAATTTCATTCAGCTTCGTCATCATATTCAACAAGGTTTAAATTATTCTTCGTTTCTGTTGTGATTGCAATTTTGTGGGTGCTTCATATACGTTGTTGATTAATTTTATTGTCTCGGTCAGAGGAGAGTCATTAAGAGGGACAAACTATTATCTTGTTGTTGATCTGAACGATGCCTACAAGATCTGCAAACAAAACAAGGTTCATCATCCCATTCAACACTAAATTTAGCCGACTCAACGTTTCACAAAAGCCTAATATTTATTTATTCTCATTTGCTTAATGATATCACGTTCATTGCGAAACGAGAACTTTTTTCTCCCCTTCCGAAAGATGACGATTCTGGGTTAAATTTCAATTAAAAATGTAGATTTGAATGAAAGAGTTTCATATAATTAAATTTGTACTTGCATGACCCTTCATCATTCTTAATCATCATGTCAGATCTTTATGAAATCCTCTTTTTCTACTCTTTCCGTCACCAAACGTGACCGTGAATAATTTCCTTAGCTTTTCCCCATCCCACGATTTGTCTCAATGCCGAAAAATATAAAAATACTCATCGTTGAGTTACGAACAACAAGTCAGAAAGGTCATCGCAAAAAAGTGCATGAGATATGAAATTTAATGACCATTTAAATGCGGCATGAAAGCAAAGCAAAAACGAATAATCAGAACATTGAAGATAATACAAACTGCCAACAAAAAAAATGTTATTGTAATTTTTGTTGTCATCAGAGTTTGTCTGTAACGAAACAGAAACTCATCTGATAAGCATAAATCGATATCTGAAGAAAGAAATTTCTAAGAATCAACACAACCATACGTTGATGGAAACTTTGACTAGTTTATAAATAATAGAGCGATAGAATAGAAATGTGCAGCAATCGTGAGGGGAGCGCGAAATGGATCCATGGAAAATGATAACAAATAAATTGCTTTTGATTATGATGTTAGAATATCATTGTGTTTAATCAAAACATCCGTATATCAAGCGCTTTTAGCTTTCTGATATGATACGAAAATCTTTTTCAGTCAATAAGACATTGAAAGTGATGCTTCTTTGTATGTAGCTAAAAATGTTTAGGAAGAATTTTTTTCCCCAACTTTTCCTTGATGAAAATTTATGTTAATAAAAGTTTGACATAAATTTTCACGCTACTGAACGTCGTGTCTGAGAATATTCTGGGAAATGCATGAAATATAATTTTTTTTTTCAGCTTTTCGCCAACATTTTAAGATGAAAAATTTTCATTTCATTTTAATGGAGAAAAAGCTGACGCAGACTGTGAAAAACTTTAATTCAATTCTATCGACTGAACATCACGACACGAGAATGGATTAATAAATTTTCACTTCCCTTCAATTGAACGCTTCGCTTCGTGTCTGAATGGAATAATTTTTATGTTAATCTCACATTGCTGCAGCATTTTTGAGAAACCTTTTCCACTATTTACGTGAAGTTTTATTGCAATGCTAATGTTGTGTGCATGGATAAAAAAGAGAATTATTTACGAGGTTTATTTCTTTCGCATTATCAAATCAATTTTTCATTCTTACAGACGACACCGACGTCGGTATTTTTCGATCTCACTTCTAAAAAACATCCCACAACATAATGGGAAGCAGCGGGTATACTTGGTAAGTAACTGAGACAGATTCCATAATGGTCTGGCTCAGATGAATGAACAACATTAAAGTGAATTAATTCTAAATTCAATTTACAGCATAAGACGAACGTTTTGCTGTCTAAATGTTTTAGTCATGGTGAGTAGATTTCATGTCACTCGCTTTACTTTACATCTACGTAATTTCGCATGCAAGCATGAATGAAATGATCCCAAAAATAGCAAAAAATATACAACAAGCTGCGTGAAAACGGAAACGAAAAAAATCACATAATTGTTTAATGCATAATAAGTAAATCGAATACGATACGATGTTGAGAAGAATCAACGAGTCAAGACTTTTGCTGTCTATGCGTGCAAAAAAAAGCACTCAATTGAATTACAATTAACGTCTGTAAAACTTTTTTTTTCTCGTCATTATCATAGATTCAAAGCAAGAAAATAAAACTAAAAAGAAATGAAAATGATTTTCAATGGACCAGAAACAAAATTGAAGAAGATTGAAACAAATTTTTGTGTGTTATTCAAGACGTGAGATGAGGTTGACTAGATTTGCTTTATTTTTATATGAATTTAGTTAAATTTGAAACAATCTTGAAAGCTTGCCAATGTTTTCATGTTTCTAGTCAACCATCAAATGAATTCATAAGAAAACTGTAAATTGAAACTTCTCTCTTCGTGTTTTCCATTTTTTTGCGGTGGACAAATGGAATAAATTGCATGTACCGTTAAATATGAAATTTTAGATTTGCTTCGGCCCTTAGATTGACGTTCAGTGAAAACTAAAAACTTTCTTAATTGTCAATTTCAGTTATGTGGTGGTCTCTTCCTTGCGATGGGACTTTGGCTGCATTTATCTAATCAAGGCTACGCAACATTCTATCCTAACCATCTTGGATTGTCAGCAGCTCCACTTTTTATGTTGATAGGCGGAATGAGCATTTTGATATCATTCTTTGGTTGTTGCGGTTCTTTCTTTGAATCACGCTGTTGTTTGGTTATTGTGAGTCATCCGGCCGTTGAGGTTAATTGACCGCCACATCTTTAATCTACAATCTTTTCATTTCATTCACAGTATTTTGCACTCATCATATTTTTGTTTTTGAGTGAGTTCATCGTTGGTGCTTTGGTGTTTGTCTTCCATAGTGGAATTTCAAGAGCTATTACAATGGACATTAAAGATGGCATTGTTAAGCACTATAATTCTACTGATCGTGGTGGAATGATTGCACCATCAGTGTCAGCAATCTGGGATAAAGTTCAACGAGAACTTCAATGTTGTGGAGTTAAATCATATGAAGATTGGTTTTACATCGAGAACTGGCCAAATCAAAAATGGGTTCCAAAATCATGTTGTCGGCCTCGGCACTCATTGTCGCCAGATCTTTACGAGGGATCAGGTTATGAAGTTGAAGACGATTGTAGGAAGTGAGTGGGATTTTTTTCTGTTTATAGCTAATTAAATTAAACAATTAATTATTTTTCTTAATAGGAAACAACGACCAGATCTTTGGTGGAATCACGGATGTGCCAAAGCTCTTCAAAATCTGCTTGTTCAGAAGCTTCACGTTGTTGGAATAGCTGCGATTGTCATAGCATTTTTCCAGGTGATTAACAACTTAATTCTTTTAAACAATGAAAGGTAATAATTTATTTTATTTTTCAGCTATTCGGTCTAATAATCAGTATGTTGCTTTTCTGCACGATAAAACATAAAAAGTGAGTCTGACACAAAATTAAATAAATTTAAGTCACATGAAGACATGAAAAATTGTTCATTTGACTTAAGTTGAGACACTCGAAACTTCTAATTCAATTTAAATAAATCAACATTCTCATGACTTTCAGAAAATCTGACACTTACAAGTCATACTCGCCAACATCGGATAATCGACAATCTTATTTAGATGATTGAGCCATGTGATTCTAATTCCGACATCGGATCATAAAAGTCGTGTTTGTGCCCAAAGATTCTTCTTTCTTTACACTTTGAATATATAAAAATACCTAAATTAAGAAACACTTTCTACTTCTCGATTTCTTCACAAAAGAAGAAGAAAAAATATAAAAAAGAAATCAATTTGTGCCAATGAGATAATCAAATAATTTTAGGATGTTGATCAAAAGAAATGACGAAGGAGAAAAACATAAACTGTAGTTAAGTTACATATTATGAATGATGAATCACATTACAATTCAATTAGAATTAATGCTTGTTTTGGAGCCAAATGAAAGCCATAAGCAATAACAATTTCTGCTGATATCATTTGGAATATTGCGCATACAAATCAATCAAATATGTTTCCATAGAAATAAATAAGACAAATAAATCTCAAACCTCTTGAACCGAATGAAAGGGAAGTTGAAACTACAAACAGTAATCAGACAAAAATTTATGCAATTTCCTATAAATAAACATTCCAAATAAACAAAATTAAGTATTTATGTATCTTGATATCTTTCTCGATGCTCCAACAAATGCCCCTGGTTTTGATTAAAGCAAATTATATATAAAAAAAGTTCATGCGCTGATTAGAATTATTTTTAAAGCAATTAATTTGTGAAATTATACAAGAAAAGAAGAAAAAAACTGATAAGAAAATGAAGTGACAATTAAATTGTAATTTATTTTAAATAAAGAGAAATCAAATAAACGAGAATAAAGTTTAAACAACTCATTGTTTTAAAATAAGTAACGAAATGAAAGGAAATTGTGTTGGCGGTGTAAGCATCAAGTCCACTGTCTATTATTAAAGCACAAACTTCCTAATTTCGTACTCGAAGGGAAAAAAATCGTCAATTTTAAGTGGTCCATGCGTAACTAGATTAATTCGTTTATTCATCAATTAGAGACGCTGACAGAAAATTAACATACAGAGAATGATTTTGTTTTTGTCTTTTAAAGGCAAGCAGAATAATTGAATAATTAAGAATTTATTTACAAAAGCAATTCAGACAAGAGCGAGAGTTTTTTGTGAATGAAAATTTTAATTTAAATTCTTAAATGATGTTTGGTCGAATGGAAAATTTTGTGACGTACTTTGGTAACGTTCCAAACAATTCTGTGAATCCACGAATGTCACGACTGATGGCTTACAAAGACTTTTGTTATTTAGAATAATTTGTCCGAGAACGAACTTTGAATTAATTGACCTTGGCCAACTAACCCCGACTTCACTCTCGCTGGCTTAATAATAATTAAAAATAATAATAATTATAAATATCTCGAATTAATTTCCAACTGGCTGTTAACTAACTTTCTTATGTACATTGAATGCATCATCACTGAATTAATTAAAGTTGGTAAGATTGTGAATCAAGTAAATCACTTTAATCATAGCGTTTATTTCTGTAAACCAACAATTTTTGCGCCAATACTATTCAACGCTGCGGTACCTGATGTCACAATTGTTTGCACTGCATTTTGTGGCGTCTGTTAAAGTTTATATACATTATTAACAATCATAAACGCTAGTTTTGGATGTAAATATTTACCTCTAATACTTTATTTATAATTTTTGACACTGCCGACATCGCTCCAACAACTAGACGCTTCCAGCCTTGAAGATTTTCACCATTGTTTCCGAACTTCTCTGATTCTTCAATGTTGTCGACAACAGGTTGACTCTGACACAAACACAAATTTATTTTTTTCTTAAATGCAACAGTGCGATTAAAATTATTACACAATTTTGCTTACGTTAAAAACTTCCGAAGCTTTTTTCTGAGGCACTTCATAAATCGTGTCAATTTTTGATCCATAACCCTCATGTTCTAATATAGCATTGTCACTGTCAATTGGATTATCGAAAGGTATCTGATGTGGTGCCTGAAACGAAAGTTTTCTTAAGATTGTACAGAATTTTAAAATAAATTTATTATTATACATCCAAGCCATTATAATTTTGTTCCTGCAATCTAACAGCAGCTGCTATTTCACTTGCACTTTGTGGAAAGCAATAAATTCCAACATTCATCAATTGGATTAATAAAATCAATTCTGTAAACTTCATGTTTCCAGAATGTTTTAACACTTTAAATTAAATTTAAAAGAACAACTATTCACGTTAAAAACAATCGGCACACTAAACAAGAAAACCAGATTAAAGAAGTTTACAGGTGACCAACCATTGAATGATGTAATAATGTTAAAACTTTCACTTGCACACGTAAAGTTAAATTTAAGTTAATATTGGAAGAAGGCGTGTTAACAAATGGTATAACACAAAGTAATGATAGAGGATTAATAGTGTGAGAGCAACAGATTTTAAATTACACGCTTGTAGATTGTAATTTGTGCAAGCTTTTTTTGTGTTTCACAGTTCCAAGTTCAACATATAAATAACGGTAGTTAAACTTCTCAAATGTTGATATCTATCCAACATTAATCTGACTTATGCAACAAGCAATACACGAAAAAACTTTCATAGTCATTTTCATTTTATTCTATTGAATTCAATAGCGAGTGGTTAAAACGAACAATATAATTGAATCTTCATAATACATATTTCATCAATAACTCAAATATCTGCATCATCGATTTTTATTCCTTTCTATAGATTGATTCATATGCACAGATGAGCATAATCTCAAGCAATACTTGAGGGTTTTCTGTTTCAATATTTCAAATTGGATCCATGATATTAAACTTCTCAATCCTCTTAGTATTCACCGCTGAGACGCTTGATTTTCTCTGACTTTCATCCGCCCCTCAGGCATCTACCATAAGTAGATTTGATGTTGCAAAATCTGATTGTGACAGTTTAGATTGACACCCTCTACGATTAAATTATATTACGCTTTTGTTTTTAACATTCATGCGTGTTTCATTCCCTAAACTCACTTAGCAGGAAAGGGAAATAGATGTAAAATAAGCACCCATCTCAAAATCCTTCCTTTAAACAACTCGTGAACATCATTTTCAATAGCTTTTCGTGAACAGTTTTATTGGATACAAATCTGAAACCATACGAACAGCTTTCCAAGTCTGAATGTCAAAAACGAAAAGAAAGAATCAATTAGGTAAGACGAATAGATTAAGTAGTCTTAATCATCTGTCACGTATGATTATAGTTGAAATCCTATCTTAATTCAAAAGACTCAATTGCTGGAAGAGACATATTTACGTGAATGGAAATTGAGATGTGAATCATTTCCTTTACGTGAATCACGTTACGTTTCGTATGTTATCAACGTTACGTCAACTTTATATTCTCTCAACTTCAACATTTTCGCTCTCACGTCAATAACTTGAGCATAGAAATTGTTCACACGTTAAACTCAACAACATGAGGGAATCTGAGATATTACGCTTGGCATTGTTCCAACTTGTGGTGCTTTACGATTTTATTTCCCATATTCTTCAAAGCCTTTTTATTGATTCACGACCCCCGACAGAGTTCAAAAGCATTAATGCCAAACTGCAAATCATGTTACTATTTCATTGCTGTTGCTTGTTCATTTCCTTTCTTCTCCCCTTTTCGGCGAAATAATTCTTCATGAAATTGGATGTGCAGATTATGAAGGGGAGAAATAAATAAAAAGTTTTCATGCGCCGTTTAACTTCTCATGGACACAGGAATGGTAAGAAAGTGGGTCGTTAAAACACTTTTTTCCTGCCATTGTGTAAAGGAGTCGGAACAAAATATTTATTTGATTAATTGTTTGCAGAAAAGTCGTGAAAATAATAAAACTTGAGGAATTGGCATTGTTGAGTACTCGTAGCCTTAATGGTCCGAAATTTCATAATAAAACTTCATGTTCCAAATATAAACATAAATAAATGAAGGAAACGGGAACAAGAGAAGAGCTTGACTTAATGGTTTTCATTTTTGCTTGATTAAATCAAATGAATTTTGATGTTTCATGCTGTAAAATCGTTTAAAGCAGGAACAGTCTCATTTAATCGTTAAATCATTTAATTATCCGAAGGAAATATCAATCGAAAGTTTTTTTTATGCTGTAATAAATTTAAGAGCTGCTTCTTGAATTGGAAATGAAATGAAGTGAAATGAAATTCGATTGATTAAAGTTTAATGCCTACACGTGACATTTCAGCTGTTAAAAATTCTTTGAATATAATTATAGAAAAGCTTTCAAATGTAATTACTTTTTTAACGAGCTAATAAATCGATCAAGATCAATAATTAAAATTGAAGATCATTTCGTTTTCCAAGTACAACATTATTGAAACTTTCAATATTTACTTGACTTCATTTTTCCCAAAAAAAAATTAAAGTTTTTGGATTTGTCAATGCATAACGCAACTCCTTTTGAAACGAATCATCGCTAACTTTTTCAACAAACACACACTCGATATAAAAATGAAATTACAAATACTTACCGGCATCAGTTCATTTCTAACTATCATTTCAACAAGACGTTCAAAAATGTTCAAATTTACTGTAATCTTATTTGTAGTGATGACACTCAGCGAAGTGTTTAGTTTTCCGCAACAACAACCTTTAGACCAGCAAAATTATCAGCAACAACAAGCTTTCCAACAGCCTCGTAATTCACAACAGCAACAACAACAGCAATACTCAAATAGTCCCGCAATTCCGATTGTTTCTCAAACTCAGACACTTGACGGAAGCGGAAATTTCAACTACGCTTTTGAAACTGCTGATGGTATCAGAGAGGAAGGAAGTGGACAGCTTAAAAGTCTCAGAGTTCCCCAAGTTGATCCATCAACCGGACAAGTTGTAGGTGAAACAGAAGGTCAAGGAATTGTTCAACAAGGCAGATACTCCTACACAGCCCCAGACGGCCAACAAATTGAAGTCACTTACATTGCTGATGAAAACGGTTTCCAACCACAAGGTAAGACATTGACATTGAACTTAAAAATTATTAAGTAACTAAACATCATTTCTTTTAAGGTGCACATCTTCCAGTTCCACCTGCACCGCAAGTGTAAACTTTACAACACTCAGCTTTTCTCTATTTAATCGAGTTACAAAAGATTATCAAATAAAAAAAAATCTTTAAGAAATTCACACTTTAACTTGTCTTCTCTTTATGTTTTATCACACCTCGACGTCTAGCTTCAACAGAAATTTCATAACAAGGCTCACAAATAGCAGCAAATAAGTTGCAATTGAAAGTTTACTTGCTCAGCTCATTGAAGTTATTGCGAAATGTAAACATCAAGTCAAGATGAATTTATGATTTTTTTTTTCAGATTTATTTTTATGACAGTTTGAAAACATAAATTAATGTAATAAATTTCAAGCTTTCCTCGGTAGGAATGAGGATGCCAACAGCAACAGACAATCTTGTCAATTTTTTTTTTAATCAAGATTCTTTGTTATGTTTTGCATCATTTCTTCTGATGATGATGTTGAAAACAAGAAATGATGATGATGATTATCTTGTGCCATGGAAGATTGATAACAAGAAAGAGATTAATTTGTCAGTGAGTGTTGATTTGTTGAAGTAATTTCTGTGAGTCATAACATTTACGTCAAGGTGTAATGGAAAGCTTGAATAAAGATCGATTACCTTCATTTAGAAACTGTGGAAAGAAGCATTCAGATGGTGATGATAATGGATACGACTCGACTACCATGGAAAGCAGAAAATCTTTTTCCACTTATCTGAAAAATAAATGAACTCAGTCTGAGTATCTATTGAAGTATGAAGAAAGGTCCTTGAAGCTAAGCTTTTTATATTCAGAGTTCGGTGAAAATATTGTTGTTAAAATTGTCGAAAATTAAAAGTTCAAGCACGTAAACCAAAATAAAAAAAAACTGAAGCAGTTCTCACTTTGACTCGAAATTCATGTATATTTGTTCACGTAATTGTAATTTGATTAAAAACAAAAATTGCAATCGCAACATCAAAGCATGAATTTCATTTGAATTTGAGTTTTACTTTTAATTTACAATCGTTCTCGTCTTTACCCTCTTGATGATGCTGTTTTTTGTCTTCTTTTTCTGCTGACTCCCAGTTTATTGTGATTTTGTTTTTCAATTAAAATTTTCTGACTCTGCTAAAATTGAATTTCTGTAAAGAAAACAGAAAATATATGTGAAATCTTTCGATAGAAATTTCGTTAGAAAAGGTCCTTGAAAAAGAGAGAAAGAGGGAGAGAGAGATGTGTTTCAGATTAAGTTGGCCAATGAGTTCTTCTACAAACCTGAATAAAAACAAAGCAGGTTTCAAGATGCTTTTAACAAATTGTTTTCCACCTTTTTGTTCTTATCATCAAAAGCTTCAACACAATGAATTTATTTTCTTTTCTCTCTTTTCAAATAAAGAACCAACGATTTGCCAAAAGATATGAAGACTCAACAAAAGGAATATCATTTGATAAACCCGCATTAAAAAAATAAATTAGGTGATATCATTTCTAAGCAGATAAAAGAAGAAAATTATTTTTTTCGTTCACTTTCGAATAAAGTATGAAATAAATGACGATTCTGGTTGAGACTTCTGTTAAAGTTCACACATATTCAAGTCATTTTATTCAAATGTCATCGTTAGAGTGCTATGAAATTAGAGTATTGTAATTGACACATAATCACAGCTAATTTCTACTTAGAATCAAATTAAATATTTACCAATAAATGATATCAAAACATCGATCCATGCAATCTTTTTAAAACATTTAATAAAAACTTTCAACAGAATAAAAATGTTAATCATAGAATTGAAGATTGGATTTTCTTATTTATTCTTAAATTAGTGTTTAAGTCATCTTATAATATCTTTTCTTCTAATTAAAGCATACAATATTTATATGACTGACTCATTGAAAACTTCTGTTAAAGTTCACACATAAAGTAATTTTATTCGAATATCAACGTGTATTAGCTGAAATCGGGCTATTCTAATTGACACATAATCACAGCTCATTTCAAGAATCAAATTAAATATTTAGCGATTCAGTAATCTGTATAAATTGTCAAGGGATGTTAAAGACTTGGACTATTTGTTATGCATTAATTGTTTCATAAGTTATCACTGCTACGTGAAAATAATATAAATCAAAGATGAATGCGTGGGTGGAGTTAATTGTTGTGACATGGTATGCCATACCATACTGCTATAATTATGGCTGAATATCGATTAAATAGATAAATGTTCCAAAGGATTTGACCTAATTTTTCTTAATAATATTAAGGGCGCAAACTTTCCTTTTCTATTTAAGTATTTAATGAGACTTCAACTTCACTCATCAGCGGTTTTAAACTTTTTAATTGAGTCTTCAGGCAACAATGTTTTACCTTTGTCAAGTCATCAAGTGTCAGAATTAATTCAGAAATCTCTACTTACACATTTTCTTCTGAAGTTACTTTAAGATATTTTTAATTATCTGTTTAAATTTTATGCATTCAATTACAAGCAGGTGTTGTTAGTAAGTGTAATTATATTTACGGTAACTGTTGGTAGCTTTCAAGATTGTTGTGTTGAGAATCTGGCTGAATATCATAACAAATTCGAAATTATTCGTAGAAAGATAAAATTTACACAAAGCTCAGGTGGTTCATTACACCAAAATCCCTTTTTTAATTATTAACAACAGCAAACACTCATCTAATTGAAATGAATGAATAATGAATAAACATCTAAAGGGAAATGCAAAAAAAAAGTGATGACCTGCGATTTTTCACGATTTATTCGATTTTTAAAATGTTTTTGTGAGTAAATTTGAAGTTAATGGAAAAATTAAATTCTGCAAAGTTTCCAATTTCTCTTTGAGAATAAATTGATTGTTCATTTCTGCAGTAAATACTGAAAATAAATCTTTTATAAATTAGATATTCAAATAACCCTGATTGATTTATAAACTCAATACGAGTAGGCAACATCAAGTATCCATTTTGCTATGCTTTTGTAATCTTTTCCTTCCTAATTCTAATTCAAGTTTGTCGTATAATTTTTTCCTCGAATCTTCCTGAATAAACCTTTTTCTGATTATGTATACAGCATTTGCCAAATTTATTCCACATTTAGGTAACCAAATCCGATTATCAAGTAAGAACTTTTTGTTATCGAATACCAACCTTTAGATTTAAAAACGCAATAAATGGTAGCGATTAATGAAAAGGTTTGCGAATTTTTTTTGACATTTTTTACATCACGTTCTCAGCATTTTGTTAAGAATTATTCCATTCACAACCCTTTTTAAATTATTTGAAAGCTTTTTTATGAAGCTTCCCGCTTAAACAATTTAAATACGGTAAGTGCATCAAAATTTAAACCTTTCGAATACCAAGCTTAATGGAATGGTTAAAATGCTTTCAATTTGTTTTAGAATTTGTTTTAAATCGCTTTAAATTTTCCATGGCAACTCAATTTATTGAAATTGCAAAACGCTTTTGTACAACACAATTTACTTCATTTGCATAGATTATTTAATTTATTAATCAATGAGTTCAAATATTTTTAATTATCTTCATCCTTATAAATCTTTCTTTTTGCTCTCACAGCAATTGAAATTTAATTTAAAAACTTCCATAATATTTCAAGAAATCTGTTTGAAGTTTTATTCGAATGCTTTTGTACATTAGTTTTATACTTTGGTTTCTGTTTTTCAATTGCCATAAGATGTGGCATTTGAATTTTAAGTGAACTTTATTTGACAAAAGATATTCTACAGAATGAAACGAATTAAATTAGCAAGTTGAAGTGAAACATGAATTCATTAAAAATGACAAAATTCTGGACCGAGTCTTGGTGATGGTGACAAACTTTATTTATTCGGAACTCTGAATTAAAAGCGATAAAGAAAGTGATAAAGAAAGTGATGAAAATGGAAAGGCCAAAGTGAAAAATGTTGGTGTATTGTCTGATTTGATGTACTGGAGTAATTTTCAGACGTCTCTGGTTGTGAATTATCGTCATGAACTCAGTAACAAAGAAAGCAACATTTTCATTCAAAGTCAGTGGCTTTAAACTAGATGGAAGCCTTGAATTGTGTTTATTTATCTTCCGGTTTCCAGTCTCCGATCCATTTATAAATCGGTGTCCTGATTTCTCATTGAATTTTAAATTTATATTCACGGTCAAGATTTTTTTCCGAAAAATTGAACTTATTGATCTTGGGAGTTTTATTTATGTAAATATTTAATTTTTAAGCTTTAAATGGAGTGAAATCGAAATGACAAGGAAGCTATTTCGTTTTTTTTTTAATTTTCGACTGAAAACATGAATTTTCAATTCAGCATAAAATAAAATATGATATTAAACAATTGTTGTATATGCTTATGCATCGCATAACTACACAAAAACGATGGCATTATTAAAACGAGTTGAAAAGCCATTCATTCTCATTGAATGTTCAGTTTATCACTTGGTAACATAAATTTTATTGCTTTGTTTTCCGAACGAAAATTATTTTATAGTTTCCAGTTTTGCACTAGACAAGTTTCAAATGAATATTTTCATAGCAAACTCTAAGATAAATATTTTTCCATTTGCCACGAGAAAAAAAAATTGAATTGATGTGAAAAAGATTTTATTTATGTATCAATATAAAATTATTTTATTTTTTTCACATGAGCACCAATGAATGTCGATTACAGGTGGATAGATCAATAAACAATTTATACATCTATGTTCAACTACAATATCATTTTAATGAACTTCCATTCAGTAGATAAATTAATTTTCCTGTACATTTGTGATAAAAACTTTAATTTCATCCCGGAAGAAGTTCCCTTGCTGATAGACTTTGTTTTGTTATTGATAACAACAATTATTTATGAGTCCAACTTTTGTCTGTTTCCATCTCTCTCTCCAATAATAAACTCTTAATTAAGGAAACTTTTGCTGCTTTATGTTAGCGTTGTAGAAGTTTTGGTTTTAGGAAAACTGGGAAAATAATTAATATTTTTATTTACTTAAAATTTGTACCCTTCATCGGATGCTTCAAGTTGAATTCGACTGATTTTTTACCGGGAAAGTTGCCGATCTTTACAAACAATTTAATTGCGCTATGTTTACTTCATAGCTCCTTCATCATATTATCTTTCTTTATGTCTTTCTTTTTCAATATTTTCACAATCAGCACATCCTTAAATTTATGGCTTTTCTTCCTTTCTTGGTCGAGAAATAATACTTTGGAGATTATTTAATAGCACGCCTAAGTTTTCTGGTTTCCTTTCACCGTTACTCAAGTCATCGTTGATAAACGTTTTTTATTGATTATTTACAGACAAAGCAAAATATATTTACGACTATTTAATGTTTTTGATAAAAACAGAACTTTTCGGTTTATTTCATTGCTTTTTTAATATTAGAAAATTTGTTGATTTATCGCATGAGAATAACTGTGAAGATTCTATTGACGATGATGACTAATAGGTCATGTTTAATCTATTCAAAGTTTGTATTTTTCACATCACATGTGCCATAATTACCTCAACAAAATCAAATATTTGTATGACTGTTAATTATGCTTCAAAGTTTAAACATTACACTTCACTCATTTTCACAGATTATTTGACGCAACACTTGAAGATTTTAATATCTTCAATAGATTTAAAATCTGGTGGGAGGCAGCGAATTGTGCAAATATTACTTAACGCTTGACTTCTTATTTGGAGGCAAAGTCAAAACTTTCTTTCATTTCAATAAACTCATGCGTCGCATTTCACTTTGATGATTTCCTGATTTACTTCCACACATTCAATTTAATTGAATTGTCACTGATAGCTGATGAATCTGTCAAGATTTATATTTTTAGCATTTATTTATAACCTTGCTCGAATTCAGTTTGCACAAAAATGATAAAAGCTTTGGAACATCATTAACAATTAACACAACTTTGCAAATACAGCTGATGTAACCTTTTCAAAGAATCACCAAAAAGTTGCTAATTAGTAGTTTTGATCGTAGTTGGAAATTTTCGTTTCGGTATAAAAGTAAATTGATAAACTTGTCAACCATTCAGTTTTTGTTGATCGATTGAGCTGTCAAGACGTTTAAGTAAAAGTTGTGTCAAAATGTTCAAGTTTACTTCAATTTTCTTCTCAATGCTTGTCGTGCATAACGCCGTTGCACGTCCTCAAACACCTCCACAACCAGCAGCTTCAAGTGGACCCACAGCTTCCATAGTCTCATCATCTCAATCAGATGACGGAAATGGCACATTCGCATATGCTTTCGAAACAAGCGATGGAACAAAGCAAGAAGCCAGCGGACAATTGAAAAGTTTTAAAGTTCCCGATTATGATGCAAATGGACAAGCTTCAGGCCAAAGAGATGATTCAGGAGTTGTCATCCAAGGAAGTTACTCATACATTGCACCCGATGGACAAACATATGAAGTGAAATATATCGCAGATGAAAATGGATTCCAACCGCAAGGTAAATTTAAATCGTTAATATTTATCACTTCCATTATTTCATCGAACATTTCTGTTTCCCAGGAGCACACATTCCCTCTGCTGGTGGAGCTCCACCTCAACAAGAACAGCAACAACAACAATAGTCGTCTCATAAATAAACTACAAATCTAAATAAAAGTGTATATAAAATATAAGTGAAATAAAAGTGGATTTGAAGAAGATTTTCCAAAGAAAACATTTGGGATTTACATTTGCTGAAAAAACAAAACCGGAAGTAACTTAAATTTCAGATCTTTCCGAAGGAAGTTGAAATATTTCTCGTACAAATAAAAGCAAGTTTAATTACTTTTAAATAGCCTTGAAGATTCTTCATTAAATATCTTTGACAATGTCAGTAAATATTTTTTATTTGTCCCAAGACCTGACAAGTTGTCACTGCTTAAAACTAACGATAGTGCTGCGTAAATCTTTCATTATAATCGAAGAGAGGGGAGAAGTCTTATTTGTTACCTTCTTGTGAATTTTAAGTAACTGTGTGAGTATAATCTTATGTTGGGATAATATTACGATTTATGAAAGCTTTTATTCTCTCTTCTATATCCTTTTTCCCTTAGCAGCTATTCATTCGCTTACAATGCGAGTAATAAATTTGCAAAATTATAACGATGCTTGTGTGAATACTTACATGTAAGCATGAAAGGTGCTCGCAAAAATTCCTTTCTCGCTTTTATTCACGTGAAAATGGTTCAATGAGAAGGAAGCGAAAAGAAGCTCATGGTAAGCNCACTCCATAATGGATTTAAAAATATTAGGTGAGAATAGATATGCGCGAAGTAGAGCTGGTATGCAAGTTGGATATTCATCGAATGAATTGTTCTTTTTATAGCAAAAGTCATAGAAAGACATTTGTTGTAGATACCCTGGACGTGATCATCAAAATTGAGTTTGTCATCAAGCACAAGACCAAGAGTCTTGTACTTACTTACTCTTTCAATTTTGTGATTTCTACAATAAATGTTAAGATTGAAGGTATCAAAACATGGTATCGATTTTCTCCCTTTGAAAATCATATATTTGGTTTTCGTGAGATTTACATCAAGGAACAAAGCATTCAGAAATGTTGTTATTTTAATCAAATCCTCTTCTATTAGTGCTGATAATTCAGCCAAAGAGTCAGCACTGTAAACAATCGAAGAGTCATCTGCATACAGTAATACTTGGCCATTAAGTGCTAGATGAAAGATATCATTTATATAGAAAGTGAAAGCACTTGGTCCCAAGACTGAACCTTGAAAAACTCCATTGAGTATATTTAATTCCGGACTAATGAAACCATTCAAATGTGTAACTTGCTTTCTATCAGAAAAATACGATTGAAAGAGTTTAACATAATTGCGAGGGAGGTGTAATTTTTCTATTTTCTTTAATAATAATTCATGATTTACACAATCAAAAGCCTTCGAAATGTCCAGAAATAGAGCAGCAGTGAATTTATTACTTTCGATTCTATTGTAAACAGAACTAAGAAAATGTACTAACGCAGTTTCTGTATTAGAGTTACTAACAAAACCAAATTGTGACTCGTTAATTATTTTATTCAGTGTGAGATGATTCTGCCAACGACTCAAGATAGTTGATTCAAATACTTTGGAGAAAATAGGAAGGATGGCTATGGGTCGATAATTTTTCAAGTCCGACTTATCACCACTTAAAGTTGTCACTGCTTAAAACTAACGATAGTGCTGCGTAAATCTTTCATTATAATCGAAGAGAGGGGAGAAGTCTTATTTGTTACCTTCTTGTGAATTTTAAGTAACTGTGTGAGTATAATCTTATGTTGGGATAATATTACGATTTATGAAAGCTTTTATTCTCTCTTCTATATCCTTTTTCCCTTAGCAGCTATTCATTCGCTTACAATGCGAGTAATAAATTTGCAAAATTATAACGATGCTTGTGTGAATACTTACATGTAAGCATGAAAGGTGCTCGCAAAAATTCCTTTCTCGCTTTTATTCACGTGAAAATGGTTCAATGAGAAGGAAGCGAAAAGAAGCTCATGGTAAGCGTTATCAAATAATTAATGGATGTTATGGCAACCACAGCAGAAGCAATCTTATTTAGAGCTTGCTAGTTGTTTTTTCCACGTCAACGTCAAAAGTGCTTTGTCTTTGTTTGAAGCTTAAAAACTCGCATCAACAACTTTTGACGGTGATGGAGACTGTCACAGTAAATATAAAAGTTTTGATGAGAGTTTTATGAGCATCACAGAGGGTAAGTTTTGTTATTGAGGAACATTCTTAGCGATGGAATTGTTTGACATTTAATAAAATACGTCATTAAAGTAGCTTTTTGTTCTTATTTTCACAACTGGAGGTTGTGTATTTATAAATGTTGTTCAATGTAGGAAAGAGATGTGAAAATGTTGATAAAAGAATTTCACAGAAAAGGTGAGTTATGCTAAATTAATGTCTTCTTGTTCTCAGATACTTTCATACACAAATTTGACATTTCTTAGATAATGTTTATGTACATTAAAAAGCTTTCAAATGAGTTGAAGGTGATTTAATCGTTTTTAAAACAATTCCTAGGTTCAGAACAAACAATTGACTAACAATATGAAAAGATTTCCATTAAAATATTTAAAAAAATTATAGAAAATCAGCCTTTTATTCCAGGTACTTTGAAGTTTTAAACTTTCAGTATGAATAAATTTTAAAATTTTTAAGTTAATTCATAAAAAAATAGGTGGTAAAAAAACTTCTTTTACTAAAAGAAACATAAAAATTTTAAAAATAGTTAACGAAGTTCATGACATTTTTAGAGCTCTTTAAATCATTTTAATAACTTTCCTTTAAAGTTAATTAAACGAACAATCTCAATGGAAGGTTTCTTAATTTAATATTTATGAATAAAAGGAAAGTTTATCATAATAAATCTTTCATTGGAAGTTTTGTTTGCTATAATTTATGGAAAATCAATTCAAATGAAAATTAGAAACAATAATTTGATTCGAACTTTTCTCTTTATTTTACAAATGATACAAATGTTATCCGGATACATCTTTGTTTATTATCTACAAGCGAACAAACAAACACAAAATATTTATGTTCCCACCTTAGAAAAAAGAAAGAAAAGTTTTACGGAACTCATGAAATTAGAATTGAAAACAGCAATGTTCAAGCAGTTGAATTTTAGCAACATCATTGTAAGTGCAATCATCAATTTTATTTTATTTTTCTTTAATGGAAAAACTTTTCCCATCGCTTCAACAAATTTAATCTGCGTCAACAATAAAAACAATGAACAAAAAAGCACCTTGTTGAAAGTTGTGTTCATATTACGTTATGGTCTCATTGTTTCTGGCTTAAAAGGTCTGCAAGGCTTGAGAATTATTATTATGGAGTCCGATTTAAAAGAATTTTGTGAGTGAAATTCGCTGTTTTTATTTTTAAATTATACATTCCAAAGATTAAAGCTGAATAATACATTAACGATGATGGTTTAGAAATATTTTAATAACATGCTTTCAAAATTATTTGCTAATTTAAAGATTCATTTGCTTATGTGTTACATCGAGACTCGACGTCGTTTCCCTTGTTAAACCCAAAGTTTACTCAAATCCCTGTCTGGAAAGAAGATTAACAGATTCAAATTAATTGCTTCAGCTTTAGACATATTGCATTCGTTGCTTTTCAATGTCTCGTATTCTATGTAATCGCATTTCATCCTTTGATTGCGAAGGGGTGGAGACGAAGCTTTGTCTCTTTAAATCTCTGAACTTGGTAAATATTGATATTGTGGTCAGCATGAAAATCTATTTTTTTGTTCGTACCATTGTCGTAATAGTTACGGCTGTTGTTTTCATGACTTTTTTTTTGTTTAGTCAATAAGAAAATGGAAACATAAAAGTAGAGAAGGAAAAAAATCTATTTAAATGCTGGTGGAAATTTGCTTTAGTCTTGCAAAAATAAAAGAATAAAACCAAATAAAGGTAATAAGTTTCACTTGCCCGTGAAATTTTTATTTTTATCGTTCAAATGACTTGCACAGGGGAAAATATGATTCATTGTTAAGAGGGAGTTAAAATCACTGTAGCATAGCAGCGCTTTGTTAACATTTTATTTGACTCTTACAGACATTCTTTGGCAATGGCACTGCTACATTAGTAAAGTTTTCAGTTCTTTAGATGGCGACATGACAGAGGGAAAAAGTAATCCCAGCCATTTGTTATGTTGGAAAAAGAGGAAACTGAATAAAAAAAAATGAATGTGATTGCGTTGTTTTGCATCGGAAAGCGAGAAAATGAAACTGTTTCTATCTTTAACACGAAGAAGAATTTGTTTTCTCATTTTATCATGTTTTTTCCCTTAAGTTTAAATTTTATCTTCCACTTGTAGATCAACAATTTCAAAAAACAACGAGATGATGAAAAGTTGAGGTCGTTAACCAGACATTGGCTGTATTAGCATTTTATAGAGCAGAGATTGAAGCAGCAGAATTCTATCTGATTTTCAATTAAGAGAAGATTTCTGATACTTTTTGACTGAAATCCTTCAAGAAGCTTTTGATCCCAAGGAAAGAATGGACGTTCCTTACAAACCAAACCTACGCAGAAGCTCAACTTACATTCTAAATAAAATGCAAAAAATTTTCATCAAAAAGTATTTCATCAACTTTTTTCTTCTCTCCTTCTCTTTCTTTATCCCCTTGTCGAAGCTCGTTATCTTACGAAGCTCAAATCCTTGTGGAAAAATTGGAAAGGATAAGATTGAGATTTTCCTTTCACCTGCTACAATCATCGTTTCTACGAGGATTTAAAAGCTTTATAGCAAGCGAAGTGAATATTTTCTCAACATTCTAAAATTGCACAAAGAATCAATAAGTTTTGGGGAAAATGGGAAAATAAAAAGTTCACCAGCTAACTGTGAAGACAACTAAGTACGAATGAATTTGGGGATTAAGCTTAAAGAAGATATTTTAGAAAGCGTAATAGGATTTTCAACTTCCTAACACGATCACGATGCAACACTACAATAAAATCCGGATAGGAAATTTTTAATCTCGTTGTCAGTTTAGGTCTGTTGAAAGTTTAAATAATAATTCAACCTAATCTCTTCCACTTACGTATTATCGCATAAGGCAACCAATAGATAAATAAGGAAAATGTCTTTCCTTTAGTTATGCTAAAGAAGTCGCATAAGTTAAATATCTGCTTTATTTTCCTTGAATAAGATTTGACATTTTCTTTTTCAACGCCAATGCTTTCAGAGTGGAAACTTATTCAGGACTAAGTTCTATCAAAATACACATAAAGAAGAGTTAAGACTTCGAAATAATAAAGAAAAAGAAGTTTTTCCTTGGAGAGTGTTGATCTAAAGAAGGAAATGGCTTGAATTTCCATGAAATTTGAATTCTTCGAATAAGTATTCGAGATGGGGGATAGAAAAAAATTTAAATTGAACCGTTGGCTCAAGCATTAATCTTAAATTATAATAGCAATTACTTACTTGCTGGCTTTTTATTTTTTTCAAAATTATTTCTTTGTCAATTTGTAGAATAATTTTCATATGCAATGACGACACACAAATTGATGTTAGCTTGCAGAAAATATAAAGAAACACATTGGTGAAAATAAATAAGAAAACACTCAAGCAAGCAAGCTGTTTCAATGATCGAGTCGTTTCGCATTATTCACTGAATGTATGCTTAAGAAAGCTTATTGCATTGAACAGAAGCTCTTTTTTTATTAAGGAGAGGAAATAAAACCACCACTTGTTCCGAGTTTGAAAGCTTTATTTCAAAGCGAGAATTTATTGTCTGCTTTAAAGCCATTTCTGTCACAAACAAAATATATATCTACATAACTACCTGCATGCAGCATGCACACTCTCAGCTTTCAAAAGCTACTGCATACGCTCATTTACATAAATAAATATCTATAGAAATTTTCTATCTAATGCAGTCATTTTTATGCAATTTAAGCAGAAATTTCTGTTCTGAAAGCACTCATAAAACCAAGTGTGCACCTTCGATTTGAGTGCTTTCTGTGAGCATATGCAAATTTTCAATTCTCACTGAAGAATGTTTCGTTTAAGCTTTGGATGGTGTGCAGGTTGTGGCCTGGGATCAATTTGAGATTTCTCTTCCACTTGTCGACACAATGATTGATTTCAATTGAACTTCATTGAAAAACCAAACGAAATGTTCATGCTTAAACATGTCAGCGTTTCTCAAAATACATGAACATAGGTTTTACTCCATGACGTCAAACGGTTAGTCTCCTAAAGAACAGAAGCAAGCAAGGTTTCGAAATGAGATTGTGAATGTCAGATTTCTGTCGAAAATCATTTATGGCGTATATCAAAACATCATCCTGGGATAAAACCTGACAGTTGGTGAATGAAAATTTTATAAATTGACGATAACACTGATGCATTTTTCTTCCTTTTAAATTTTTTTCTTTTTTTTTCGTTTACCCAAAACTTCCCAGACATTTTATCAGTCGAACTTTGTTACGGTAACTTCTTGTACGAGCAGGGAAAATGAGATTTCTGACTTGCTTGTGAAAGTTTTTCCTCCCTTTTTCTTTACAAATTTAGAATTGAATTGGTTTCGGGGGGATCGAGCATGTCAGAGGCGATGATTGAATTTCATCGCATGACATTGAGTGTTCTAGATATAAATATGTATGTGAAGGATGTAGACACTGAATCACTTAAGTATTTATTTTGAGGAATTTCTCAATTTAGGGTATCAAATGTCGTAAATTGAGAGGAAAGTTCAGTGAATATCTAAAAAAAGAGCTTTTTGCGGAAAGGTGACTTTGATGAATAAGTTTGCATGGAGAATTTTCCGCTAACAGCATATGCTAAGCTCAACTTTCAACATCATAACTTGAGGTATAATAAAGTTTGATAAATTGAAGACGAATTTTCATCCAACAAGTAAAAAATGAATGAAAATGTGATGAAGATTAAATCATCATTTATTATAAGAAATAAGAAATTCTTTTCTATTTTCATTTCAGACACTGATGCAGGTTTTATGCTTTCATGCATTGAATAAACCATATGTGCACTTTTTAACATTAGATATTATCTCGAAGCAAAGAAAGAAAGAAAGAAAGAAAGTTCATTAATCTTATTGAATTTGAAATGATGCCATGAACATTGTTCGAACGAACGCTTAAAGACCGGTTCGGTTGTTATCAAATAACAAATTTTACTGCAAAAGCACTTTAGAGTTGTTCCGTGATTAGCCTAACAATTTGATCACATGACGCAATGCAGTAAGTTCTCACGTGTCTTACAAATATCTATTAAAACACCTTTTAACAATCTTCAACATCTTACGTGATACATTTGAGTGTTTTCCCATTCACTCCCCCTTATAATCGTTATTTTTGTGATGTTTTTCTTTATTTTCTTATTCTATTTCCATTATATTTGCTTCCCTTCTTCGGAAAACCATCGTAAAAAATGATATTGCGAACGTGAGTGGGAATTGATGATATCTATCTAGAGCCGACTAACGAATATTTTTATCTTTATCGACGGTCATTAGTTTTCATATCATAGGCTTGTGAAAGGTAAAAAGTTTATGAGAAATAAAGAGTGAGGAAAATAACTTGCTAATCGTGAATTTAATGTTCATAATGTCACAAAATTTTATCTTTATTCATACCTCAGAAGTCTTTATAGCGAAATTTATATTAAAAAACAGAAAAAGAAAAGAAAACAAACTCAGCCGAATTTCATTGAAATGTCGTCTTCTTTTGAAGTGAAAAAGTTCGCTTTTCCCTTTTCTTTATTATTTCTTTTTTTATTATTTTATCAGATATCACCCTCTTCATAAAGACTTCCATTAAAAAGGACAGAAAGAAAATCGATTTAAGGAAATTAAGGAAAGAACATGAAATGAAAGTGGAAATGTTAAAGCGCTTGAAGGGATTTTTCATTTGATTGCAATTGTTTCACTTCACGATTTCGCTTGAATACAAATCGGAATTAGGGAAATGGAAATGGTAAGAGATTGAATTTATGAACCGAAAACAAAATAATTAGATTAAAGTATTTTCCGGAATAATTTTCTTCTCCCTAAAACTTTTATCATTTCCCCCATTTCAGGTTGGTTTTAAAGTCAAAAATAAAACTTTTTCTCTTTCCTTTTTTTCTCTAAATAAACTTGACCATAAAGTGAATACAGCTTGCAATACTTTTTCTAATGTGAATTTCAAGTGAAGTTTTTCTTTCTGCACATTTTTCTGCTTCAAATACCGTAAATTGTTGAGATAAGGAAGAGATCGTTCTATTGAATTATTTATGCTGCAAGCAAACGTTTGCTAATCAACTTAATATATTTTAGAATCTTTCCCTCTCTCTCTCCATCTCTTTTTCTGTATCTTACAGAACGCAAATTGAATTGAAATTACATAATTTTCATCGTTCGTTTGGATATTTTTTGGGTAAGTAGATATTTTCTTGAGCTAGTTTATTTTTATGTTTGGTGAATAGCTAATTTGATTGAAAAGTTTTTTATAAAACATTTTTTTTTATGTTTCAAGCAGCGAAAAGACAACAAACATAAAATTATTATGTCATGTCATTTAGCTTCGAGGAACCTGTAAGGGGAGGAAAAATAAATGATTTGGTAGGAAATTTTTAATGAGAAATCGTGATAAAACCACTTCATTGATGATAACGATGTTTTTCGTGCTTTCTAATCATTTCTGATCGACTCGTCATTATGTGTTAATTAGGAATAACTTCAAGTGACTGTTGGTGTTTCCTCTGGCAGTTTTTTCCTTCTATTGATGTCTTGTTCATAAAAAAGAAAACTTATTTCGAACAAAAATGATTAATCAAGAAATGAGAGAAATCAGAAACAGAAGGAAAGAAACTTGTCAAGTTGTCAGCCTTTTCATTAACGTTGCTTCTTCTTTCGTAGTTCATACTGAGTCAATGAAAAGTCACTTCTATTGTCTTTTATGTCATTCAATTTCTTCGACAATCGACATTGACCGCAACATTTTCAACTTTTACTCATCTATGATTCTCCTTTGTTCAGAAAACTTATCATGACGTTTGACAGCAACAAAAAAAAGGAAAAAAAGGGAAATGAAAGAAATGAAAATGAACATCGAACATACATGAGTTCGATTTATGCTGTTTGCAAACACTCACAACTGTCATTTCTGGAAACTTCAGCAAATTTCTGAAACAACCATTAATATCAGTTTCGTGAGTTGATAGAATGTCATTTACTCTCGATTAAGTAAACATTAATTTACATTTAGGAAAATTAAAGAAGTCGCCTAAAATATAAAATTGATGATGCTGCAAAGTCAGCGAAAATTTCGTGTCAATCACGAATGACGTGACGGAATAAATAAGAAGTGCTGATTTCTTTTAATTCAACATCGATGATTTCTCCACCTCATTGCATTGTCAGTGTCAAGTATTAAATATGCGTGACGCGTTGTTCAACTAAATTAAATATCTTCTGAATTTTTGATTCGCTTTTCTTTCTTTTTCCGTGTAAATAATTTTGCAATTCATCTAAAACAAGCTTGAAACATGATCCTTTCATCAGATTAATCAGGCTGAAGAAGCTTTTATAATCTTAGCCTTGTCATTTGTGATGGAAGCGTAAAGCCGCAAACGAATGAGAAAGCTGAGAAAAGCGAGCAAAGTAATATTAAGAAGATGAGAATAATTCAATTTGAACTTAATACTGAGATTATATTGTAAAACCTGATGCCACTGCAGACAAAGACGAGATAAATGAAAATTAATTTTCACGAGTTTCCTATACAAAGCTTCTTCCAAAATACATTTTTAATGATAACGAATGATAACGACTTTGGATTAAGTCATTATGTAGACTTAATATTATATGGTGTGCTCATGATGTTAATTAAACCATCGATAATTAAACAAGAAAAGAATCGAAATTACTTTCAGACGTTTCAATTGGTTTTGATTTACATTTTGATCATAAATCTTGTCTTAAATAAATCTCAAATTGAATGTTGAGCTAATTAGCCTTATATCTTTTTAACAGCAACCATCAAAGCTTTATGTAATTTAAAAATAGAATTTAATATTACGTACATTGTGAAGCAGCGTTCCATTCACAACCTACACAAACTTCCTTCATTTCTCGAAAATATTTCGTAACCTTTGAGATATCAAAAGATTTTTTTTCTCATATTTCATAACGGTGAAAATAAAATGTCTTGGTAAACAACCGAGAAACATTTTTATCACAAGAATTTCCGAGTAAATTGTCATTTACTGAGTCAATAAAGGAAGTCAGCTGGTAATTCACCTTGTCTCGTTCTGGGATATGCTCGTCATTTAAAATCTTCAACTTTGTTTGCATGTTTACTTCATGTTGAATGCCAAATCAAATAATTTTCTGCTTTAAACATCTTGACATGTCTCCAAGGTGACACAGAAGCAAATTTGTAATGCTTAAGTTGCGAAGTTTCTTCTAAGACATATCAAGACTTTTAATGACAATTTTGAACTTCCTTTTTTCCACGTGAATGCAAGGCGAGCAATGAAATTTGTCAAGAATTTATAATAAGAAGAACATTCCTGAAAACTTTGACAAAAATTCAAGTTTAAATTATGAAGTGGATAATCAATGACTAATTATTTCCTTGATCATTATTTCATATTCCTATTCCTTAAGTTAAAAGATTTTCCACAAAAAAGGTTTCTTTTCACTTCAAAAGCATTATTAACGTCAAGCCTTAAAAAGAATTTTCTTCTTTACTTTGTTAAAACATAGAAAATCTCTAGAGCGAATAAGGTAATAAAAATATGGAAATCATGAGGGAAAAGAAAGAAATGGATAAAAGAAAGAAAACATGAGATTGAAATGACATCGCATCAAAAGAAAAAAGCTGTTTGAAAAGCCTTTACTTACATTTTCTTTCTCTTTGGCTGTTTTTATTCACCATTACAATGTTTCTATTTATTCAAATCCACATCCTTTGATGTTCTTGACTTACGACTCTGCACGAGCCTACATAGTTATACAGGATGATTGAAAAATTCTCTGCAAATGGATTATTATCGGAAATGGATAAGCCTTCAACTTTATGTTTCTCTCTCTCTCTCGCTTTAACCAATTTAAAGGAAAAATCAATTCCATGTTGGAGAATTCAGCACAGAAAGTCATGATGAACCACGTCGACTACTATGAAATTCTCTAATCGATTTCATGTGAATTTTGTGGCCGAATGATGGGCATTCATTTCCGAGGCCATAAATTGGATTAACAATTGATTGAAATTGAGCGTGAAATTGTGTGTTGTATGTTGGAGCAAAAAAATGTTCATGGAAACATGCAGGAATGTTGGGGATCAGGAAATACCAGTAATTGCTGTCGGAAACGATGATTAGATTTTTTTCTTCTTTCCTTTGCTTCGTCTCCATTGTATTTCGACTTTTCACATCAATGGGCTCGATAGTCTCAAAGGATTTTCATTTTTTTTTTGTGATTGTAACTAAGAGACAAGGAAAAGAAAATATAAGTTGGGAAAATTTAAAACGAGGTAACATTCCAAGTTTCAAATCGATTTCTTTAAGAAAGAAAACTTCAATTTCAAGTAAACAATACTTTGTGGCAACAAGATTATCAGCGCAATATGTTACATATTTTCAAAAAAGGGAGCGAAATTCAATTAATTTTGTACGACGAAGCATCTCTTCTTAATCTCATTTGCGATTCCCTGAGCTGTGAATTTGTGAATTTTGATAACATTAACAATGCCGCATGCCGCAAAAAATAAAAGCGTAGACGACACCCTTCTCGTAATTACGTTTCTTGTTGTTTATTCTTCAATAAACATTGTTAAATTTTTTTTTATTATTTTAGATTCTCAGCATATTTTATTTTCCTTTCAAGTGATTCGCGCATTCAGAAAAAAAATTCGCTTCATTTCCTAGCGGAAATTTCTAATCAATAACATTGAATCAATTTCCCATAAATTTCCATGGCAATAAATTTTTCTTTTTTGGATTCGACATAAAACTTTATGATCATGTCGACTCGACTGAGTTAAAGTTGAAAGCCCAAATTTATAGCGCAATCCTTTCTCCGAATAGCTACGAAGCTGATTTCAGTTTGATTTTTCTGTTCTTGCTTTTCCTTTGTTCACTCCTTCGCTAAAGTTTTCCAATTTCCTCTGATTATGGAATGAAAGAGAATAAAAGACACTACTAGATAGCTTTTCTCCTCAATTCATAAGAAAATCTATAAAATTGAACATTTTCATCGAGTTCTAATCTTAAAGTATAAAAAATCTTATGATAAAATTCAATGAAACAAACAATTTTACGATGAGTGTAATGATTTCAAATAAATCCCCACAAAATATGTTTTAAAGCTTTCCGCTCAATTTACTTCATTGATGCTTACTTGAAACGGTTCAAAACATACACAGCGAGCGTACAATGCAAAAAAGCATTGAAAAGAGAAATCAATTGAAGCAGCACTTGAATTTGAAGCAACCCTCATTATGAAGAATTTACGCATAAACGAACATTACAACGAATGACGGAGGGCGGGCGTTTATGATATGCATGGTAGTAAAATTGCACAGCTTTTTCCGTGATTAATTATAAATTTTCACGTTTATGCACAACGTCAACTTCAGCCTGTGATTATATCGATTAAGCTGTGCCAATTATCTAAATATAAGAACAATAAATTGAAATGAATAATCATCAACATATCCACATAAATATATGCTTGGAACAAGTGGGACTAAGCAATAATAAATTAATGTATTTAACTTAAATTTCCTTCAATTTGTTCTGTATCTACTTCCAAAATTATTTATTACTTTAGTTAATTACAATGCTCCCTGAGGCTGATCCTTAATTAAAATTGTTAATTAAACAACTTATAATGTTACCAAACTTGGAAGTTTATTTGATGCCCTCTGGAACTTTCTCGCTTAAGAATTTTCTGCTAAAACTTACAGATAATGATGTTGAAACTCTCTTCTTAGCTTTGCTGATAAATGAATTCTCGGCATGAAGAGAAAAGCAGGTGAACAAATATGAAGTTTGTTTATTCCCTTGAGCATTCATTGGAACTTAACTAATCACGAAGTCTATTTACATTCACATCTAAATAAGTAAGAACAAGCACAGACTCTTGTAAATAGCCTAAGGTTCATCGATAACATTTATTACCTAACACAAAATTCAATAATATCACATCATGAAGTATTCAACCACAATTTGTGAATCAACAGAAACTCAAAAGTGTTAAAAGTTAAGGAAAAGTGCAAACAAAGTTCAACGATGAAAGTCAACAGAATATTTAACTGACCCAAAATATTAATGAAAGACAAGCACATGCATGAATGCGTTCTTTCCAATAGAAGCCTTCTTGTTGATTTAAGATATGAAATATGTTTGAAAGAATTCATAAGAATCTCTGTTTGACTATTAGTGTTTAAAAGTTTTAAAGATTTTTCAATATGTGTTTAGATAATCGTCAGTTTCAGTTTACAAAAATAAAATCAAGTTTGTGTTGAACGAAAAATCTCTCCGGCATGACGAAGATTCAATAAATTTAAATGCAATTTTCAATAATAAGAAAAATATCGATAGATATGTTTAGATTCAATGTTTATTTAGAATTTCTTGATATCCTTAAAAGATATTTCAAGGTTTTCTTTTCAAAAGATTGAAAAGGAATGTTTGCATTTCTTGAACGTGCATTCATGGAATAAAATTATGATAATTTGTTGAACAGTTCTTCCGGGTTGCAAGGAAGGAATTGAAATTCTCCTCAGGAATTTATTTTTTGTGTTCAACGAGTTGAATTATTCAGCATGAAGTGCGCTGGGAACGAGCTTATGAAAAAAGCGTTAAATTGAATTTATTAAACAACTGTATAAGAAAGTTGAATGTTTTTCCGAATAGGAAGAAGGATGGAAAAATTGAAACTTATCGAAATAAATCTTTACTCGTTTACTTTAATATTTCTCACTTCCGTTCACTCATTACAGTTAATTCAAATCTCTTAAGGATATAATGAGAAAAATGTGTGTTTGCTGGGTTAATCGATATTTCTAATTATGTTTTATGTCCCATTAACAATGCAGAAATTCCATTTCTCAGATTCCTTCATTTTCCGTAATTAGTTTCACTCACGCAATGGTTCATAAAGTTCAAGAATTTCTCCTTATTCTCTTCTTTCTCAGTTATTTCTAAGCAGCAATAAATATTTGAAGACATTTTCCAAGCGTGTTTGTGTGTGTGGGGATCAAGAAAATCAATTAAGGAATGTTGTGGTTGAAGTGTCTGAACTCGAAGCGTTCGCTTTCTCATGTACTTTCATTTATTTTCCTGCATTATATTGATTGCGTGCTAGCAATTCCATATTTCCCCTTGCAAGCAATACTTTCTCATAATGCGGTTTAACTTGATACATTTCCTATTTAGGAAGTGAGGGTGGCAAATGATGAATTCATGTTTTATGGGGGTTTGCAAAAAAGGGCTTGTCTATGAATGAAAGAAAGAAATTGAAATAAATATCAACACTGACGCTATTATATTAATGCAAATTGAATTTGATGTCATGTATAGTGACAGTTTTCTATGCATTTTCATGTTTTGCAGAATAGAATGTGGACATCCAATACGAGGTAAGCAGATATCTTACATGATGTACATTAGGAAAATTGAATTTTTGACATGATGATGAGTTTGCTTATCATTATAAACAATTTCAATCCAACCATTTACTTTGTAGGATCATCAAATGAAGGTCAAATAAAATGTTTGAAGCTTTAAGCATTGCTTAAGCTTCAACAGGACAATGTGAATCATCAATATTTGTAGTTTTATTGATATTGATGAAAAGTTATTCAAGTCAAATTTGCATGTTGCTACGAATACAAATGTGAAATTAATTCAAATGGAAATGTATCATCAGGGAGCTTACTTGAACTTCGATAACGCTTAACAAAGGGTGCCAAGGGCCCTTGGACTCCACCTGAAAAACTTGCCCATCCATGCATTTCCATATCATTTCGTTCAACTTCGAATTCGATTCATTGAGAAAAAAAAACTTTTCCTTCTCTTTCGCCATGGCGATTGTAATTCAATTGCCGATGAAATTCTCACATAATAAGTAAATGATCCTCTTAGGATCCACTTCAAATGGAAGGTTTCCTAATGGAAATAGCTCGGTTCGGTCAATTGCGAAAAGGTTCACCTTTACAGCTGAATGGACAATTTCTTTCATGCTTGTCCGAGCTGAAATTCGATGAGAACAAAAATAATTTTGTTCACCATGTTTGTAAGTAAAGAAGAAAATCTTCTTGAAGTTATTTGAGTTCGATTGCTGTGCTTATAAAGTTCTTCTTTCTTTTATAGATTCTTCTCAAGTTAAGTTCATGTATGATTGCTTCCTCAGTTCTTTATATTGAGATAATAAGAAAACTCAAAAAATGGCAAGTTTTGAAAAAGTCTTACAACATTCTTTGAGAATGGTCAATTAAGGTTCATGTTTGAAATGGAATTGTAGAATGTTGCTATAAATGGCAAAATAAAAAATTCAAGACATTCGTCAAAATAATGATCGTTGTAAAATAAAGCTCGAGAATCATAAACTGTGAAAGTTTTCAGGATTATCAAGTAATGATAAAAACAATAATTTCAAAGTTTCAATAAAGTTGTTAAAAGCAGCTTTGATGTTATGTGAAATCCATGGAGTGTACTGCAACATGAAAAATTCAAATTAGTTTTCTGACAAGTAATGATGAGTTTTACGATGAAGAAATAAGAAAGTTTTGCAAATAATTGCTTGTTGGAGAATTCAAGAAACTTCCACCTTCAAAACTATTCTTTTTCCCTTCGTTGAATTTCACAGAAAAACTTTATTCGAAATTTTCATAAGAATGAATCGAGCACTTTCAGCAAATGCTTGAGTTCCCTGGAGAAAATAAATTTTCTTTAAGATCATTATTTCTACATTTCAACTCGTTGCAACACTCTCAAATATATGCATGTTGATGCCAAAAAGAATTACGACAACTTTGCTGTGCAAGTTATAAATTGCATTTCAACATTTCATGGCGCCACTTACAACATTTGGAAATCTTTCCATGTTAAATGTTAATGAAGAAGATTTATTTCTATTTAAGGATATTCCATCAAACATCATAAACTGACTTATTGGGTTTATGATTGAACGATAGCTTTTAGGGGCTTGATTAAACTGCAAACATTGATTTCCTGGAAAAAAATTCTCAATAAATTTGTAAAATCAACAAAAATCTGTTCCACCTAACAAATTTGTTCACGTTTCGATTTTTTTTGCTGATAGCGAAGAATAAACAAGAAACAAATATTTGATTTATTGACGGTGAAAACATTCCGCCCACTCACAAGCTAAAAAGAATCCCAAAATGTTTTTTTCTTACTTTTCTCGTTCTTTCTTCATACACGCTTGGGAAAAAAGATTTATTAAGGGATTTAAAAAATACAAAAACATTGAACCCATCGATAAGGACTCAAATCCCGATAAAAGCACTTTTAAGGATCGAAAGCAAACATTTGCTTTTTCTCTGAAATACAAAACTGAAATAAGAGAAGCAAACGAATATCAGCAAATCTCTTTTTTATGCTTCAAAGGGATCCATAAACTACTTCGGAATATTTTTTCTAATCATCTAAATGGGCTCCATTAAACTGCACAGGAGAGATTCAGGATGTGGCCCTCGAGATAAAACTGAGAACTCGTTAACAGAAAAAATCCTTAGCAAGCAAAAAAATTTATGTGTGGGCGTAATAAACTTTATTACACAATTTCGAGAGTGTAAAAATACGTAACATTAAAGTTTATGATGTCTGCTGATGTTTGGGGATGTTTAGTGTAAAAGAAAGCGGCACTTATGCAATTTAAAAAGATTCTTCTGTATCGACTTTACTTCTTCATCATTTTTTTAAATACTTGAAACATAAAAGATTAAATTTTTGACAGGATGAACGTCTTGAGAAAGAAATTCATGCATTTTATATAAATAGAGATAACAATTTAAATTTTCTTTTACATTTCAAACTTTCACAGAGACTTATTTAGGAACTAGAAGATAATCCAAATTTTGTGTTCGACTTGCTATCGCTTCAATTTAAATTTCTTCTTTCAATTGCACAAGATAAACGTGATTCGAGATAATCAATATGGGAGAAGACGCGAACAAATGCTTCAACATCGTCTACAGAAATTGATTGAAAATTCATCCTTTGTGTGCTTTTTACCGTTGCACATGCTGAGATGTTACGATGATTTGATGGAAATTCATGCAGCAATGAACGAGCGATATCTACGTTTGAATTTACTTCCAAACGAAAATATCCTTTTTTTAGAATGAAAATTTATGTGAACGTTTAAAGTCTTTTAAACCTGGAAGAAATAATATTTTTCCATGTTGAAAAACGACAACAATCTCCTACGTTAAAGCAAACATTTTATGTTTGAAAGTGAGCACTTGAGACCAGGTGCATTTAATAAAAGAGCTGTCTGAAAGATTCCGCAATGTTGGGTTTTTAACGAGTTGCAGATTTGAAACTTTCGCTAAAAGTGCTTCAAATATATTTAACTTTGCAGTTTTATAATGGAAATCGAAAGCAAAGGCGTAGTGAAAGTGTTGATAATAAGTGGGCAAGTGTGGTGTAGAACGATGAGAATATTCACACTTAATGGATTTCAAAGGAAGAAAATCCTTTCTCATTAACGAAACGAGCAGCAAAAAGCATTGCAAATATCACATAATGAGAAAGAAAAAAACCGGGAGGATTTTCATCACGTAAATTGTCGAAAACCTTTTGGCTTCATTCTGCCTCATATGAAGCAACCACAAGTGTACCATTAGCTTTAATAATGAAAGAGCTTCAAAGCATATTACTTTCATGTTATCCCGAATCATCTAAATTTTATGTAATGCTTTAAGAACACTAAAAGTTGAGTGTATGCATTATATTCAGTCTAAATTTTCATAAATCATAATTCAGAGAGTTCAACGTCCCTAGGAATAATTTTTTGATATATATTCGATGCAGTTAATGTTGAAAATCTTGTTTTTCGTTAACATCAATTTGAGTTTATGTCAAATCAAAGTTTGCGTGTGCGCTTCCTTCTGAACAGAATAAACAAGAAATCCAATTGCTGTTCTCATTTTTGAAGAACGCTTTTGTAATGAGGTTTATTTCGAGAACTTCTATTTTCTTATGTTTGGTTTGACTTCCCCCCTAAGCAACCGCATTGAAAATAATTCAAATTCAATTTGCCAAGACATTCGTGTGCATTAACGTTTTGTTTGGTGAAATCATGATTTTCGGGAAATTCTCTTAGTGATTGCATTAACTAAATTGGAAAATATGTTGGGGTGGAATTGATTGAGCGACAGATTTCCGTATACTTCAAGAACAGATTTGAATTATTCAAAGACTACATTTCAACCATTGAACTTCTTCTTAAGGAAATGGTCAACTTTTATGACATGTAGTGAATTTCCCTAATAAAAAGTTAAGGATAATAACTTGTTCAGAAATGAGTGAAACGAGGAAACTGTCAATCAAATGAATCGAAAAGACTTCAACATGCTGTAAGAGTTTTTTCTTCTTCTTAATTTTTCATCAATGCAGCTTCGCTTTGTCATACAATTTTGACGTTATTGTAATTTTCATTCAATTTTAAGCTGTTCTGTGTTGAAATTTTTTGTTATATTCGAAAACTGACAACAGCTTTAATTTATTGCTTTTTACTTCGACCACAAAGCTTCGTTTCCGAATGGAAAATGTTTATAAATGGATGGAAAAAGCTATTCAGCTGAAAATTCAATGGCAAACCCTCTTTGCTGCCTCTTATTCGACCTATCGTTGATGAATGTTTTTATTGATTATTCACAGGACATTACAAATAATATTTATGATGGGAAAACTATTTTATGCATGCTCAACTTTGCTTTCGATGAAAACACTTTTTGTAGCTTTTATATTTGCTCTACTTTATTATTTATTTATGAAGATATACATCCATTATCTATCAGAGGCGTTTGAAAAATATTTAAGCTACTTTATTTTATTTAACACTGTTTGTTGTCTTATTTGTTTTATAAATAGGATCAAGCATTATACGTTTATTTTTATAGTGGCGTCTAATTTATTGCTAGGTAATTCGTTGACATAATTTTAATTTCATAACGTGTTGAATCAATAAAATTTATTTGCTTTTCCTTATGAACAAATTTTGCAATAACTTCAAAGTGAGTTCTTGAACATTGAAGCAAATATAAATTTCTATTGAGTTACCGTCATCTGTTCCAGATGAAAAATTGCAATCACAGAAAATTATTTTCAATCTCCATCCACCCACATTGGGATATAAAACATAAAAGAATTTTACAGAACTCTGCATATCAATGATTTTAATTTATCCACGCTTTCATATTCAATTATAATTTCCGAATCAATGAATGGTTTAATTTATGAAAAATATGTTATTTTGACATTTATTTAATTACGATATAAACGTTCGATTTAATACATTAATCATGTCTATTACTCTTAAATTGTATAATGTAAATAAGCAATTAGTTTTGAGTATTATTTAACTGATCTGCACTTAGAATGTGGTTGAGTTTGAAGTTGTACGAAACTAAATTTCCCTTTGAATGATGTTGAATAGAGAAAATGTTAAAAGACCAAAGGCGAATTGAATATAAGTTAAATTAAAGTTTAAATCTTTAACCTCTAGTTCCTGTGATGTTGATATCTGGTTACAATCAAAGGTGAAATTTTCAAGTGGGAAACTATCGCAGCTCATAAATATCCATTAAAGAATTTGATAAATTCTCAAAAATATTCAACCCAAATCCAGTGGAATTTTGAGAAAGAATGTTTCATCAGAATTGCTCATAAATTTCAATTGAAAAGGATCGAATTTGAACTAGAGCCAATAAATTTTAGTTAACAAACGATTTCGGTTATGCAAGAAAAGTTTTTGGAGCTAAAAAGTGCTTCTCACCACTGATGGAAAATGTTGATCGCTTTCTTGGGTTTTTGAACAGCATGAGAAGCCAAATGCCACAGATGATAATTTATGCTAGATGATATTTTGGGTTCGATTGGATGAGATTAAAATTGGAAGGTTTTCAAAAGATGTTTTAATCCATCGAATGGAATTTTCGGCAATTTATTTAAAAACCTAAGTAGCGAAATGTTTTTAAAGTTGTCATAAGAGTTTAGAAAAAACATTCTGAGGAAGCACAGAAAATATTCGACTTACGGTGTTTTTTCTTCCCTTGGTATCCCCCAAATGGTATTTTTCAAATTTCCCCTTGTATCCCCCAGTTGTTGAGTTTTTTTGTGAAAACATTGAAACATCACAAATAAAACATGCAACATTGAGTACGAAACGTTTTCTCAAGCGCACGCGTAACGTAACGTTGTAATTTACGTATGCTCTTATTCTCACATTTTACATTGTTAGGTCAAGGTAAAGGAAACAAAAACCAGTATGTAGTAAAACTCGCGACAGTCAAGACGTGTACAATTTTGATCCCGAAAATATTCTTATAAAAGGGAAAAAAGTAGAGACTTGTGAGATGGAAAAAAATAGAAAAACCCAGGATAAAAGCGGAAATTAGTTAAATTTTCACACCGGACACTAGCAGGAAATGTAAAAGGTTCTTCTGGGAACGAAAAATGATACAAGAAATAATTTTTGATAAAAAATTTAAATTTCGTGATAAAAAATTTACATAAAGAAAATGAATTTTCCAAGAAAAATGCTTCATTATAAAAAGGAGTTTGATATCAAAAGTGAATGAGAAAAATAAATGAAATCAAAGGGAAATTTTAATTACAAATTTCTTCACGATTCGGGATATAGACGAGAGTCTTAAAAGGTTTCGCGAGGGGGAAAGTGAACGCGCGAAAAAAAAATCTGAATTGGAAATTTTAATTAAGGTAATTACAGAAAAAAAATTAATTCAAGTCTTCATAAAAGTGCTAAAGAATGAGTAGAAATTAATTGGAGACCCTTGTAATGGTTTCTAAAAATATGATTTTAATTAAAGGCTCCAAGAGAATTTCGCGCTCCATTATCCCTGTTGAGGTGTCGTAGCGACCTTGTCGCCTGCCTTTCAACTTATATTAAATTTCATCTCATTTCACATGGATAAACCAGCAAAGGAAATACTAAAAAGGCATTCATAAAAATTATGTATCCAAGTGGAGATTGTGATAAATAAAAGTGAAAACATTACGTTGGTGTTGATATCAAAGAAATTCAATTGAATGACTATAAAAGAAGAAAGTCATTTAATTTGTGATTTGCTTCCTCACCCGAAGTCTCGCGACGACTAAAGCAAAATAAGATTTTCCTGTAATATTTCAAACGATTCTGTTTATGATAATATTCTTGTTATGTAAGGAAAATGCTCATGAGAGATTTATAAAACAAGTTGGAAAGCTTCTCACGTCTCTAAATCCTAAAATCTTTCTTATTCTTTCTCAAATATTGATTTTCTTCTTTTTCTTTTTCTCCTCATTTTCTTGTTAAACATTTTCGTCTTTCACTTGAGTCTGCTTTAAATTTTCCTTGAGAGACTTTCGAAAATCGATAAAATTCCTTTCCTCTGTTGGATTTCTCATGCATTGAATGAAAATATTCTTCAACGCGAGGGTGGAAAAAAGTAAATGAGTAGATAAGAAAACTTTCTCGTCTGTCATCATGAAATAAATAAGAAGAAAAAATGAATCGAATCGAGTAGGAAGAGGAAAAGCGGGAAAAAAAGGAAAATTATGAAACTCATACATATTATAAAATAGAAAATATTTGTAATGAGAGAAGATATCGCCATTAAAATGTAATTAAGACATTCTCTTACAAACGCAGCATGGATGGAGAATCAAAGTCATTAGGTTACGATAATAATCAAGGAGAAACTTTTACGTTGCTGGATATCTTGTTACAGATTACAGCCGTAATTTGTTGCACATGTTGAACACGGCGCAAGGCACGTTCTATGATTTATAATGATTGCTCTATGTATGAAAATGTTTTATTGAAACATGACTTTTTAATGATTTTTGACTTATTTATTTTTTACAGCAACAATTTAAAATATTTATGACTTTAAAGGGAACATTTTATGACAAGCTAGGCTAGTGCTCAATTTTCTTTTTACGAGGATAATTTTAGCTTTAAAGGGCGGATATATGTGTACAGATTAAGCAAACATTTATCTCTAATACAAAAAATAAACAAAAGTTATGAACTTCGTGTTTGTATTCCCTTGTTTGATCGAATAAGATAACAGGAACAAACAATCAGTAAAATTTGATTTCTGACCCGGCTCCTTCATATTCTCAACAAGCCATCCCACGTCTAATAGAACCTTTCTGCTTTTATTATTCTTCTTCTTTCTTTTCATCCATTGACTTTCCCTATTGTGCTTAATTGTTACAAATTTAGAGTAATATCAGCCCTGAAGGCTTGAAACAAATTTGACTAAAAGTGTGGGAGTGAAATATGCTTCCTTCCCAGATTAATGGTGGAAGTGAATTTGACATCATCAATCAATAGCATTTTTCTCTCAACAGCACGAAGCTATCAGCGCTTATATTGACAGGCAAAATTAATTAATGTCGTTGTAAATTATTGCTCTAGCTCGAAATTATCACAAAATTAATGTCAATAGTTCATCTTCTTATTTTTATTATTTTTTTTCGTTCTATTACAGAGACGATAAAAAATAATCCGGAAAAATGCTGAAAGCTCTTTTACTGCTTTTGACTTTAATAGTCACACAATGTTTATCGAACGAAATTCGATGGGACCACAGTGTTGACTTAGACGAGAACTTTCGATTGTTATGGCGTGTGAAAGAACCTGACATAATCATTGAAGTGCAAGTGAGAACACATGGTTACGTTGGCTTTGGTTTCACACGAAGTGAATACATTTATGGAGCGGATATGGTCGTTGGATGGGTGGATAACAAGCACACGTTCTTTCAAGTGAGTTTCTGAAATGTTTTTATAAATATTTTATGTCTTAGCCACTGAATGTTGATTTTTTATCCCCAATTCTGAGAAGTTTTCAACCTTTCTTAATTTTATCTCATCGAAAAATGTCATCTTTAAGATAACAAAAAGAATTCTTTTCAACTAACAACCTCCATAAATTCTTAAATTAAAACAAAGTTTTTATTCTTCTTAATATTCTTGTATGCAAATTAAAATTCTCCGGAAGGTGTTGATGATGAATCAACGTTTGTTGAAACAAAAGAAGAAGAAATAAATGAGAGAAGGCGACGGAAAATTAATTCTTGTATCGTCACTTGTACTGTTACATCTCTCACTGTCAAATGCATTATTTGTTTAAACGATACAACAGAGCATTATGAATTAGTAATTGCCAAATGTTGTCTCAAACTGCCAAATTATCACGCGAGATTGTAACGCTTGAGATGTGAATTCAAAATTCTTGTTTGATTCTAAAATTATTCATGAATGAATTTGTTTTGAGATTTCAAATTTCGTTCCCTTCGCTCTCAAGTTCACCGCGTTAACGCGTAACATTCTTTGCGAATTAAATTCTCGCAGTTCCTTCAAGGCACAAGAAGGAAGACAAAGAACATTAAATGTTTGACAAAACATTCATTGCGTAAATGAATTAAAGCATTTATTTGTGGTTGAAAATATTTCACCACCGCCTGTCATAAAAACGTCTTTTTCGCACGCTGATGTGGCAGAACTAATTAACGTCTTTAGACTTCTTCTGTGCACGAAGAAGCATCGCATTCATTTATTAATCTCTTCCATGCAGAAGACTATTTTCGTATGAGTTCTTTGAATTTAATTGTTTGCAATCTGTTTCCTTTCTGTTTCACTTGTTATTCGGTTGAAATGTCACGCAGATCATGAAATTTAATTTGCTTTGATGCTTTGAAGTGTCAAATCGCCTGAAGATTTTGATCTCAATAATATTCAATTTTGTTTAGTGAAACCTCAAATGGACTCTTAAAGAACAGTTTTATGACTTCTGGCAAGAGTAAGTCAACTCTTGCACCTTTCTCCACCATCAACACGTCATTTCCCAGAGTGTTTTCATGTCTGCTAGCAGCTGTTGTTGTTGTTGATCGTTAGTACAAACAAGAGTTAATAAAATTAAGTTGTTTTTCCAATAAAATTCCTCTGTTTATTGATATTGCAACATAAATAAACCATTTACAGTAGTAAAAGATCGATTTCTCAACTCTTAAATAGCTTCATTGAATATTTCGTGCACAACTGAAGTGAATAAAATTTCATGTGGTTCGCCACAGCTACGGAAAATATTTAAACACAAAATATTTTCCTGCCTCGAGCAGAAATATTTGTCATCAACCAAACAAGTAAATTTACCGGCGCTCGGTTTGCCAAATGATGATTTTCTGATTGCTTTTTCATGATGCTTTCCATATGGTGCTTGGAATGAACGATGATGGTAAAAGTCAACCATTGAGTAAGCAGATGGTCACATTTCATCATTTTCATTCACCGAATTTTCACGATTTTCGCGTGTTTTTGAGATAGACTTTGAAAAATTGCAGTACTGTAATTACAATGTTCATTGTGAAGAGAGGGAGAGAACCACAGAGATGGTGAATGATGTTTATATTACCCCACCGAAAAAAGACGAAACAACAAAGCACTGAAATTTATTTAAAAGCTCCAACCCCTAAATTTTACTCTCAATGAACCAGACACAATTGTTCGCCCTCCCGCTGATGATTTATGCGTTTAATTTGCGAACATGTAGCAAACCAACAAAAGAGATATAAATTTACCATCCTAAATGGCTTCTGTTTTTCTCCTTCATTCCTCTAGGATCGGCACATACCAATTCATAGTAACAACGGAGAACCGGTCTTGGATCCATCGCAGGATTATGTACTGTTATTAGGAAGGGAGAATTCCACTCATACAATACTCCGCTTTAGACGGAAGCTCAGAACGTGTGATGAAAAATATGACGTTGCCATCACGGTAAGTTATAAAGTTCTCTTGAGGGAAGAAATTTAGTTTGAAAGCTGTTAAAACCACAGAACATCCACCACCACAAAACCTTTTCCCTTTATCGATTACTCTTGGCTTTGTATCTAAAAGCACTTTTGTCTTTTGTTCATCTTGTGTGCAAACATTTAGCTGAACAATTGCATGTAATATTCAAAAGAAAACCCTTTTTCCATGCATAATATTTAAGGCCAGAGTATGAGTTTGTTTTATACAGAGAAAGATTCGAACAATGAATGATACGCAAATTGCTTTGCAAACTTTGACCATGAATGTCGGTATCTGAAATGTTATTTATCTGACTAGCCATCACTGAAATATGAATTCCAAAATAAATCAAACCTTTTACGTCTGCACAAATGCGTATTTACCAATGAAAAGTTCTGAAACAATAAATCTTTTATTTTTTTCAAATGTTTTCCACAGAACGATACAATGAAAGTCGTTTACATGTACCACTCCGATGAACCCAAACGAGGCTCTTTACAACATGGAAGTTTGCCTGACCCTGAATTAGCTTTAAAGCCCATCAAATCGTTGCTGTTTCTCCAAAGACCAAAATTTGAGAAAGTTGCAAAGCAAAATGATGAAAATATTGAAACATTTGATGTGAGAATGAAGAATGTTTTAATGACGTCATCCAATGTTACAAAGGCTTGCAGTGTTTTGAGATTGAAGGAGAATCAACGTGGACATGTTGTCGCTTATAAGCCAATCTTTGAGCCTATGATAGCAAGAACTTACATCATGCACATGATAGTTTACGAATGTAGAAACAAACATCACCCAAATTATAATATCGATGAAGACAACGCGTCATGTGCAAACATTCAGAAGCTTCAATGCACGACAATTACTGCCACATGGTCAAGAGGTTCACAAGGTTTTGTTTATCCCGATGACGTCGGTTATCCAATTGACAGTGACATCGCCAGTTTATATTTCCTTGAAATTCATTACGAAGTTCCAACAAAATCTTTTGCTGATCACAATCGAATCAGTGACAGTTCAGGCATCAAGTTCTTTATGACGTCAGTGAAAAGGAAACACAATGCGGGACTTTTATCGATTGGCATTCAACCAGTGTGGACACACATCATCCCACCGGGATTTAGAAAAGTGACATCAATTGGATACTGCACTGGGAAGTGTAATAAAGAAGCTTTCTCAACAACAGCAGCTGGTGGTGGTAGTGGAATTAACGTCATTGGCATTCAGATGCAGACACACGAGATGGGAAAATCAATCAAAGTAGGACTTGTGCGAAGTGGATCGGAACTTCATCCAATCGCTCAAGATCATAACTTGGATTCGGAATATCTCGAATATCGAGCATTGACCAAGGCAATTCAAGTTCTTCCTGGCGATGATTTAATGGTTGAATGTGCTTACAATAGTTTTGATAAAACAAAGTTGACATTGGGTGGATATGAAGCACAACAAGAAATTTGTCAAGCGACTCTCGTTTATTATCCTAAACAAGATCATTTGACTTCTTGCTATTCGAAACCGAAGACAAAGAACTTCTTGAAATCATTGAACATCGATAAGCTTCGAAATTCACCACCATTTGCTATCGAATTGCCTGAGAAATATGCTGGGAAAACATTGGAAGAACATTTAAAGACTTACGATTGGAAAACCGAATTTGATCATTTTGAACAAGTCAGTCAAACTTCACCAATCGATGTTGTGTGTTCTGGTTCTGGTGGAAGTAGACGGGTTAGTAGAAATAAAATAATGTATATAAATTTTGTGAATATTTCATGAAATTTCTCACACAGATAATTGATGACGACCCTGTACATATTAAGCAACCATTCCGCCCACCACCATCGATTTGTGAGCGTATAAAAAATCAAATCGAAGAATCGATCGATGATAACAATCTCGGCAACATTCAACAAGCACGAAGTAAAGTGTTGAGAAGCTCAGATTTTAGTACATTAAATTTTTCAAATAGTTCTAGACGACTTAGAGTCATTAATTGGCTATTAGCTGTAGTGACAAGTTTAGCAATTTTACGTAAATTTTCAATTGCGACCTGTCATTGAACATATATGTATGTCCTTTTAAAAAAAGAAAACCAAAAACCTTTTGATATCAAATTTAAAAGTAAATAAATAAATTGCTATAAGCGATAAGCAATCATCCGATGAAAAAGAAAAAAAAATTGAAGAAAGCAAAAAATGAAAACAAAAATATAAAATTAGTCGTCAATCCGAAGACTGATATCAGAAAAATAGAAAGAGGAGCGAGAGATAGATGAAAAAATAAAATAAAATAAATTAAAATGAATTAAAAGAAATGAAAGAAAAATCACCCTTTTTTGAAGAAGTATAACTTTGTAAGCAGTTTTTCTTAAATGTTTTTAAGGTCGAAAAGAAAGATGAAACACTATCTGTTGTGATATTAATAAAATAAGACAGAAATAATAATAATAATAATAATAATAATATGAATAAATATTAATAATAAATTTATGTGTAATGAACATGACATGACGTAGAATTGTTGAGTCTGTACAATAAGAGTAAAGGAAGCAATAGAAAATACAGTCTCAAAGTTTAAGTAGAAAGAAAGCATAAGCGTTTTGTATGTTGTGAAAATTTCCGTGGCACATAATATCAAGCGACTTAGAATTGTTGTTAGTCAGGCTGAACTTGAATGTAGGTGGAAAATCATGCTAGACATGGCAAGAGTAACAAAAGGAAAAGTTTTTAAAAAACATTCTGTTCAGCCTTTCTTACAAATCATTCTCATTCCTTTCGTTACAGGCAATAAAATTCGTCCCATAAAATAACAACTTCGACGATAAAGGAGAAGAAATTGCTATGTGAAAAAAAAAATTTGTACGTCACGCAATTTGATTCACGAGAATATTGAAGAGAGTAAAAGGAAAAAAAAGCGCAGGAGCCGAATTGCCGCCGTTGTTTTATTGGTGTTGAATTTGATCATTTCCCGTCTACCTTTGTAGCAATGCCCTGAAAATGTTCCATTACCTGAAGCTTTAGATTGCTGTCGATTCGCAAGAATAAACTTTTCAGCATGAAGTGATTCTCATCGAAAGATTCTAAAAGGTATTTGTTGTAAAATCTCGCTCTCACTTCAAATTTTCATCACGACTTGAACTGAAAAGCCCCCACGTTGATTTGATGTAGAAAGAAAAGGAAAAATGTAGAGCAAGAGCTGGGTAGGAATAAATCCAGGGTAAAAACCATTCATAAATCACTTTTACAATGCCTCGCTGCTTGCCATGTGTTGGGTTGAAGGAAGGAATTTCTTTTTTGTTTCGCTTTTCGTGGCTGGGGAGCCGAAATATGTAGAAGTAACTTAACTTACCCCAAAATATTTCTTCTTCATCGCGTCTGTTTACGTTATCGCAGATGCTGATAAAATGGTTGAAGGGAAATAATTTTTTGTTTTATTCTCTTGTGTGTTGGAAGAAACAGAAAATACATTTAATGGGAAACAATTGGCGATGATGATGAATTTAATGTAATTCCAGTTTTATTTGAATGCGTTTACTTGATTTAACCCACAACACTTTATGCTTTATGTTTATAATATAAAGTTAAGCTATTTTTATGGGATAAAGTCTACAAATATTTACAGTGACATTCGATGATTCATGAGCTCTCAGAGAATATTTATTTTCCAACCAAAAACTATTTTATGGATCGAATAATTTCCGACCGAAAATATTTTTTATGGTTTCCCGAAAACAAAAAATGTTTATTTCTGCTTCGCTTGACGGCTTTTCTGCCCATTCGAGTCGATTGGGGTTGAACGTAACCGAAAATTGAATGGCGAACTAAGACAAGGCGTAATGATCTTCCAATTTATATTAATTTGTGGTTTTTTTGCAATCTTTCTTTTCGGTTGGATAGGGTTGGGTGGAGAATGAAACTAGAGGCTGAAAATCATTTAATGAGCATTGCGTGTAATAATAAAACTGAGAGAAGGGAAATGAAAGTGAGCAACACAGAAGAATAAAAGAAGGAAAACTTTTCCACCCTCACTGAACTGAATGATTAATAACTCGCGGATTACCAAAACCAAACAATAATTAAAACTGAAGCAATTCCCTTGAGTGCTTTGAAATCACTTTAATGATGGAAATTTCTTCAATTACAAGACATGAAAATCAAATAAAACTTTCTCTTTTCGCAACAGCGAGAAGAAGGGTAGAGATTGATTTGAAATGATGAGAAAATGAAAATGTCAGATTTGATTAGAACCACCCGCGCTTTAACATTGAAAAAAAAACCGCCAACGTTGAATTATGTTTTGATGAGAGTTGAGAACGTGCAACTGAGGTTTATGAACATTCTTGGCCTTGGAAATAAATTTCAGAATTTTTATATTGGGTTGAGCAAGTCGCTGAAAACGTGACTGACTAGGGGTTTGAAAAAAGAATTTAATTTCTCAATAATTTCACCATTTTTCTGCACTGTCAGCACATTTGACATATTTATTAGTAACATGAACATTATTATTAAAATATGTTGAGTAATCAACTTCAATAATTTAGTCCATAAGTTTCCTAACTTAATCAACATCAACGTCCAATCAATCCATCATAAAGATATTTAGATTAACGCAATTCAGATTCATCCGAACACAAATTTCAAATTCAGCTTTTCGAGAGGGTCAGTTCTGACAATAATAAAAATATAAAAATACAGTGAGGGAATAATTTAATCTTCTCTTGTAATCCCATTACATTGCTTTCCGCCCATAAATTTAAACAATTCTTCCTGATTTTCATCTCTCAAAATATTTCAATTGCCACACATAAAAAACCCCAAAAGAAATGTTTTATTTTCTCGTCAATTTTCTTAATCATATTTTCGTTTCACTAATGAATTCGTTCGTCTGTTTTCTGTTTTCGTTCGTCAAATCGAGGGGTGATGTTGAGAAAATATAAATTTTATCTTAGAAAATTCTTTACACCAAGAGAAAACTTTATTTTTCTTAATTCTTAATGAAAATGAAGCGATATTTGACACGAGGGTATTTAAGGTTTGACTTCTTTCTAATCCTCTGAACGTCACCTTGATTTCCATTTAATTTGTTATTCTCTTGCTTTTTCTCGTTCGTGCGTTTGAAACATTTGCTGATTTAATATCGTTTGTCATGTGCGGTTGCATTTTATGACTTTTATAGCTGTTTTCTCGGCACTCGTCTGTTTACTTTACTACAAAACTTTCATGACAAACTTCAATGGAACTACCTTAAACATCAACCGCTCCTGGTCTCATATCACGTCATCAGAAAGCGACTTGCATGAATCAACTCCATTAAATGTTTCATATTTTATGAACTTTAACGATGAAAAAAGTTTTACTGTTTAATTAAATTGCATAACATGCATGTTCATGTTGCTGCCTTCACTGTCACGGGAAACGTTCGAAAATTGAGATACAAAATGCTTCAAAGATTCAAAGGTCGAAGTTCCACAACTTTTGCTGTCCTCATATGCTCTGCTATCAAAATGAATTTAGATAATTGAAAAAGAAGAAATAGATAATTGATTAAACATAATGTTCAAACACATTCCATGTAATGTACAACTTTGAAAGAACAAATTTGCTCTTTGTCTTTGTTTAAGTTTCAAATTGAATGATTTATGTTTTTATTATAGCTTGTAGTGTTTCCTTTCACATATGAGATGTTCTTGCCAAAAGGCATTTTTAAAGTTTCACATAGTTTTGCATAAGCATGGTAACGTAACAATGCAACATGCTGGAATTTAAATTCCCAAAGAAACACAAAAATTTAAAATTTATTATCCTAAAAAATAAAACGGCAAACAATTCACGTCGCATGAGACTTCAACGTTTGTTTTATCGACCTTGAAGTTTAATTACAAGAAGCTTCTTCTCTGAAAAGCTATAAATTTAAATCCAATTTTAACATTTTAGACATCGCATCTCTTCCAAGTTCCAACGAAGATAAAACAACTTGACAATCCCATTAGTCACTGTTAAGCAGTCGGAAAAGTTTATCTGCGCAGAATTTTTCTTCAGATTTTTGTGTTGTTGCTTCCAAAGTTTAAAGAATAACTATGGGAAAAACACGATGAAGCCTTTTTATGGGCGTTGTGTTCGAAAGGATATCAACAAAGATCTGTCTATGTCAATTAAGGTGAATTTAAAAGAAAAGTTTCATAAACATCGGACGACATCTTTCACTTGTGTAAAAGTAAAAACTTTGCATGGGTTGGGCTGAAAACTGTTGTGCATCTGAAGCAATGGAGCTAAGTTCCCATCAATTTCCGCTGGTGTCAACCTCCCCAAGAGCAGCAGTTGATTTATTTTCAAAATTGTACAATTTTCGATACTCTTATCGATCTCTTTCTTCAATTTCTTTTTATCGTCCTCGGAAATGAACAAATGGAAAATTCACATAAATTTTCTTTCTCTTGACTGAAATTCAATTACAGATTTGAGCTGCAGAACATTTTTTAATTGAAAAACAAAATCACAATAAAGGCAAACGCGAATCAGCAGAAACACGAGAGGGAAGAAAGCGGTTTATACATTTGAAAAATTCAGTCTGAAACCTTGTGTTTTGATATTGTGATTGCAATTCTTGTTTTAATCAAATTACGTGTACAAATATTAACCTCTTTGTGAAAAATAATTCACTCTGCTCTTTCTACGTGCTTGAACTTTTAATTTAAAAAACTAACTTTCATGATAATATGTTTGCAATGTTATGAATATCAAAAGCAAGAATTAAATTTGAAAGCTCCAAGGATAATACAAAAGCAAGCACTCTCGTTACATTTGTTCTTATTATTGAATTCTGTTGAGTTTAACAAAAGTATCTAATTTAGATGTATAAAAAATGTTAGACAACTTTATTTGAAATTTCAATTCAATGTCGTACAATAAATTTTCGATAAAAATATCAAGAAAATAATTATTTACGCTATTTTGGGATATGCGAACCTAAAAAAGAAATTTATGAGTTTTGTTTAAAATATTAAAGAAATTAATTTTCATTACCTTGCGGTTGGAAACCATTTTCATCAGCAATGTAATTGACTTCTATCAACTGCCCGTCTGGAGCAGTGTAAGAATAACTTCCCCGCATCACGAGACCACTGTCATCTCTTTCTCCTGAAATTTGTCCAGTTTGGGGATCCACAACAGGTGTTCTGATACTTTTCAATTGCCCTGTTGCTTGTTCTCTTATTCCATTTCCAGTTTCGAATGCATACGCAAATGATCCATCAGGATCTTGTGTAGAAGTGTGTGATATGACGGGGATTTCAGCTCCCGACGAACCAGAATTGTATTGATTGATTGAACGACCATTTCCATATCGAGAAGATGAATAAGGGCTGCTCGAATATTGCGAGGTTGTCGAACCACCATATTGTGAATAAGGATTACTTGAGTACGGCGATAATGAACGACCTCTAGAATATTGCGATCCACTATTTCCTGAATATTGTGAACCTAAATTGCTAGAATATTGTCCGTTATTTTGTGAATATTGAGAGAAGGGATTTCCTGAATATTGTGATGAAGACCGACCATATTGTGATCGACCATAACCATTCGAATATTGTGATCCATAACCATTTGAATATTGCGATCCATAACCATTCGAATATTGTGACGGATACTGCGACAATGATCGACTTGTTGCGTATTGTGATCTTGGAGAATATTGCGACCCGTAAGCGCTTGAATATTGCGAATTGGGATACTCCGAGTATTGCCCGTTATTCCTTGAATATTGTGAACTTGAATACTGTGAGGGATATTGCGACAAAGATCGACCAGTCCCGTACTGTGATCTTGGAGAATATTGTGATCCATATGCATTGTTATATTGGCCACCGTAATTAGAATATTGTGAACCTGAATATTCCGGATATTGTGACAAAGATCGACCTCTTGGAGAATATTGCGAGCCGTAAGCGCTTGAATATTGTGAACTTGGATATTCCGAGTATTGCCCATTATTCCTTGAATATTGTGAACTTGAATACTGTGAGGGATATTGCGACAATGATCGACTTGTTGCGTATTGTGATCTTGGAGAATATTGCGACCCGTAAGCGCTTGAATATTGCGAATTGGGATACTCCGAGTATTGCCCGTTATTCCTTGAATATTGTGAACTTGAATACTGTGATGGATATTGCGATAAAGATCGAGCAGTCCCGTACTGCGACCTTGGAGAATATTGTGATCCATAAGCATTGTTATATTGGCCACCGTGATTAGAATATTGCGAACCTGAATATTCCGGATATTGTGACAAAGATCGACCTCTTGGAGAATATTGCGAGCCGTAAGCGCTTGAATATTGTGAACTTGGATATTCCGAATATTGCCCATTATTCCTTGAATATTGTGAACTTGAATATTGTGAGGGATATTGCGACAATGATCGACTTGTTGCGTATTGTGATCTTGGAGAATATTGCGAGCCGTAAGCGCTTGAATATTGTGAATTGGGATACTCTGAATATTGCCCATAACTACTACCATATTGTGACGGATATTCCGAGTATTGCCTGCTTGTTCTGGAATATGTCGAACCAGGATATTGTGATGATGAACGACTACTTGCGGAATACTGTGATCCATATCCGTTGTTATATTTGCCATTGTTTCCGTAATATGAATTTTGATATTGTGAGTTTGGATATTCAGAGTTCGACGACAACGAACGACCTCGACCGTATTGTGATCCAATTCCATTAGAATATTGTGAATTGGAGTATTCCGAGCCAAAGCCTTTTGAATATTGATTATAAGGATATTCATTGTTGTATTGTGATGAATTGGAATATCCTGAATATGGTGAATAGGATCGACCTCGTGAATATTGCGATCCATATCCATTTGAATACTGTGAAGGATACTCAGAGTATTGTCCACTGTTTCTGGAATATTGAGAACCAGAATATTGTGATGGATATTGCGACAATGATCGACCAGTGCCGTACTGCGACCTTGGAGAATATTGTGATCCATATGCATTGTTATATTGGCCACCGTAATTAGAATATTGTGAACCTGAATATTCCGGATATTGTGACAATGAACGACCTCTTGAGTATTGTGAACCGTAATAACCGTTGGAGTATTCCGAATTAGGATAATCTGAATATTGTCCATAACTTTTAGAATATTGTGAGTCTGGATAGGTTGAATATGGCGACCGCCCTTGAGAATATTCTGATCTGATTCCATTAGAATATTGAGAATTGGGATAATCGTAGTTTCCGTAGCTTCCGGAATATTGAGAATTTGGATATTGTGATCGATAATCTCTGGAATATTGCGAAAATGGAGATGCTGGCGATCGACCTGTAAAAAAAATAAATAAAAATCTTCCACATAATTCTTCCAATCAATGATGTTACCATTTGAGAATTGTGATCCAAAACTCTGCCCAAAGCGACCGTTTTTATATTGTCCACCAATTTGAACTGGTCCTAAATTTCCCGAATATTGCAAGCCGTCTCGGTTATATTCCGATGAATTTAAATTGAGTCCATATCCGGAAGAATTTGAATTGACATCAACAGTATCTTGTGGACGAGCTCTGACATTGTAAACTATCAGAATAAATAAAAACACAAAAGTTGATTTCATCTTAATGTCACTGCGGATCACTTCAGGTATCCGTTTTGATAGAACTTTTAAAGATAACTGAGAATTTAATAATTTTTCTTCTCATTTTTATACCACAAAAATATTTGAATTATTTAAGATAATTAGCAAGTCTTCACCGATTTGCAATCGAACATACAAACTTAAACATTGTTAATTTGATAGTAAATGAATTTATTTTCTGATAGAACACATTAAAGCTTTTAAGTCAATTTTAGAAATAGTAAACGCCATCAAACAATATTATTGTTTGATTTGTTTGCCAACTCATTGTAAAAGATTTTTATTTTTAAACGATTTTGAAGCAGATATTTCCTGATCATCATCAAGTTGAAACGACCACCTTTAAGATGATTGATAAGATTGTGAATATTAAATTTCAGAACGCTTTATTAAAGCAGAAAACAGGTAAAAGGAATGTTTTGGAAAGAAAAATGATTTGAAAGAAATAATTCGAATGGTAAACATTAAAGTCAAAGTTATCGTTTTCTGTTGTTCATAAAGTATGAAAACATTTTGCAATTTCCACGTCTGGAAAAATATCAGAATGTGTATGACTTAGATGAATTACATGTGGAAGGAAAGAGTAAATATTTTGTTAATGAAAAAAGTTTTGTACGGTGAAAATTGCTTGCTGCTTGCTAATTTGATAAAATTATTTTCATGTTGTGAACCTAATTAGTTTGCCGTTGAGCTTGGAAACTGCCTCAACTTAAAGCATGTTACTCATCCGAACTGCCTTGATTGCAATAAATTTTAACTGAGTTAAGCATCGAGGAAGTTTAAAAACTGTTTTCTGTTATGTGTGAAATTTCTTTTCTTGCAGATATGAAGAAATTTCTCATTAGCTTCCAAAGTTATGATTAACAACGATAACAGTTTCAAATATGTAGATATGTGCTTACCTTTGATGATAAAACTTCACTCAGCTGACTACTGAATCATATAATTGATATTTGTCTGCTTCTTTTCATCTTTCTTTGAATAGCATTTGCTAATTGCAAGGAAAACATATCAAAAGTTTTAAAGCCTGAAAACTTGACTACACATAATCTGAAGTTGAATAGCAAATATTTATGTGTGCTTCAACACTTAAAATTCTTTGATTTAAAAGCAGAAGATTTTATAAAGATTCTATTTCAGTTGTTAACGTCATATACACAAAGAAGGAAGCAAGCGAGTATGTTTCATGATGAAACAGAATAATTTTAATTACTTTAAGCTTTGTCAACTTTCAAGCTGCGACATTTGTTTGAAATGGGAAACATTATCATAACTTCGCAATTAATTTTCACTGAAATATTCATCATGGCGAAGAATCAGGTTGAACATTAAACAAACAAAATGCGACTTTAGAGTTTTGATTTAAAACTTCGAGGATTACAATGTATTTAGTGATATTCCTAATGGCTTTGTTGGTTGTAAAACTAATTAAGGTTTCTGTGGTTGAAATTTTGCAGACGAAAGAATTCAAAAATTTAAACGAAATTCTCCGCAATTTAAATTCTCAAAATTGTGTTGAATGTGTGGGTAGCTTAACTGGATTGTTGGAAACCACTTGGCATGAAAGAATGAAAGAGGAAAAAAGTGAAATCTCTGTTTAAAGATAGCAGTGCAAAACATTTTGTCGTTTAAATTAATGAAATTTAATTTCCGTGCAGTTTGTTGTCTTCTCTTTTGTCATCGCATTCATGCATGACGCCTTCACTTGTATTTAAGTTTTTTTGTTTGTTGCTTGTTTCAACGTCGAATGACTGAAGCAAATTAAGTATGTGACTAAATATAATTGCACAGTTTGATTCCTTTCAGACTCTGAAATCATTTTGGAGGTTTACTTTAATTTAGATTTCTTAACTTTGTTACAAGGAAAAGAAAATTTTAATTTTCAACTTTGCATGTTATTATATTCGACTTGCTTTTCCTTCCAGCAAATGCCTCCTTTGGGGGAAGAACGAAATACGAAGAAATCTTTTCATTTCCTTTTGATTTTTATCGCAATGATATGAGGATTGCTCGCAACGCTACTTCTGACTGAGCCTTGAAAATGAAGCAGCAGTGAACATAAGAAACGAGATGAAAAACCATTCATAAATCACATTTACAGAATCTTAATGCTCTGCCGTGTAGTTAGGCCTATGAGAGTAAGAAAAATGTGTTGAAAAACATTTTTGACAACAAAATAATTGCGAATGAAAAAAATATTCTGAGATTTATGTTTTCTAACTTGGGCTTATTTTTGATGAAAAATTTTAAAATTCTTCGTTTCTCCATTTGAAATATTCATGAAATGTTACTCAATCATTGATGTAATAAATGTTATTTTAATTTCACAGATTATCTTGATGTTTTAATGGCATTTGAGAGCTTTAAGGCTACCGACTTAATAAACAGAATAGAAATACTTAGCATTGATAACACATTTTATCAAGAAATAATTTAAATTAAAGAGAAATTCTCAAGTTGAAATGTCTTTAAAATATTATCAATTGTTTACGAAACACGAAAATCAAATAAATGTTTTGAATGAAAGCAAGAAAAGGGTAAAAACGATTTTCAATGAGTTGGGAAAATGAAAAAGTCAAATTTCATTTAAAACCACCCACACTTTGGCAAGAAAAAACTTTCTGATGAAAATGTTAAGTGCTGAGGTGTAATGTTTAAATACTTTGATGAGAATAAAATATATTCGGCTTTGTTTACATAACAGTAAAACGTCAACAAGGGAGTGAAAGTTCTTTGATGAGAATATTCAATTATCTTTGAACCGCAATCAATTTCAATTCAATAAAGATATTCCTTAGAGATTTGAGTGCATTCTAAGTAGATTAGCAACATATGTGAGCATGTTGAACAATTCTTCTTGGATAACTAAGTCAATAAGTGGCACAAGTAAATCAATATGAGCATCCCATCCATCAAACAATAACGATTATTGCATGATTTCATCCACCCACGATCAGAACCTAAACGAGAAATTCCGAAAATTTCAAGGGGACAGGAAATCAGCGAGGGAATAATTCAATCTTGCTTTAATCTAATTATGTTGTTTGCCATCCATAAATTTAGAAGATTTTTCTTTGCAGATCTTTTTTTTTTCTTTTTCCTTTTGTCATGAATTTACTCGAATAAAGCCCCAAAAAAGAATTTTGTCGTCATTTCTTTCTCGTCAATTTTCCTAATCAAATTTCGTCGTAAACGAATGCGTTTCTTTTATTTTCGAGGGGTGAAGTAGAATTAACAAGATTTCATTTGCAAAACATTCTCGGTACATCAAGAATACGAATTATTCTGTTTATGTGAGAAGTCTTTTGATATATGTCAGCCATAAAAAATAAATTCCTTCATATTTCAGTGGGAAATTTAGTCACATCTTAAATTAAATTCTTTTTTAAATATATAAAGACGACTCTTAGAATCAATTTCACAAGCACTTTTCTCTCATTCATTGCAATACATTAAGCTCTTTTCGCTTTACTTCGCAATTTAATTTCTTTTTCTTCTGATGCTTCAACTTCTATTCATAAGAAGTAAAGGGAAATGCTTCCTCATGACTTTTTGTTCAGTTCATGACTTGTACAGTTGAACGTGTTCACATGACTGACACAGGGAGGTATTCAGAATTTTTTTTTTAATTGAAAGATTCTTAAATGTCTTCGCTTCATCTCTGTTTGAGACGTCTAGGAAATGCTGGAATCATTAATGTAATGCACAGCGAGCTCGATTCGTCCTTTTCCTCGATTCTCATCAAGAATGAACGGCGTCGAATGTAATGAAAAGTAATTTGAGAGTAATGTGAGAATAATGACGTGGAAATTCCGATTAATGTGCTTTTTCCTGTCGGGAGAATTCTTTTAGAAATCCCTTTTTACCAAGAATAGAAATTGTCGATAGAAATCATTGCTTGAATGTGGAGTAACGAGGACTTTTTGTGTGCTGATTTATCACAGACGATTTTTCACCAAAAGTAAAAAAATCAACTTGAAAACGAATTGAAGTGGAAATGCTAGTGGAAATGGAGAAAAAAGTAAAAGGCTTAAAATTGTCAACGACGATGTTGACTAATGAGTAAATAGAAGAACTTAACCAGAACGATTTCTTCCAATGATCAATACCTCGTTACACTTCATTAAATTCCTTCATTCTTCATAGAATTCACGACAACATAAATTGTTAAATGACTCGAGGGTATGATAAGATAAAATAGTTGTGAGACTACTGGGAAGGATATGAAATATCAACTAGAAAGTAATTAAAGCCTTTCCAAAAAAGGTTCGCTTTCAAAAAAAGGTACAATGGATGGTTCACACTTAATGAATAATTGTATAATTTATTTGCTTTCCATTTGCATCATTTACCATGAAATCTATTTAACACATTTATTTATGACACTGAAATAGGACGAAATTTCAGAAAGTTTAGGCAATTATAAAGTTTATATTGCGTGGGAGGAACTCAGTATGATATAAAGACTCGGTTAATGGGCCAAAAGAAGCTTTTTAAACGATAAATTCGATAAATTTCCTTTTAAAGCTTTTCCGCATCTTTTTTTTCTTCTGCATTTGCTAGAATTTTCCCACATCAAACGACATGATATTTTCTTTTGAAAACATTAAGCATTTCTAGATGATGTTTTGTCTGATCTTTTTGTGAAAGTTTTTCAGCTTCATCTATAGAGCTTCGTTCGTTATTCATTCTTCAACAAATTTAATTTTCCAGCATAAATTTTACATCATTAGCAAGCGATCCGTTGAGAATACCTTGGGAAAAGGTAGCCCAAAGTCATTTAAGTGGAACGATGGAAAGCTTCTGCTGAATGGACAATTTTCTGCTTGGACAAGAGAACCTAACATAAAACTGAGCATAAATGTTCTACCTTTCGTTACATTCTTTTTTCTTCTGGTATTCGCTACTGGAGTTACTTCTAAACTTGCAAAACACAAAAAAAAACGTAATCCTAAGACAGGACCCGTAGGCTACACAAAAAAAGGAAGAAAGAAATATTTTTCTCACTCTCAATGCTCATTGCTCTGTGAAATCTCATTAATTTTTGAGCAGATCCATTACTTGCCTTGAATAAATGTCATGCTATCGCGATGAGAACAAAGTGCCTGAAATCTGATTTAATGTTTAATCTCTGCAACTTATTTTCTTGTTTATTTATGTTTCATGATTTGCCATCATTAATTCAATTTGATTTTTGTTCGTGATTGTATTTGGAGCTAACATATTATGTTATTGCATTCATTGAAGGCGCCTTGCATGAACATGCCCCATAATTGCATCAAAGATTTATTGCCTTTCTACTAATGGGGAGTTTTTATGTTTAATTACAAATTGTGCAACATGAACTACATAAAGGAATTAAAATCTTTTATGACTCTATACAAAAATTGTTTCTTTTTTTTTCGTTATAATCATTTAGATCATTAGCTGATTATCATCAGACTGTTAGAGTAATTAATCAAGCTTTTTCATCGTAAATTTTACAAAAATGACATAAAAATGCTTTAACGAGCCAACCAACAGAGTTTCCTTCTATTTATTCTCATATTTTAAATAGGTTAAACAACACATGAAAAAGCTTTGAGTTTCTCCCTTTCGCATAAAGTTAAGAACGAAATTTCTAGGAGAGTTATAGAAGCAAATGGGGAGAATAAAGAATGAAAGCCGGCAGCAATAAAGGAGTTACATGATTTGCAGTTTGTATATTTATGCCTTTGAACTCTACTGGGGGTCGTTTTTGGAAAACTTCTTCAATCTTGAATATGAATGAGATATGAGAAAAGTAACGCTCGAAAGATGAAAATCGAGTTAAAGTGAAGTTTCAACTGTAATTTCTTCATGAAAGTTCCACGTAAATATGATGTTAATTCAGACAAAAACATGAATCTATTTTAATGTGATGCAAAACTCAATTTCTCGAAGGAACTTTCATGCAAATTCTAAATTACATCATTCTAGAACTTGCTCAAAAGTGAAAAGTGCATTTGTATGCAGACATAACTTGGTAGCAATTTAATATTTTCAAAGAAACATTTGTGATAGAAGCACATTAAAGTGGAACAAAATGAGCTTTAAGTAAGGTTGCTGAGTAATCAAACACCTAGGATTTTGAAATATTTACAATGCGTACAATGAAAATATTGATACTTAAAACAACTTTGCAATAAACAATATCAATGATCGATTATTTCATTTCCCTACCTGATGACACACATTTTTGTTTGCGGTATAAAATAATTATGTGTTTAAACATTTTCCATCGTCGTTGTGGGGAACCACGTGAAACATTATTCAACTTCGCTGCGGTTGAATAATGCAATGAAGCTGTATGAAAAAGTGAGCTTATTTATGTTGCAATATCAATAAACAGAGGAATTTTATTGGAAAAACAACTTAATTTTATTAACTCTTGTTTGTACTAACGATCAACAACAACAACAGCTGCCAGCAGACATGAAAACACTCTGGGAAATGACGTGTTGATGGTGAATAAAGGTGCAAGAGTTGACTTACTCTTGCCAGAAGTCATAAAACTGTTCTTTAAGAGTCCATTTGAGGTTTCACTAAACAAAATTGAATATTATTGAGATCAAAATCTTCAGGCGATTTGACACTTCAAAGCATCAAAGCAAATTGAATTTCATGATCTGCGTGACATTTCAACCGAATAACAAGTGAAACAGAAAGGAAACAGATTGCAAACAATTAAATTCAAAGAATTCATACGAAAATAGTCTTCTGCATGGAAGAGATTAATAAATGAATGCGATGCTTCTTCGTGCACAGAAGAAGTCTAAAGACGTTAATTAGTTCTGCCACATCAGCGTGCGAAAAAGACGTTTTTATGACAGGCGGTGGTGAAATATTTTCAACCACAAATAAATGCTTTAATTCATTTACGCAATGAATGTTTTGTCAAACATTTAATGTTCTTTGTCTTCCTTCTTGTGCCTTGAAGGAACTGCGAGAATTTAATTCGCAAAGAATGTTACGCGTTAACGCGGTGAACCTGAGAGCGAAGGGAACGAAATTTGAAATCTCAAAACAAATTCATTCATGAATAATTTTAGAATCAAACAAGAATTTTGAATTCACATCTCAAGCGTTACAATCTCGCGTGATAATTTGGCAGTTTGAGACAACATTTGGCAATTACTAATTCATTATGCTCTGTTGTATCGTTTAAACAAATAATGCATTTGACAGTGAGAGATGTAACAGTACAAGTGACGATACAAGAATTAATTCTCCGTCGCCTTCTCTCATTTATTTCTTCTTCTTTTGTTCCAACAAACGTTGATTCATCATCAACACCTTCAGGGGAATTTTAATTTGCATACAAGAATATTAAGCGTCAAACCGGAACAAAACTTTTGCATAAATATTTTCATAAATCTTTTTCTTCACTCTCAAAATGATTCAATCTTATGTTTCAAGAAACTCTTCAGTTGTTTTCTCTCTTGAGGGATGACAAAAAAATTTGAATAAAAAATATTTATTCATGATTTTTTACAGTAAATAAGCAAATTTTTGTTTTCTTCGTAACTTGACCTGAAGACTTGTTTTCAGTTCAAATGTTTTCATTTTCTTGACCTCACATCAAACTCAACAATGTAATTATTATGAGTTTTAAAGCATAATGACGCCCAGAGTTCATTCATTTATTCATCTACAAATAATTTCATGTCGTTGACTTGTTTGATAAGATTTTCTGTTGCAAATTTCTACAAAAATGCATGCACAGCTTTTTATCTTCATTCATGAGAAGTCATGTTAATTTCATTTCATCTACAATACATTCCTCCCCTATTTCCATGTGCAACTTTGTTTTTAACTTCAACATAGTAATTCCTTTGATGTTTGTCTTGCTAATTAATGCATGCTGAGTTATGTAAAGTGCAATTACCATTCTCAAGCGCAAAACGAATTACAATCAAAGCATTCAACGTTCTTGAATTAATTGCTTATTTACATTTTAAACAACAACTTCAGAGCATCAGATGAATTTGATGAACTGATTAAATCTAACCGTTTATATTATAATTAAATGAACGTCAAACATATGCGTAAATATGAGTATTGCTCATTGAATTCAAAATTATAATCAAATTTTCGAGCACTGATAAATAAAGCATCAAATAATGTTGTCAAGCATTTAATTTTGATTCTTTCTCCTCTTTGAAAAATGCGATATAATGGAAGTGAGCGAGTGTTTGATTAAAATTTTTTAATATTTATAAAATTGACTGCATGGTGAATATTTTAACATTTTTCCATCTACGCTAAAGTGTAAGTCAACATTGTTGATGCATTATTAAAATGAATGATACGCTGGTGCAGTTCTTTCATGAATAACAAAGCAAAGTTGGTTATTTTGTTTTACAACAAACCAATCTCATTTTTCCCTTCTACCAATTTTGTACCTTTAAATCCAGAACAAAAGTGATTTCTTTATAATAGCTAGAAAACTATTTACGTGATCATTTATCTCTTTGTTCCATTTGTTCATTTTCACTGCTGCAAACTTGGAAATATTTTGAGAAAACTTACCGTCTTTTTGAATTCCAGACACAGACAGTGTGAGATTTCTAAGACAGTTTTCTTATAACATGCACCTGATGCTAAACTGTATTCGAGAGACTAAATTGTATACTTCGAGCATGAAATTATGGTGATAAATGCATAAAAAGTTGTCATTTTCTACAAGCATTAAGTTAGGAACATTTTTCATGAAATTATGTTGAAGGATTTAAAGTTGTCTCATAAGTTATGTTACAAGTGAGATAATGATAAGAGGAATGAACTGAAATTATTCGTCTGTCTGGTATTTAAATACATTTGAGATACTCAGCTGATAAAAGTCAGAAAAATGTGTCATCATTAGTTTTTAATGAGAAAACATTCTTGTAAATTTGTTTAATCTGAGAATTTTAATCAATTCACACCAACCCTTCACTAACGTGAGTAAGAATTCTTTACAATTTGTGACTTTAAAATTCAGAACGAATGTTTCATTGTTGATATTTATTTCAATTTCAAATATCCTCGACTAGCCCTTTTTACAAACCTCACGAAACATGTATTCATCATTCGCCACCCTCGTTCTACTCATGACTCGTTGGATGAAAATGTATCGGAAAAGTCGCATCGCATTGACATTGTTGTTGGCGAGGGAGAAATATAAAATTTCTATCACGCAATAAATGTAATGCAACGAAATGAATTTATGAGAGAACCAATTTTCTAAGTTAAACCACAGTAAACCTTAATTGATTTTCTTGATTCTTAATATATTTCTAAGCTATAAATGTCGTAACAAAAAATATTTCGAGTTGTAATGGCTGACGCAAAACGATTTTCCTTTTATTTATTAGATTTTCTTTGTTGTTGAGAAGTTTTATGGTTCAGTTAGTTGAGAAACTATGCAAATCTGAATAAATTTGATATCAGTTTAATTACTTTTATCCAGTTTAATGATATAATGATGATTGGGATAAGAATCTTTTAAACTATCAGTTACTTTAATCATTTAACTGTTACTTTAGCTCAGATCTGCATAAGAAAGAAAAACTTTCTTTGATCCCTAAATTTACCAAATTTATCTCTTTTCCTAATCAATGAATATTTTATTTACATGAATACTCATGATTACATGTTCAGTGATACTTTATGTTTGAGTTGGGTATTCAAATATAAAATAAAAATATTATAAAAGAAAGCAGGGATAAAAATTTTGAATTCCGTTTGCAATGTTAACTTTGAATAAAAAGTAAACAAGTTTTCCTTAAAGATTCTTGAAACTTTATAAGATTCATCCATTCGCTCTAATCTTCTAGAGTTCATTTTTTTGTATTCCAACATATTGTAAATGCCGGAAGGGGATGAGAGTTTATATTTCCTTTCCCTTTTGCAATTTCATATCACGTAGAAAATTCATTCAACTGTATCTCCATAAGAACCTTCAAGAAGTGTTCATCAAACAATTTCAGATATTTAGTTCAACTTTAACTTTATTGCTTATTGGTTTGCTTCGCTTACAAATAGTAAGTAGGATGATTACTTTCAAAAAATTCCTCTGAAACAGTATCGTGCGACTTTATTATGGTTCGGAAAGTATGAAATTGATTTGAGCGAATTTTAATATTTTATTTCCTTTCCATTTTCGCAAAGGCAATCAAAATGTTCACTTATTTTTACCCTTTTCTAAATTCCAGCAATAAAACCGAAAAGTGAAGGGTTGCAAATATATAATTAATGATTGAAACCAACAAAACGAAAGTAACTTTTAAGGAAAATTATAAGCTTAGCTCCGAACTGAAGGTAATTCTTTAATAGTATAAAAGAAAGTTGAATATTTAATAATTCTTAAATTGGCAAATACTTTTATGAGTCATATCAACCCGAAATTAGGATATCAGAAATCTGTCGTCAAATTTAATTTTCCATCTTACCACAAAAGTGCTTCTAATCACGAAAAGAAAATTTATTCAGCCTGAATGACTTCTCCCTTAATCTAATAAATAATTCTCAACATTAAATGCCATATTCGAGTTAAACCCTTTCATTCGATACTTCCCTTTGCTTTTCAAAGCAATCTGGTAGTTTCTTTAATTAAAGTTTTAATGACTAAATGAGTCTGAATGAGAAGCGATTTCCAAAAGAAACAGAAAATAAAATAAAAAGGATAATCATCGTCACGACTGCAACTTTTCTTCAGAGGGTTGAGACTTGCTGAATAATGGAGATGATAATTGTAAGAAATAATGATGTAGAAATTATTCTGCAGCATTTATTCATAAACTTTACAATATTTGTTTAAATCAAGGTTTACATAATGAGAGGGTCGCAAAGAAGTAAGTGAGAGATGTTGAAAACTTCTTCAAAAGCCTTCGGCAGTCTCGTTTTAATTTCAATTTCAATTCTTTCCTTTTTCATTTTTTATTCAATTACGAATAAATATTTATCAGAGAGAAAAGTTCAACTCATAACAACAATTATATAGCATTTCAATTTAAAAATATAATTCTCTTCTCAGTGGAATGAAAACTAAGTCTGATCTTTAACCTCTGAAAGTGCTCAAGCTGTATGCAAATGGAAATTTAAAACTTTCAAGTACTTTGCGGAGTTTCCTGTAAAAGTGCTTTCCAACTGCAATCCTCGATTTTAATGTAAATTTAAAAGGATGAAATCCGCAAAGTTGGAATTTCTGCTTGAATAATCAAAGAAGTTTTTCAATCTAACTAGTTCTGCCTCTCTTGTGTCCAAAAATTAATTAAAATATTTATGAGAGATCATCTACAAAATGAAAATTTTCTTTCTTATCTTTACAATATTACAGAAGCAAATTGCTTATTGTTCAGTCTGAATAGAGTTGGAAGATGTAAAGTTATTAACTGTCATCATCTTCTATTGTGGAAATATGACAAACAATTTAAGTTTCACTTCAAGAAAAGACTGTTTGAAAATATCATTCGACAAGATAATGAACCAACAAGGAAAAAGAGAAAAGAAATAAATTTTTCCATCACTTCCTTTCATGTCTGAGTTTACTTCAACGTTTATATTTAAACTTGGAGAATTTTCAATAATTTTACAACAGCAATGAAACATTTTTGGTACAAGAAACATGATAAAAATCTTTAACTTCAAAAAGCAATAATTGAAGAGAGAGAAGACGTCGAAATTGTTTCCTCTTAACATTGTAAAACTTTCACTTGATCGAACCGAGTCTTTGCAATGTCTCGAGGGCATCTTTCATCTAACATCCCAAATGTCTTCATTACGATGTCTTTTCCACTTCTCGCTTTTCTTTAAAATAAAGTAAAGTGAATGCTTTTCGATGTTATCCCCGAAAGGCTTCAATATCAGAAACTGACAAACGGAAGCAATCGAAAAAGAAGAATGAAAGAATCTTGGAAAAAGTAATGCATTGAAAATTAAAAGATAGCTTCAAACTGCATTGAACTGAGTTTGGAACTTCACCGTTTCAGCTTCTTTACTTTTTTAAGATTGTTTTGAAAGTTCAAAAGCTTTAAAAAAATTAAGAAAATTAAACTTTCTTCCACTAATTTAAAGTTTCCAACAAGTTAAGTCAACACGTTTAAAGGTTCTATTGCAACTGAGATGCAGAATGAATTCAGAAATTTAGCTCGAAGAGTTTTCACACCTAGGTATTAAAGTTAGTGTCTTCTTTACTCTCTCTGCAGCCCTCAAAACTTCATTCCCATGAGTCTGACAAAAGCTTTTAAACCCTCGTAAGAAGGATAAAGGAACCAGGTGGAAAAAAATCTCAATTTATCTTCCACATCCAATTTTTCCTCAGGGATTGGGATTTCATGATAACGAGTTTCGACAAAAGAAAAATCCGTGAAAAGTTTTCTTATTCTTCCTCTCTTTTCCATTCTTTCTTCATTCTGTAAGCGAATCTTATTGCTGCTGTTCTTTTTTTGTGTAACTCTGAAAGACAAACGAGTTAAGGGAACGTATACAAATAATTTTCTCTTATTTCGAAGACCTTAGTGATGTGTTCATTTAACTCTTTTTACAATTGAACAGATGAAAAACTGTTGAACGATTCCCATGCAAGTAAAATATTTTAATTTCATTTAAAGTTATCTTGTGTTTTAATAAGAAAGAAAAATTTAACAACAAAGTTTAATGTTAGCTCAGTGTTACAACTAAAAAGTGATGAAAATGTTGTTCTATTCAAATAAAACTTTCTTGCGAATTTGCAAAACTTAGCGAATAAAAATTCTCGTAAGGTTTAAGAAGCAACTAAAAGTAAGATTATGCATAAGCACGGTTTACATTTCGCAGGAAAGTTTTATTCATTTTTTTGTTAAATGTCGGAAAGAGAAATACAAGAATAACATGATCATAAAATTCATAAAGTTTTTCTTGACATCCTTCCACGAAAATTTAACAAATGATGCACAATTTTTCTTATGTCTGGCTCGGAAACATTTTTCCTCATTTCTCGTGTTTGCTTTGCAGCTGGAAAAAAGTTATCAAGCAGTTTTTTCTGGGTACTTTCGACCTGTCACTATAACTAAGCAGCACAAAAAAGTTGAAACTTGATCTCGTGTGGCTCCACAAGTCTCTGAAGAATTTTTATTTTTTATTTTCCAATAAATCATATTTGCTTGTGAAAACTACATAAATAAAATAGTTGTTTGTAGAAAAGTTTTTAAGGCTGCAAATGCACAAAGCTCTCAATTAAACATAAAATCTGAAATTAGTTTTAAAGTTTAAACATTACTTAAAGTGAGAAATGTTTTAATAACTTTTGAGGGAACATATGAAATTTGGTGGTTTAAATATTTGTAAAACACTTTAATGAATATTTAATAATTTGAAGCTTTGTTGTAACCTGTCTTTGAATGATGTGAAGTTGATCTGAATATTTAAAACAATCAATTGGGTTGAACGAGGGATTTATTGAAAACAATGGGATTATTATATCGGAATTACAATGAAAACTTATTTTCAAGAGACTTTATCCGAGGTAATTAAGATTTTATCTATAAAAAGGGTTCAATGTGGTTCATTCATAAATATATTTAAGCCGCAATCAGAAAGAGATTAACAGATTTAATTTTAAATGCATTAAAGACAAAGCAGAAGCCTTCAAAATCAATAATCGAATATTTTAGAACAAACAATTTTTCAAATAAAAACATTTATGTGTATAAATATTTATAAATTTTATAGAACATTGCTAAGATATTTAATAAAATTTTCTTTCCATCAGAAATTGTTAGAATCAAAGTTGTTTAACATTTTAACAACTCAAGAACAAGTAAAAAGTACATGATGAAGTTTTCATTGCCTTTATTATGCTCCGGGATATTGGGAAAAGTTTATAATTCTACAAGATTCAAGAAAATTATTTTGCATTTGTTTCCTTCATAAGGAAAATTGTTAGCATACTTTCTTCGTAATATTCAATTACGCTTCATTTTTCAGCTTGAAGTAGTTCAATCTGTCTTGAATCTTGAGCTCATTGTAGAGGAAATCCCTCAAGCTTCAAACTTTTTTCATCTCTTCTTTTGTGTTGATTCGAGCATTTTATATTCGCATTATATCGATGCGAGTTCTTTTAATTTAATTCAATGAAGAAAGTAATCGCCAATATCCTCCGAGATTAATTTTTTTTCATCCAATATTTAATCGATAAACTTTCCCTTATTTATTTTCTTATGAAAAAGAGAATAGAAAATCAAATGATATTAAAACTTTCTGATAGAAAATTTTTTATGATGTCTATTAAACAAGATGTTAAAAGGAATAAAATTCGAAAAGACAATTCCCCAATTGCAATGTTCACAATAATCAAATTTTATGATTTTGTGACCTAACAACTTCAGAAAGGACATTCAGGAAAGCCTGGAATGTGTAGAAATAAAATAAAATTTATATCCTTAAGTTTGATTTGAATTTTCCTGTGAAAAGTTTGGAATTAAATGAAGTGAATCTGTTTGAAATTTAAACGAAACGTAGTCACCCTTAAAATGTCTGAAAATTTCCATCGTGAGTGAACTTAAAAGCTGTTAAAGTTATTAACCTGAGTTGTGTAAAAGTTTTTCATTGTTCAGTGAAATTTGTGAAATTATTTCACCGTAAATCTTGGACGAGGTAAATATTGCTAGTAGCATTGATAATGTGGTAAGAGGTAATAATTTTCACAAGTAAATTAACATTTTCTTACTTTTAACGTATGCAGGTATGGTGAAATAGTTTGAGCTTCAGTTCATGAGTCAACCAATTAAATATTCTTAGCTTGGTTTCAGGAAAGAGTTGAAAACTTGCATGTTAAAACAATTAAAAGCAAAGCTTCAATTTAGAAAGTTTTTCATTTTAAATCTTGTGTAAAGTTGGCACTCTCTTAATGAACATAAAGCTCAAACTTTTGGTCATGTCTTAACACTGCCGTTAAACAATTCACTAACAATGCCGAACATGGCAATAATATTCATGCGAATTGTTCACAACTTCCTTCTTTTATGACGTAACAAATGATTCGTAATTTTTCCTACAAAACTTTCCTCGTTTTTATCTAAGCTTGAACTGAAGACAAAAAGAAAAACAATGAAAAACTTTTCCATGGCAGTTGTAACCTGCTATGACTATAGTGCGGGAAAGGAAAAAAGCATTGGAAAATGTCGAGCAATGCGGCTCCAAGAGTCTCTAGTGAATTTCAACTCTCATGAATCATCTTTTTGTGTTTGCACAACTTAACACAGCACAAAAAAACCTTCTCGGGCAAGTGAAACTTATTGCCTTAAACTGCTGTTTGTTTTGCAAGAACGAATCTCCTTTTTACGACCATTCAAATCGCATTTCATGCTCATTGTTATTTTTATCGAGTTCGCTGTTTCTCCGGTTGAGTTCATAAAAAAAAGATAGAAAATGAGAGAAATACAATAACCATGATGTTGAAATAGTTTTTGCTTGGTTTTTCAATTTACCTAGAATCTCAATATTGACTTGTGAAAGAACAATTGAAAGAATTTTATATCAGTGGTTCGCCATCAAATTAAAATGAATGGGAAAAGTATTGGAAGGAAACTGAAAGACTTTGAGTGATGAAGCAATTTTTTTTATTTGTTCAAAACTTTCCTTTTCTATTTACGGAAAAAAGGAGTTGTCTGTGGAATTATAGTCTACATGACAAATTATCTTCTTCTTTTCAATTTCAACTAGTTGATAAAAGCAATAATTTCAGAGATGATTGCATTGCAAGTGAAATATTTTAATGAGAGATATCCAGAACTTTAATAATATTTTAAACGTTACATTGACTTGCACATCAATAGCAGAACGAGAAACGCTCACACCGTTCCATGACTTCAGAAGAGTGACAAAATTATGAGAAATCAGATTTCAGCTTCAGAATATCCTGACAAAAATCCTTAAATCGATTTTATTGTGCAATTCCAACAAAACGAGACAAATACAATTCGAAATGAAATGTTCAGCTGAGTGTGTGAATTGAGCTTTGAAAATTGTAATTAAATTTAGTTTGTTAGAAAAATTCCCAAACTCATATTATGTGATGAAAGTTTAAAAGTTCTTTTCATTGAAATTTCAATCTGTTTAGCATTTTCCGAAACCACAAAAAAATAATAATGAAATCGGCTTACTTAAAGGATGCTTAAAAATCAGTTTTTCGATGCTGTAGCAATGACGGGAATTTCAACAACGAAATCCTACAGAATCGCGTCAAATACCTTTTACTGACATAATTTGATGTAACGAGAAATCATTTGAAATGATTAAAATTGAAAAGAAAAGAAATGCTTTAATAACTTCAAGTCTTTAGAGGTTTTAGCAGCGATCATATGCTTTTAACCTCTTTCATTTCTTTTTGATGTTTTCACGTTGCATTCTTTTTTAAATTTGCAATTTCTAACTTCAAAGGATTTGTGATGAATGCCGTCATTGAGTTGAATGAAAATATGAATGGCTGAGAACTTAAAGAACTTTGAAAATGTTTGTAATCAGCAGTTTTGTGTTTTTTTATTCCTTTGACGATGTCGTTTCTTTTTTTCTTTTTGTTTTCTGCCTTCCATTAGTTTCATATTTTCTCATTATCCATAAAATCCTTTACATGATGATGCAGCACGAATGAAGGGAGTGTTTGAGTGGCAAATCCTTTTGAGATCAAAGAATTTTGAGAAAGCAAAGAAAAGCCAAAAAGGGCGGAATGAATAAGATGAACTGAAGAGTAATTAATTAACTCAGTCTTTGCTGGTGGATCAACACTCGTACATTCATGTGAGTAATATTACGTCATAGGAAAATATTTTCCACCACCTATATGGGATTATTTCAACATGAAGATAGCGCAAACATTTTGATTCTCACCCTTTTCTATTCTTTCTACCCCATAAATTTTTATTACAATATAAGTAATAATTTGAACCATAAAATTTCTTATAAAGCTGGTTGGTCATTCTTTGAAACGAATGTCAATGATACAACTTACTTTTTTCAACAGCTCTATCATATTTCAGTCGAGACAAAAAATAGGGAGAAATGATGCGATCCAATTAGTTTCCTCTGCTTCCAAAAATAAAATAACTATTAATATCATGTATAATGAACTAGTTGTGACGTAGCGAAATACATAAATCTGGTGTCTTAAACTAGTTTTTGATTAAGCCAACCCCTAATCAAACAATTGGTTTATAAACTTTAAAAAGTAATGATGACTCATTAAAATTAATAATAAATTGAGATGAAAGTAGGGAAACAGCGTTTTTAGTCAGGAAAACATGCTAGATGTTTCAAAATATAATTAAAAAATCTCATTTAATCGTTTTTAAGCGGTGACGTAACGCAATAAGAAACGTAACGTAGATCGACAAAGCCGATGATGATGATGATAGAAGGAAACATTAGTTAGATAAATGTGTGGTTAAAAATACTTGAATCGCAAAATTTGCACACTTTCATTTCCTGTTTTAAATAAATTTACAAAACATAAAGACAGTGCTTAAAAATTACAGAAGAAGATAAGCTTTAAACGATTGAATGTTCTCAAATGAGCTTACACAATTCTCAGAAATGTTGAAATTACTTTAGATATTCGTAATCTCAAAAAAGGTGAAAATAATCTGAGTGATAAGTGAAAAACAGCTTTTTCAGACAGAAACATCATATTTCCCCTCTTAAAAATTGAGAAAAAGTTTGTCGAAAGCATATTGTAGTGAATTTTAATGACATTAAGAGTTGCTGTTAATGTATATCTACATAGAAATGAAATGAAACGACAGGAAAAACTTTCCATTCGTGTTCAGTCTTAATTACTTTTTACTGTAATTAAACGAATTTGTTTTTGCGTGTTTTCCCGTTTTTATTTTCATTTTAAATTTATTCTTCTCACGACAGGGTTCTAAATAGCGAACTCAACTCCCACCACGATAACAGCTACTGAACATTTCAGGTATTGACTTTAACCAACTTTTCCTTTATGAAAAATGATACTTTTACATTTTCAAATTTCCGGAAGAAAAATGTTTTATTCCTGCTTTCTGCTCGATTGGAAACTTTCAAGAATCGAGAAATATTGCGAAACATAAATCAAGGAATCGTAAAATTCATTGCTGAATCTTTTTCGTCGCAATTCTTTTTTGTGAAGTGAAAATTTGGAAAGAAAAGTTGAGGAGAAGAGGAAAAAAGAGAAAGTTTTGAAAAACACATTAATCGAGATTTCCACATCATTATTCTTACATTATTCTTGAATTTCTTTTTTCTCGTTGCTTTATTCTTCTAAAGACGATGTTTGCGATGTTTAAAAAAGTAATATGAGAACGTTGAGGGTTGGCAAGTGCACGAGAATGTTCTTAAAAACCGAACGAAAAATTCATCATCATCACTCTTTCCTGATTACAAATCTGTGCTCATCGTCGTGTGAATGCACTTAATGGAAGCGTCTTGCAGCAAAGTAAACCCTATAAGTGAGCAATTTCACAATCTCAACGTCATGTTCCTTTGTCATCTCGAAACGAAGCATTTAAAATGAAAATTTGAATGAAGGAAAAATGGTTTAGAGCTAAACTCAAACAACGACCGAATAGGTTTCATACTTGGTGAACACCAGTTCTTTTCTTGCATTCTCCTTAATCTTCCGATTAGACAACGCAAAGCATTTTAATGCTGTGTAATGAGAAAATAACTTGTTATTTTTTCTGGATGCTTTCATATTCATCAACCGAACAACATTGAATGAAAACTGCACGATGTGAACGATTATAAAAAACGTGTCGCAGTTTACAAAGCTCAGTTCATATTTCTGATGATAAGCGACGTTCAACACGCAAATCATTCTTCCACATGAATTCATTTGCATGTGCCTCTAACTTGATAACGATAGACGAGGGACATTGGAGGGGTGCGAGAAAATATTAACAGCGTGAGCAATCATGTATTTGCACATACATGAAAGCGGACAGACGATATCATATTTAGTTTGAACATTAAACATAATTTGAAGCATAAATATATGCAGACTGCACGAGCATAAGCTTTAACTCTTTTTTTTCTATTTTTAGTTCTTGTTTAAGATACAAAATACAAATAAGAGTCGTTTGTTCAAATTTCCTTTACACAACACTTGAAATCATTAAATTGTGTTTTCTCCATCCCTCGCTTAAAATATTTCATTCATTTTCATCATAAATTATTAGGCGACGCGTACTCGAACGTCTTTATTGCATTTTCAAGATGAAATTTCCTGAAAATTAAAAGCAAGCTCAAAAAGGAAAGAAGAATTATGATGTTCGTTTGGGGGGAACTTACTTTCTATCTAATATTTAGCCTTTCATACCGAAACTCTTTCAAAATTAAATTACTTTTTATCACATTACCCATAAATACGTGAATGAAAAGTTTCCAAGTAAATCTTTTTTAGAGGGGGTTGATGGGGAGAATAAATGTATGTTTATGAGTATGTAGAGAATTTTCCACATAAATATATTGCATAAAATAATTAAATCATTTCGTACACGTTAGCATATGAATTTCTTTCGACATAAAATTGATGTTGGATCGGATTCCTTTTATTCTTCCATTTAAAGATGGAAAATAATTTAAAAAATGATAGAAATTTTCCAATTCACTTCATCATCAAAATGTTCAGTAAAATTTCGTTGTTTCGTTTTATTCTCCATCATCAACCCTCACGGTCTATCAAAATGTTTAAGTTAAAAATCCTCAAGGGACTTTAGACTAATCCGTCTTGAAATGAATGGTATAGTCCTTATTCAAACAGTATTCTGACAGCCTTCACTTCATTAAATGTCTGACTGTTACATTCAAAATCAATTTTAACCATGAACCCTTTTTAATGGTTTTGTTGAGTTAATGTGAATAATGAATTTCCATTAATTTCGATGTTTCGCTAAAATTGAAGACAAATAAAAGAGAAAGTAAGCAGATATTTATCGTTTACCATTTCTCTAGTCAACCAAACATATCTGTTGTCGAGAGAAAAACTTTGAAAAGAAGGAAAATAAATGATAACACAAACATTCGAAGTAAGAAAAAAAAGTTGAACTTTCTTGGGATTTTCCTATCCCATGCATGTCGTTAACGAAAAAGAAAAGAAGGAGAAAAAAGAACGCAAACAACACCAACATCGTTGTGAACGTGATTTATGAACGATTTTATTCATTTGATATGTTTTTCCTTTTTCCCCGCTCGCTTACGTCTTCCGGAAAGGCATCATGATGTGGAGGTTGGCGGAGATGAAAATTTGAAAAGGAAATGAATAAATTTCAAACCTCACGAGACTCATTCACTCAAACCTCTCTCCATAAAACCATTTCTCTTCCACAAACTATCAGTTCTTGTTTAAGATACAGATACGCGAGTTATCATGACTAACAAAACTGTCAGGATTCAGGATTCAAGATTCCTTTCTTTATTACTTTGTGTGGCTGACGTGATGTTATGAATTTTCTAAGGATTAGAGTTTTCATGGTTCTTTTTTATTTACTTGAATGATGCGAGGCAGATGAAACGGAAGTTGACGATTTGTCAAAAACTAATGAAAGTCGAATGACGCAGCAGTTTTTCAACAGCTGAAAAAAGAAAATATTAAAAAAAGAGATGAAGAGAGAAATTTTCTGCATCATTAAAGACCGTCAAAACATTTAATTTTTCCTAAAGATTTCTTTTCCATTTATTGCTTCATTTCTTATTTATTATTTGTTACCATCTTAAAATGAAGTTTCCTACTTAATTTAATATCACAACAGCTAATAGTTTATCACATAAATGATCGTATAAACAGGATGCTTTTCCTCTACAATAATTTTAGTAACTTTTACAAAATTAAAATTTAAAAAGTTAAAAGAAAATGTCAGAAATCGAAATTTCAGTCTTCGCTTCGAATTAATGACAGAACAATTCGTGAGATTGTTTTATCATTTTAAAAGATTTCTAATTTTAAACTCTTATTATAATTTTAAGAAAATATCCTAAAGATATTAAGAAAATTAAATTTAATTTATTACAAACTTCAATACGATTTGAAGCATTTATGAAATTTATTGTGCTTAGCTCTGAACTTCTTAAAACTTTGCTTCGGGCTTGTTGAACATTGCTTAAGCTATTGTCGTGAATTTGTTCTTCAGACTGAAATACTTTATTGTATCGATCGCAATGCGATGCTCGAGGCTTGTAAGGTTGCTTTATTGCCACTGGCTCGTCTTCAATAATCTGTGAGGTAAATAAAAGTTCAGACAAATAAATAAAACGATTTCAAGACAATTTACTTACTTTTCTCTTTAAACCGGAACAAACAACATCGATTTGCGACGTTTTACTGACTCGTTCAAAATGATCAAATTCGGTTTTCCAATCGTAAGTCTTTAAATGTTCTTCCAATGTCTTCCCAGCATATTTCTCAGGCAATTCGATAGCAAATGGTGGTGAATTTCGAAGCTTATCGATGTTCAATGATTTCAAGAAGTTCTTTGTCTTCGGTTTCGAATAGCAAGAAGTCAAATGATCTTGTTTAGGATAATAAACGAGAGTCGCTTGACAAATTTCTTGTTGTGCTTCATATCCACCCAATGTCAACTTTGTTTTATCAAAACTATTGTAAGCACATTCAACCATTAAATCATCGCCAGGAAGAACTTGAATTGCCTTGCTCAATGCTCGATATTCGAGATATTCCGAATCCAAGTTATGATCTTGAGCGATTGGATGAAGTTCCGATCCACTTCGCACAAGTCCCACTTTGATTGATTTTCCCATCTCGTGTGTCTGCATCTGAATGCCAATGACGTTAATTCCACTACCACCACCAGCTGCTGTTGTTGAGAAAGCTTCTTTATTACACTTCCCAGTGCAGTATCCAATTGATGTCACTTTTCTAAATCCCGGTGGGATGATGTGTGTCCACACTGGTTGAATGCCAATCGATAAAAGTCCCGCATTGTGTTTCCTTTTCACTGACGTCATAAAGAACTTGATGCCTGAACTGTCACTGATTCGATTGTGATCAGCAAAAGACTTTGTTGGAACTTCGTAATGAATTTCAAGGAAATATAAACTGGCGATGTCACTGTCAATTGGATAACCGACGTCATCGGGATAAACAAAACCTTGTGAACCTCTTGACCATGTGGCAGTAATTGTCGTGCATTGAAGCTTCTGAATGTTTGCACATGACGCGTTGTCTTCATCGATATTATAATTTGGGTGATGTTTGTTTCTACATTCGTAAACTATCATGTGCATGATGTAAGTTCTTGCTATCATAGGCTCAAAGATTGGCTTATAAGCGACAACATGTCCACGTTGATTCTCCTTCAATCTCAAAACACTGCAAGCCTTTGTAACATTTGATGACGTCATTAAAACATTCTTCATTCTCACATCAAATGTTTCAATATTTTCATCATTTAGTTTTCGAACTTTCTCAAATTTTGGTCTTTGGAGAAACAGCAACGACTTGATGGGCTTCAAAGCTTGCTCGGGTTCTGGTAAGTTACCTTGCAACAAAGAGCCTCGTTTTGGCTCATCATGATGATACATGTAAACGATCCTCATTGTGTCGTTCTGAGGAAAAGCAATCAAAAAGTTTTCTTGAGATTTATGGTCAAGAAAATTTACATAGTAACGGAAGCAGGATGGACATTTTGGGTTTGATTTATTGTCGATTTTATGGCTTGAGATCGGATATCTTTCGAAATTTAATGTTCAGAGAAAATTGCTTGTTGTTAGAGAGAGTGAGAGAGAGAGAGAGAGAGAGAGAGAGAGAGAGAGAGAGAGAGGTCTACACACTACACAAATGTTGTGGTGTATACGTCGTCATTTGAAAAGTTCAGTCACTTACCGTAATAGGAACGTCGTACTTCTCATCGCATGTATCCAATTTTCTTCGAAATCTGATGATTGTATGAGTCTTATTCTCATGACCGAAGAGAAGAACGTAATCTTGCGATTGATCCAACACAGGCTCTCCATTGTGGCTGTGGACGGGGATGTGTCGATCCTAGAATGAAGTAAAGTTTTGGGGAAAATTACAACAATGTTTATCACTGTAACATGCTTTCAAATTGTTATTCATAAATCATAAGCCCGTAAAATAAATTTCACATAAACTAGATGATTGTGGGTGGTGGGGGGAAGGAAAATTTTCAATTCTATTGTTAAGAGACTTCTAATTTGTTATGTTGTTCATTGCCACCAAATGCTCGCCATTGTTAGACAAACGTCGTCGTCTGTCATTGCGGTTTTCAATCGTTAAAAATTCTTTTAAAATTACTTTTGTTGTGCGGTAGAATAAAAAAAAATTTCACAGCATCTGGCACTGTAGGTAGAAATAAAATTTATCTGAATATTTATGAAATTTTAAAGGATTTAAAAGAGGTTTTGTGGTCCATTCGGGGTTGAAACTTTTTATACGAACGAGCACATTGTGTAGAAGGCTTCAAATAAATGGGAAAAGGAAAAAAGTTCCGCGTGAATAAAATTAATTATTAGTTCACTTGTCCCAAATATTTTCATTAAATATCATTTTCTTATTACGTATTTTAGAAGTTCAATGACATGGAAGAGAAGACAAAATATCGAGCATAATCACGCGAGCTATTGAAATATTTATTTATCAATTTTCCCCACCCAGCAATTTTCCAAATGAAATTTAGGTTTTTGTCTCTATAATTAAACACTGTCGTACACCCTGAACATTTTGATTGCTCCAGAAATATTACACATATCCCGAAACAATTAATGTTGAATCAACACAATTAAGTGCCTTTCTTGTCACGATATCACTGAATAATTCATATTTATGCGAACAAGCGTTAATGTCGATGATGTAATAAATGAAGGAGTCTCGTTCGTCACTTTCTTAGCATGAACATCTAAAATTTAAAATAAAATTAAAAGATTTTTTCTTCTTTTTTTATATGTGTTTAAGTTTCGTGAGAATCGAAGCATCTGACAGCAAAAGAAACTTTGTCTTTAATGCAAGAAGCTAATCAGCGATGAAGGCGAACAAATGGAAAAGTTCTTAAGATTCTTCTGTTGTCGAAAGCGAGGTCGAAACATTATCTTCGTCAAATTATTTTTTCTTTTTGCTTTTCCTTTTATCTTTAAGTTCTTGAAATATTTTTTTCTTCTTCTTTGTCTTTCTTTTGTTTGCGGTTCATTTTAAAAAATAATAAAAAAAATTCTTGTGATTACTCTCATTGTCTTACAACCATTGTCCATTATCCGAGTGTGGTGAGACAAGAAAAGGAAAGAAAAAAGCAATTTGTTAAATGCAGTTAAGAAATTATTTCGCATTGAACATCGTAAGTGGAAATAAAAAAATCTTTAAATTAAAAATTTAACAAGAATGCGACAGTCAAGAAGCTGAACAAGAAGGAAAAGAAAAAGATTCGTGACCTCTGAATAAACTTCAAGTTGAAAAAGTTGGAGTATAAATAGATTCCTATTGCTTCCAAAAAGTGATCGTATTCACAATCTACGAATAAATTTCAGTTTAGCATAAAATCTTCATAAATCGACTTCATAAATTCACGGCAAATCGATTGAATACCATAGAATTGGAATAAAAAGAAAGAAAGGGTTACGACAAGAGAAAAGCTTGCTCAGTCATGAATCGCTTCAAGCGTTGCCAAGAACTTCTTGGCTTGATTCCAAATGTTATAAAAGTTTTCTACGTCATTGCTTTCTGTTTTAGCTCATATCGTAAACATCACAAATGGTGAACCTTTTCATGTGTAAAGTTTTCAATTGAAAAACATTTTTGAACTCACTTGGAAGAACGTGTGCTTATCGACCCATCCGATGACCATATCTGCTCCATAAATGTATTCGCTTCGTGTGAAACCAAAGCCAACGTAACCATGTGTTCTCGCTTGCACTTCAATAATGATGTCAGGTTCCTTCACACGCCATAACAATCGAAAGTTCTCGTCTAAGTCAACACTGTGGTCCCATCGAACTTCATTTGATGATAAACATTGTGCAGTCATCAAAGTCAGAAATGGGAGCAGAATTTTCCACATTTTTCCAGATTACTTTTCCCTTTTTCTGCAATGAGAATTAATTACATAAAGAATTAATGTGAGTTATGAATTATTATCACAAAAAAGAAGAATTCATTATGAAAGTTAATGACATAGTTGCGGATGAAGCTCTAGCTTTGCATGCTATGCAGTTTAATGTTCATTTCCGTTTTCTTTTCATTTGGAAACTTTATCGTCATTAATGAAATGGACTTTTATCATTTTTTCATTTATTAAATACCGAAGTAGGTCAGACATTTTCCATTTTCATAACTATTACTACCTTGCAACAACGACAAAAAAAAAAGTGTTGATGTCTCCATCAGTCTACATTGTCACAAGATTATTTTGCATGTGCACATTTTAAATATTTATAAGTTTGATGGTTCTTTTTTCTCTCTTGTAATGTCAAGCATTTCCTAGTCTCGTTTCTATGTTGTAAAGAACAAAAAAAAGTTTCTTTAATGGCGATGTCAAAGAGTATTTCGTAAAATTCTCATCAAAACTTTTTCGTTTCATTCTGTCGGTTGACATTAATATCGGGAAAGTTTTTCACCAGTCATGCGAGAGGGAGAGTGAGTTGAAACATCATTTTCTGTTCTCTCAACAGAAAGGTTCACGCTACTGAAGTTAACAAAAACTAGGAGAAAATAAAGGCTGTGTAATAAAAGTCATGAAATATGTGATAACATTTACGTTGAACTTCTTTTCATTTCCCTTTCATTGGACAATTTTCATGCTAACAAAAGCGAGAGGAAAATTGGTAGAAAGGGAACTCTGTGTGTAGTCACATGAAGCAGTAATAATTTTCTGAATTTATTGCTCGCATTGTATTCGCACATAATCCGAGAAAGGAGAATGGAGAAGAGAAAAGCCTTCATAAATTCACCTGATCCCATCTTTCACCCTCTTCAAGGCTCTTCTGTTAAGGGTGACAAAGTGAAGGATAGCTTTAATGAAACAAATTTGTGAATGATTTTGCACCAAAAAGGGAAAACTTTAATCAAAAGAGGAAAGAAACGAGAAATTGATGGTGACCAATAATAAAAGCAAAAAANTAACAGAAAATTATTTCTATCCTTAATTTGAAGTTGAAAATTACCTGCAAGCAATAAAAATAAGTTGCATGAGAAAATCTCGCCTTGTTATTAAATTTATTAAAATTTGTTTAAATTAAACTTGACTGGAAGCAGGAAAAGTTTTCAAACATAAAATCATTTTATTTAATCTGGAAATCTGTTCAAAAATGGAGCAAATAAATTGAAGTATTTGAGATCCGAAGATTAAACAAAAGCCTCTTATAGTGAAATAAATTTTTGGCAATCATTCTCATGAAAACTTGGAATGAAAATCAATAAACAAATTTTAAACTTTAATCCGAGTAATTGTAGATTTGAATTCATGAAAGGAAAATAATAATACAAGAATATGAACCATCTGGTGACTACACCCCGATGATTTGTTGGGATTTGCACATAAATATTCAACAAATGACGATAACAAGAAAAGGAGAATGGAGAAGAGAAAAGCCTTCATAAATTCACCTGATCCCATCTTTCACCCTCTTCAAGGCTCTTCTGTTAAGGGTGACAAAGTGAAGGATAGCTTTAATGAAACAAATTTGTGAATTGTGAATGATTTTGCACCAAAAAGAGAAAACTTTAATCAAAAGAGAAAAGAAACGAGAAATTGATGGTGACCAATAATAAAAGCAAAAAAGGTGAAATCCTTTTTCTGACGACTTGTAAATCGTTCAGCAGATGAAAACGTTCCATGAGGCTCAGTTTAAGAACAATTAGAATTGTCTGCAGGCGTGAGATAAGCTTCGATCTTTTATGTTTGTTTATCCAATCGTACTTCTCAAGAATGTCTAATCTCAAATGAAAGAAAGAAAGAAAGATTTCAAACACCTTTACGGTTTTATGGATGAAGAAACCTTTGAAAATGTTTTTTTCTCATTTTTGTTGTTGCTTGATGAATAAATTAGATCTTTGCCTATGCTGTTGCTATTGTCAGGTAGAAAAATGTTGATAATTTAGTTTTAATGAAGTTTCTAAACTTCGAATCATTTCTTGTTTGCAGATGAGGCAGCCAATGAAGTCGAGAACTTTTTTTATTTAATTTTTTGTCTTAATTTTTGTTTGTTTTCCTTTCATCGAATTGCGTTTGTTTTTCACACTTTCCGACTGAGATAAATAAGATTTCCCGATTGAGTCTCGAGTTTCTCAAGATGTAGTGGAGAAGAACTTTGCCAGTTTTTGTCTCGTCTCTTCGTAACACATCGCGACAGACGTGAGGTTCGAGCTGGGAACTAAATTAACCCAAATAAATTTGTTTGCAAAACACTTAAGAAGCCAACACCACCAACTTTGGGCTTATCAAGATTAATACGTTTGATGGAACTCGCTTTGCCTTCTTTTATATTTTTTCTTTGAGGCTTTAGCCTAATCTGTGTCATTCTAAGCGCACAACATAAATCATAATCATCAGTGACGCAGACTTTAACAAATGGAGATTAACGAAATTAATTTGCATGAGTTTCTCCTTCTTGTCGTTGATTAATTTTCTTCACGTTTTCGAGCTTTTATCGGCAACAAGTTGCGTTGCGACTTCATCTCATTCATGGGCTTCACTTCCCTTCTTCTTCTCACTCAAGTAACAACATCAACATCAACATAAATCCCAACAACAAAGACAAGAACTTAATGTCTTTTTGATTGAATTCTGTATTCAAGTGACAAAATTAGCTCGATTGAAAATGTCCCACATCCGGGTGAAGCAATGAAGATGATTGGACACAAATTTCTCTTCGTTCTACACGTTCAACATGACTCTCGTGACTCGTGAACCACAAACATATGTTCGTTCACAAATTGTTGTGAATGCGGTCGGTCATGGCAAATGGTTGATGGTAGTTGGGGTCATTCCATAATAATTCTCATCATTCGTGTTGATGCATTTAAACGAGAAGTAAATAGTCACAAAGCATGTGGGATCGAATTCATTGAGTCATCATCAGCATATTCATTTCCGTCTTATCTCATTATCTCAGTTTTGTTTTAATTAATAATTTATGACCGCTGCCTGCTGTGAATATGCTTTAATTAATACAAAGCCCTCTTGGTCTCGCATCGACATACCTTGAATGAAATCATCTTTTAATCAGTGATACAAATAATGCCATAAATGAGGGCACATGGGCACCACTTAATGTTTAGTTTATTTCATTTCTATGACTGTCGACGACCACCATCGATGACTTTCAAAAAATTCTTTTTTGTTCACTGAACGACGACGACGACGATAACAATAAGGAAGTGAACAAAACTGACTCTTCAGTGGCTCAACTTTAATTTTATGACAGAAAAAAAGAAAAAATGGAAACAGAGAAAAATAAAAACTTAATTACGATGTTCAGAGTCTTTAATGACCATCCCTTTAAGCGCCCTATCATTATCATTCTCATTCCTGTCTACTGTTTTGTTCCTTGCATTTATGTTTTCTTCTTGTTGTTCTTGCTTTGAGGCCACACACACAACACCTGAATCGTTAAGTTGAGCTACTCATTCGAACCATTCAAACAATCATCATCATAAACTAAACTTCACCTTCTTCCTTCTTGGATCTTCGTTTTTATGAAATGTCTAATTGAATATTTAAGTTCGGAGAATTCCTTGAATATTTCTTTCCACTTCGAGTTGATTGCGCTAGTAATTGCCATAAAATTATAATCGCTTCAACATGTGCAACAAACTGCCAAAAGTAAAATAACGAAAAACTTTTTGGGAACTCAAAACCAAAAATATTTTCGGTTCCTTTTCATGATCCGATCCCGTAAGTTCTATAAACAGAAAAAATTAAATTCAACCCTAGATCGGAATGTCTT